ATTTTAGGTGGATTTTGGGGAACTTCTTGCTTGCAACCAACTGGGAAAGCAAAAATGGATCCTGGGACGGACGACAAGGAGCAGCCTCCCCTTCCCACGGGGACACACGGCTTCGGCTCAGTCTCATCCCAAAAAACTCCAGGATTCATGAGTCCATCTTCTGAGGCTCCAGGAGAATGGAGCCCGAATTTTATTGTGAAGAACACACCAGGTGTGGAAAACGCACAGAAATCCAACCCTTCCCACCCCCCACCCCAAGGAACCGGCGCAGAGTCCGTCAGGATTCCGAAACGGGACAATTTCAGGATTCAGCCCCAAAATCCACACTCAGACCTCATCCAGTGGAATCTACGGAGCAGGGGTGGGACAACATGGATGCAATAAGGATCCATGGAAATAAAACCCGGCCTCCTCGGGGCTAATTTTAGGCTTGGAAGCGCCGCTCCCAACACCCTCCGGATTCCAAAGGCTGGTGCTGCTCTTCAGAGGGATTTCAGGCATATTCCAGATCCCACCATCCCAATGCCCGGCTAAGACTGCCCGTCCAAGGGGCAGAGACGCAACACTGGGACCTGAAGGGGTCCCCCAGCCCATCCCGAATCCGCCAGCACCGGGAAGCGCCGCGTTCCCGGGAAAATCACGGGGAATAAAAAAAAACCAAGCCCGGAGCCGCTGCCTCTTCCTGACCCGCTTCCCACGGATCGGGACCAGCTCTGCACCAGCACAAGTGGCCTTTTTTTGGGCACTTTTTGGCCCAAAAAGCCAAACCCGGCAGGATGGGGGCAGCTCCGTACCGGGAACGGGCCGGGATATCCCTGAACATTCCCTGTGTCCTGCTGGAAGGAGCACCCGGAGCTGTTACAGCATCGGAGAAGAGCCAGGATGGCAGAGCTGGGATTGCCCAGCCTGGAGAAGGGAAGATCCGGGGAGACCTCGGAGCATCTTCCAGTGGCCAAAGAGGAAAGTGGGAATGGCTTGGAGGTGGGAAAAGGGAGATGGAGGTGGGATATTGGGAAGAAATTCAGGTGCTTCCCAACACGTCCCATCCCAGCATCCCGAGATGCTGCAAAATGCAGAATATCCCGAAAAACCTGGGGAAGAGCCTAAAGCACCAACACAGCCACGGCAAACACAGCCCCAGCCATCCGTGGCTGCAATCCCCAGGACTGCGGAGCGGAATTCCAAGATCCGTGCGAACCCCAAACCCACACCAGGAACACTGATGGAGCAAGGGAATTCTGCTGTTGGATACAGAATGGAAAGCTGTCAATGAATGGGAAATAATCAGGAAAAAAGCTGAAATGACTGATTTTCCTCAGATCCCGGCGCGGCGAGCGAAGGGATCCGGGAAATTCCCGTCCTGAGCGGCGGATCCCGACCCCTTGGGACAGGAGGTTGGAGGGGAAGGTGCTTCCAAGAAGATCCCGAGTGGGATAAATCCTGCCAAGCAGGTATTCCTGCCCCGGGAACACCTGAGGGGAGGCGGGATGCTCCAAGGGGAGGACGCTGAAGATGGATGGATGCTCCCGTCGGCGCCGGCCTCGTGACCGGGAACGGCGCCAGGCGCCGAGATCCCGACGGATCCACGGAGTCCTCGGATGGATCCGACGGAATTCCAGCCTGGATCCCTGGCAGGGACTCCCTAGGGATGGATACGCCGGCTCCATCTCACCCCAACAGCACCCGCAGCGTCGTGGATGTCCCAAATCCTGCCATGTGCCAGGGTCGCCCGCCGTGGGCACCCCCAATCCTTAAAACCCCAGAAATTCCCAAAAAAACCGCGGCTGCCTCTGCGATCAGCCCCAACCCCCACCCGGGAGCACCGAGGAACAGGAGTCAAATCCTCCCACACTCCTGCCAGGAGGAGGCTGTTCCCATTCCCGTGCTCCCCCTTCCTCCTCCTCCTCCTCCTCCTCCTCCTGCCCGGCAGCGGCCGAGGAAGCTCCAGAAGATCAAATGGATATTAAAAATAAAATAAAATTAAATGAAATTAAAAAAAAAAAAAGATCAAAAACGCTCTGGAAAAGCCGATCGATCCCGGCGCATCCGCACGCCGCCGCTCTTCCTCCCTGCTCCCAGATTCCCAAATCTCCTCCTCCTCCTCTCTTCCCGGCAAACCTCCCCCTCCCCCCGCCATCACAGATCCCTTTTCCAGGCTCCAAGGGGAGGGGAGAGCGCCCGAACGCCTCGATTTTGGGAATCTGGGGAAGGATTCTCCTCGGGAGCACAAATCCTCATCCTTGGCAGGAGAAATCCTCTCGATCCCCTCCTGGCAGAGGATCCGGCTGGCGAACGTGGGTGAGGAAGGGTCCGTGCCCCTCCCCACCACCTCAGTGCGGAGTTTTCACCCAAAAACCGGGAAGGGGCGCGGGCAGTGCCCCCAGCTCCGCGTTATTCCAGGGATGGCAAAGTTTCCCGGCTGCTTTGGAGCCGGGGAAGCAGCACCGGGAAGTGACCGGGGTGGGGGGGCAGCAGGAAAAAGAGGGAGAATCCCGCGGGGCGGAAATCCTGGAAGAGGCCGGAGCCGCTTCCAGCGGGGAAAGGATCGGGAAGCGCTCCCGAACCCCGCCGCGGAAACAAAGGGGGGCTCAGAGGGGCGATCCGGGGGGTTCCCGGCATCCGCCCCCCAAATCCCATCGGGAACCCCCCGGGCCGCCCCGCCCCTCCCCCGTTTGCCCGGGGGATTCCCCGGCGAGCCCCCAAACCTTCCAGGCTGACCCCCAAAATCCCTCAGTTCTGCTCCCCAAAATCCCTCAGTTCTGCTCCCCAGAATCCCTCAGTTCTGCTCCCCAAATCCCTCAGTTCTGCCCCCCAAAATCCTTCAGCTCTGCTCCCCAGAATCCCCGAGTTCTGCTCCCCAAATCCTTCAGCTCTGCTCCCAAAATTCCTCAGCTCTGCCCCCCAAAATCCCTCAGCTCTGCCCCCCAAAATCCTTCAGCTGCGCTCCCCAAAATCCCTCAGCTCTGCTCCCCAGAATCCCGCAGCTCTGCTCCCCCAAATTCCTGAGAGCTGCCCCCAAAATCCCTGTGCTTTGCTCCCCCAAAATCTCTCAGCTCCGCCCCCCAAAATCCTTCAGCTCTGCTCCCCTGAATCTGAGCTCTGTCCCCAAAATCCCTCGGCTCTGCTCCCCAAAAATCCCTCAGCTCTGCCTGCCCAAAACCCCTCATCTCTGCACCCCAAAATCCCTCAGCCCTGCACCCCAAAATCCCGGAGCTTTTCTCCCCCCAATCTCAGCTCTGCCCCCCAACCCCGAGCTCTGCCCCCAGGCACAGCCCAGATCTCCCGCACCCCTCGGGCTCTCCCTGCTGCCCCCCAGATCACCCCTGGGCCCCCCAAATCCGCCCTCAGCGCCCCAAAATCCCCCCCCCCATCCCCCGGTCCTCCCCCCCCTCAGCCGGGCCCTGCCCCGCCCCCGCCGGGCCCGGCCCCGCCGCCCCCGCGGGCCTCACCTGGCTCGGGGGTCGCGGGGGGCGGCGGCGGGTTCCCGGCGGGTTCCCGGCGGGTTCGCGGTGTCTCCCCGGTGTCTCCCGGCGGATCCCGGCCGTGCCGGGGGTCCCGGGCGGTCCCGGGGGTCCCGGGCCGGGCGGGCGGAGCAGACGCGGCCGCCGCCGAGCGCAACCGGCACCACCACAAACAATGCCGCTGATTGGCCGCCGCCGCCGCCGCGCCCGCCCCGCCTCCCGACCCCAGCCGCGACGCCCATTGGTGCGGCGTCCAGACTGGCAGGAGTCCTCACCAATCGAATCGCTAAAATTCTCTTTTATTCCGCCTCACGCTTTTTACTGGCTGTCTCCGCAAAGATTGACGCGGCGCTGCGCCAATGGGAACGCGCCGAGCTTCCCCGCGGGGCGCCTTTAATGGGTGCCCGAGTCTGAACATCCGGGTACCGCCAGCGGCGCGCGGTGGCGGCGCGCAGCTTCTCCCCCCGGCCCGCGGGGGCGTTTTGGCCGCTCGCGGCCGCCGTACCGGCCCCAAGCCCGGTACCGGCCCGGTTCCGCCGCACGTGGCGCCGGCGCGAGGCCGCGCGTGGCTTTTTAGGGGAGTCCCGCCTCCGGGGGCACCGGCCAGAGCTCTCCCCGTGCCCGGCGGGGCGGCAGCGCGCGGGGCCAGGCGGCCGCGAGGCTCATGGGCTGTGCCAGGATCCAAGATGGCGGCCTGAGGGCAGTGCCCGGCCGCGCCAGGATCCAAGATGGTGGACCCGGCTTCACCTCCCCCCCCCCCCCGGCCGCCTCCGGGGGTCTCCGCGCCCCCAAACCCCCCCAGGAACAAAAAGCGCCCTGGAGACAGCGGGGAAAATACCGCAGCAGCTTTTATTTACAGGCCCCTGGGGCGGGGGCTGCTATTGCACAGTGCAAGGGGAGGGGGCGGCCCCGAACCCCCCCCAATGGCCACCAAACCCCCCCGGGGGGCCGAACCCGGAGCCCCCTCAGCTGCCCTGACCCCACCCGAGGGGGGCAAAACACCCCCAAACCCACCCGGGGCTGAGAACCGGGGCAGGAATGAGGAGGGGGAACCCCCCCCGAGCCGCCCCTGCCCGTCCCACCCGCGCTCTCACTCTGGGGGCTGAATAAATAAATAAAAATATATTAACACTGGCGTATAAAACCCGTCGTGAGCCTGGCGGTTCCCGGGGGGGTCCCTTTTCCCCAGCCTGGAGTGTTTGAGGGGGGTCCTGGGGGTCCCTTTTCCCCACCCTGGAGCATCTGAGGGGGGTCCTGGGGGTCCCTTTTCCCCACCCTGGAGCATCTGAGGGGGGTCCTGGGGGTCCCTTTTCCTCACCTTTGGCATTTGAGGGGGGTCCTGGAGGGGCCCTTCCCCACCTCGACCCTCCCCAACACTTTGGGGGGTCCCTGTCCCACTTTGGGGGTCCCCTGGGACCTCCTATTTATACTGAGGGTTCTTCTCCCCACCCTGGAGTGTTTGAGGGGGGTTCGGGGGGTCCCTTTTCCCCACCTTTGGCATTTGAGGGGGGCCCTGGAGGGTCCGTTCCCCATCTTGACCCTCCCCAACACTTTGGGGGTCCCCTGGGAGCTCCTATTTAATACTGAGGGTTTGAGGGGGGTCCTGGGGGTCCCTTTTCCCCACCCCAGCCCTGCCCCGCACTCGGGGGTCCCTCGGGGGGGTCCCGGGGGGCTCAGCACTCGGGGGGCGCCCCGAAGGTGCGGCGGCAGTCGGAGGCTTTGGCGCTGGGGGGCTGCGCCCGCTGCCGCCACAGCTCGTCCCGGCCCAGGGCCCCGCTCAGCCGCCCCAGCGCCGCCCGGTACCGCCGGTCGAAGGCGGCTGGGGGGGGACGGGGGTCAGCACGGGGTACCTGAGACCCCCCGGTGCCCCCCGAGACCCCCCAGTGCCCCCCGAGAGCCCCCAGTGTCCCCTGAGACCCCCGGGGTGCCACCCGAGACCCCCAGTGCCACCCAAACACACCCTGAGCCCCCCGAGACCACCAGTGCCCCCCAAGACCCCCCCCCAGTGTGCCCCAAGACTCCGGTGCCCCCTGAGACCCCCAGTGCCCCCCAAACACACCCTGAGCCCCCCTGAGCCCCCCATGTCCCTCCGAGCCCCCTGAACACACCCTGAGCCCCCCAAGACCCTCAGTGCCCCCTGAGACCCCCCAGTGCCCCCTGAGACCCCCCAGTGCCCCTTGAGACCCCCCAGTGCCCCCCTGAGCCCCCCAGTGTGCCCCAAGACCCCCCAGTGCCCCCTGAGACCCCCCAGGTGCCCCCCGTGCACCCATTCCCCCCAGGTACCCCCCAGGTTCCTCCTGAGCCCCCCAGCTGCGCCCTGAGCCCCCCAAGTACCCCCCAGGTTCCCCCCAGGTGTTCCCCAGTGCCCCCCAAGACCCCCAGTGCCCCCTGAGACCCCCAGTGCCCCCCTGAGCCCCCCAGATTCCCCCTGCACCCCCCAGGTGCCCCCCAGATGTTCCTGAGCCCCCCAGCTGCCCCCCATGCCCCCCGTTCCCCCTAGGTGCCCCCCAGGTGCCCCCTGAGCCCCCCAGGAGCCCCTGGTGCCCCCCGTGCCCCCCATTCCCTCCAGGTTCCTCCTGAGCCCCCCAGGTGCCCCCAAGATGCTCCTGAGCCCCCCAGGTGCCCCCTGAGTCCCCCTGGTTCCCCCCGAGCCCCCCGAGCCCCCCGTTCCCCCCGTGCCCCCCGTGCCCACCGATGTCCGTGTGCTCCCGGCCCAGCGCCGCCAGCGTCAGGAACAGCAGCTCCCGGTAGATGCTCCTGCAGGAGGGGCCGTCAGGGGGTTTTGGGGGGATTTGGGGGGTCAGGGGGGTCAGGGGGCTGTGTGGGTACCTGTGCGGGGCGCGGGGGGCTCCGGGCGCTGTGGGGGTCTCCAGGAGGAGCGCGATGGCTTTGTGCACCTCGTTCAGCCCCACATGCGCCAGCAGCGCCTCCAGCAGCGGCAGCGACAGCGGCGGGGCCGGGGGGGCCCAGGGCTGCAGCCGCGGGGGGACGTTACCTGGGGGGCACAGAGTGTCACCCCAAATCCCCAATCCCCAATCCCCAAATCCCCGGGGACGTTACCTGGGGGGCACAGAGTGTCACCCCAATACTCAAATCACCAATCCCCAAATCCCCAAACCCCCAAATCCCCAAATCCCCAATCCCCAATCCCCAAATCACCAAATCCCCAAATCCCTGGGGACGTTACCTGGGGACCCAAAGTGTCACCCCAAATCCCCAGGGATGTTACCAGTCCCGTATCCTAAATCCCATCCCCCCAATCCCATCCCCAAACCCCCACCCCAATCCCACCCCCATTCCCACATCCCAATTCCCACCCCCCCATTCCCACATCCCCAAATCCCACCCCCCAATCCCATTCCCAAATCCCATATCCTCATTCCCATACCCCATCCCCACATCCCCATTCCCACCCCCCCTCCATATCCCACATCCCAAATCCCAAATTCCACATCCCCAGTCCCATACCTCATTCCCACATTCCCAAATCCCACCCCCCATTCCCAAATCCTATATCCCACATCCCAAATCCCAAATCCCACCTCTCACATCCCAAATCCCACGTCCCCAGTCCCATACCTCATTCCCACATTCCCAAATCCCAGCCCCCATTCCCACCCCCCCACATCCCAAATCCCACCTCCCACATCTCACATCCCACATCCCAAATCCCATATCCCACATCCCAAATCCCAAATCCCATATCCCACATCCCAAATCCCACATCCCAGATCCCCAAATCCCAAATCCCAAATCCCACATCCCAAATCCCAAATCCCACATCCCAAATCCCACATCCCCAAATCCCAAATCCCACCCCCCATTCCCAACCCCCCATATCCCACATCCCCCACCCCCCAATCCCACCCCCCATATCCCAAATCCCCCACCCCAAATCCCAAATCTCACCTCCCCCACCCCCCACATCCCACATCCCACATCCCAAATCCCAAATCCCACATCTCAAATCCCACTCCCCCCACCCCAAATCCCACCCCACTCCCCCCATCCCGCCCTGCTCACTGTGCATTCTCCAGAGCACGTAGAGCGGGGGGCAGCTCTCGGGGTCAGCGCTCAGCACGTCCCACAGCAGCCGCACGCGCACCCGGCCCGGCTCGGGGGGCTGCAGGCGGGGTGGGGAGGGGGCTCAGCACCGCAAACCCCCCCAGGACCACCCCAAAACCCCCCAAACGCACCTGGGGGCGGCGGGGCGCGTGCTGGGAGCCCAGCAGCAGCAGGGGCAGGTTGCTGGGCAGCGCCAGGCGCTGGAAGTACCAGACCAGGTTCCAGAAGATGATGGGGTGGCTGTCCACCAGCTCGGGCCGCGCCAGCAGCTCGGCGCCCTCGTTCTCCAGCAGGCTCTCCAGCTCCTTGCGCAGCACCAGCGGGCTGACGTAGGCGAAGGCCACGCGCTCCCGGCGCCCCGGCGCCTGTGGGGCGGGGGGACACGCGTGGGACCCCCGAACTGGCGGGGAGGGACGGCCCCTGCCCGGGGCTGCAGTGCCCTGGGATGTGGGAATGGGGGAAACCCTAAATTGTGGTGCTGAGGGACCCCCTAAACAGCCCTGCAATGCCCCAGGACCTGGGAATGGGGGAAAATCCCCCAATTGTGGTGCTGAGGGACCCCTGCTCTGGCCTTGAATTCATTGGGACTTGGGAATGGGGGGGAACCCCGAAATTGTGGTGCTGAGGGACCCCCTACACAGCCCTGGAAACCCCCAAATTGTGGTGCTGAGGGACGGCCCCGGCCCGGGCCTGCAGTGCCCCGGGACGTGGGGATGGGGGAACCCACAAATTGTGGTGCTGAGGGACTCCCTACACAGCCCTGGAAACCCTCAAATTGTGGTGCTGAGGGACCCCTGCAATGCCCTGGGATGTGGGAATGGGGGAAAATCCCCAAATTGTGGTGCTGAGGGACCCCTGCCCAGCCCTGGAAACCCCAAATTGTGGTGCTGAGGGACCCTCTGCAATGCCCCGGGATGTGGGGATGGGGGAAAATCCCCGAATTGTGGTGCTGAGGGACCCCCTGCTCAGCCCTGGAATTCATTGGGACTTGGAAATGGGGAGAAAACCCCAAATTGTGGTGCTGAGGGACCCCCTACACAGCCCTGCAATGCCCCGGGACGTGGGAATGGGGGAACCCCCAAATTGTGGTCCTGAGGGACCCCCTGCAACATACTGGGCCATGGGAATGGGGAAAATCCCCAAATTGTGGTGCTGAGGGACCCCTGCCCTGCCCTGGAATTCATTGGCACTTGGGAATGGGGGAAAATCCACAAATTGTGGTGCTGAGGGACCCCTGCCCAGCCCTGCAAGGGACCAGGAACTGGAAATGGGAGGGACACACTTGGGACCCCCAAATTAGAGGGGGGTACACCCCCTGCCCAGGCCTGCAATGCACCAGGACCTGGGAATGGGGGAAAACCCCCAAACTGTGCTGCTGAGGGACCCCTGCCCAGCCCAGCCCCACCGTCAGGGTCCCCCGACAACCCCAAATCCCGAGTGGGACTGTCCCACCCCCAAATCCCGAGTGGGACTGTCCCCACCCCAAATCCCAAGGGTGAGGAGGGAGCCCCCCGTTCCCACCCCCTCCCCGGTGTGCCCCGGTACCGGGGGCTCGGCGCAGCCGTTGCAGAGCTCGGGGGTCCCGTCCAGCTCCAGGCAGCGCCGGCGGTCGCTGAGCACCGGCCCCTGCGGGGAGGGGGGCACCGGGCCGGGCCCGGGGGGGCTGCGGGAGAGACGGGGGTCACGGGGGTCACAGGGGTGTCCTGGGGGTGTCCCAGGGGTGTCCCAGGGGTGTCCCCAATGTCCCAGGGGTGTCCCAGGAGTGTCCCTGGGGTGTCCCTGGGGTGTCCCTGGGGTGGTGTCCCGGGGATGTCCCAGGGGTGTCCCAGGGGTGTCCCGGGGGTGTCCCAGGGGTGTCCCAGGGGTGTCCCGGGGGTGTCCCGGGGGTGTCCCGGGGGTGGCACCTCGGGGCCCGCCGGAAGTCGCGGATCTCGATGCTGAGGAAGGGCACGAAGGAGCGGGAGCAGAAGGGGCAGCAGGTGTTGAGGTTGGAGTCGTCCGAGGTCCAGCCGGCCATCAGCTCCTCGTCGAACACCAGCGCGGCGCAGCCCGGGCAGCGCGAGCAGCTGGACAGCAGCACCTGGGGGCAGCAGCACCCGGGGCAGCGGGCACTGCGGCCACAGCGGGGCCTGACCCCCAGATGGGGTCTGACCCCTAAGGTGGGGTGTGCCCCTAAAGGTGGGGCGTGCCCCCAAAGCCGGGGTCTGACTGCTAAAATGGGCTCTGACCCCAAAGATGGGCTCTGCCCCCAAAGCCGGGGTATGACCCCAGAGATGGGCTCTGACCCCTAAAATGGGGTCTGTCCCCAGAGATGGGGTGTGCCCCCAGAGACGGGGTGTGCCCCCTAAAATGGGGTGTGCCCCCAAAGATGGGCTCTGACCCCTAAAATGGTGTGTGCCCCCAGAGATGGGGTCTGACCCCAAAGATGGGGTCTGCCCCCAGAGATGGGGTGTGCCCCCAAGTGGGGTGTGCCCCTAAAATGGGGTGTGCCCCCAAAGCCAGGGTCTGACCCCTAAGATGGGCTCTGCCCCCAAAGATAGGGTCTGACCCCTAAGATGGGGTGTGCCCCCAAAGGTGGGGTGTGCCCCCAGAGATGGGGTGTGCCCCCAAAAATACGGTCTGTCCCCAAAGACGGGGTGTGCCCCCAGAGATGGGGTGTGCCCCCAAAGCCAGGGTCTGACCCCAAATCTGGGGTGTGACCCCAAACCCGGGCTCTGCCCCCCACCCATCTGTGCCCCCCAACCCCGCCCTGTGCCCCCCAACCCCTGTACCCCCCTCACCTCCAGGGCGGGGGGCTCTGTCCCCGCTGCCCCATCCGCGGGGGGCTCGGTGGGTTTGGGGGTCCCGCCGCTGCCCCCCGAGGCATCGGACAGGTCCAGCTCGCTGCCCAGGGACACGGAGCTCTGGGGGGACAGACGGGGGGTCAGCGCCGGGACGGGGCCACCCCCGGTGCCACCCCCGGTGCCACCCCAGCCTCACCTCGGACGCGGTGGACTCGGGGCGCTCCCGGGGCCGCAGCAGGCTCTCGGCGGGGCTGCGGCGGGACGGGGGCTCCGCTTCCCGCGGCTCCGAGCCCCGGCGGGCCCCGAGATCCCGGGGGGGCTCGGCGGGCCGCGCCGGGGGCCGTTTACCGGGGGACAGCAGCTGCTGCAGCTTGGCCGCCAGCCCCCGGCGAGGGGTCGCCGCCCCGGGACCGGGACCGGGACCGGGACTTCCACCGGGAGTTCCACCGGGACCATCACCGGGGCTTCTACCGGGACCGCCACCGGGACTGCCACGGGGACCATCACCGGGAACATCACCGGGACCATCACCGGGCCCCCCGGCCGGTCCCTCGTCGCCGCCGCTGTCGTCGGTGCCGATGTCCGAGAGGCTGCCGTCGGTGGAACCGGGGGGTCCCCGCGGGCGCGGCGGCGGCGGGGGCGGGGTGGGGGTCCCGGGGAACCGGGGGCTCTCCCGGGCCGCCCCCTCGGCGGGGAAACTGAGGCTGCCGCTCTTGACCAGGCGCGGGGCCGCGTCCCGCAGGCTCCGGCCCGCCCAGGTGGTCTGGCGCTGCAGCGGGGGGCGCGGGGCCGGGGGGGCCCGGTCACCTGCAGGGACAGAAAACACCCAAAACACCCCAAATTATTCCGGGGATGGGGATTGGCGGGTTCCATTTCTGGTTTTTGGCGTTCTTCTTCCCTCCTGAAAGCTCTTTCTTACTGCAGATGGGCTTTCTGATGGTCCAGTAAGTTTGGTGTCTTTTGTTTTATTTTGTATTTGTATTATTTTTGTTATTTTAAATGCTTCCTTGAGGTTTTTTTGGGTCTTTGAAATACCTACTTTGGAGGAAGTAGGTAAAATGTAGGTAAAACACTTAAAATGCATGGGGTTTTGGGCTAGGTACAACAGAGTGGGTTTTTTACTCATTTTTACTCAATTTTTTTACTCATTTTTGGTTCACTTTAGCTTTCACTGCAGCGAAATTTTGTGATCATCTAGCTACACTAGCTATAAATTTTGTTCTTGTGTATCCTGACAGGATTTATATTCCTGGGCTTTAGATGTGTCGGGTTAACGAACTCAGGCAGTTTAAAAAATACAGTTTTCTTGAGTTTCTACTTGGTTAACCTTGGTTAGGCCCCCTTGACCCCCATAACACCCCCAAACTTTGGTTAGCCCCCCATAACACCCCCAAACTTTGGTTATCCCCCCATAACACCCCCCAAATTTTGGTTATCCCCCCATAACACCCCCACAACACCCCCCAAACTTTGGTTATCCCCCCATAACACCCCCATAACACCCACAAACTTTGGTTATCCCCCCATAACACCCCCATAACACCCCCAAACTTTGGTTAGCCCCCCATAACACCCCCTAAATTTTGGTTATCCCACCATAACACCCCCCAAATTTTGGTTATCCCCCCATAACACCCCCAAACTTTGGTTAGCCCCCATAACACCCCCATAACACCCCCAAACTTTGATTAGCCCCCCATAACACCCCCATAACACCCCTCAAACTTTGATTAGCCCCCCATAACACCCTCATAACGCCCCCATAACACCCCCCAAACTTTGATTAGCCCCCCCATAACACCCCCCAAACTTTGATTAGCCCCCCCTAACACCCCCTAAACTTTGATTAGCCCCCCCTAACACCCCCTCCCCCAGGGGGGATCAGGCCCTGGCAGGAAGGGACGACCCCAGGGGTCTCCCCCAGACCCCAGAGACACTCGGAGGGACCCGATCACCCACAGGGGGACCGAGGCGGGTGTGAGTGGGCACCGACCCCCCGTTCCCCCTGCACCCCTCACCTCGGGGGTCTCCGTCGGTGCCCCGGCGCTGCCGCTGCCGCAGGGGCTGTCGGAACTGCGCCGCTCCCAGCACCACGTTCCGCAGCTTGGCCCAGCGCAGCCGCCCGCCCTGCGTCCCCGCCGGCCACTTGCTCTCCAGCACCGCCTGCCAGGGGGACGTGGGGGGTCAGGAGCACCCAGGGGACCCCCCGGGCCCTCCTCACCCACCCAGGGGCGCCCCTCGGGGTCACCTTGTTGTAGTAGCCGTAGGTGACGGTGTTGGGGACGATGCCGGCGCGTTTCATCTCCAGCAGGACGCGCACGGACAGCACGGGCTCGCCGTACTGCCCGCAGAGCTGCATCAGGATGCGGTAACACACCTGGGGGGGCACCTGCACCTCAGCCTGGCCCAAAACCCACAGCCAGCCGGCCCCAAACCCACAGCCCGCCGGGCCCAAAACCCACAGCCCGCCGGCCCCAAAACCCACAGCCCACTGGCCACAAAACCCACAGCCCGCCGGCCCCAGGACCACCACGCCAACTGCTCACCCGGACACGCCGCTCCAACCCTCCCCACACAGCCTCCTCCAAGGCCTGGCCGCCCTTTCCAGGAGGGATTTCCCCAAATGTCCCCCCTGAGGCTCCCCTGGCACAGCCTGAGGCCATTCCCGCTCTGTTCCTGGAGCAGAGCCTGACCCTGCCGCTGTCCTCTCCTGCCAGGAGCTGTGCAGAGCCACAGGGTCCCCCCTGACCTCCTCTTCTCCAGGCTGAGCCCCTTCCCAGCTGCCTCAGGAGTTCTCCACTCCCTCCTCCTGCTGCTCCAGCCCCTTCCTCATCTCCTGACGTGCTCCAGCCCCTCCCTGTCCCCCCTGCCCCGAGCACTGGGCACAGCACAGCCGCTCCCCGTGCACCTCCGTGCCTGGGGACTCCAGCGCTCCCATTCCAGTGGCAGATCCCATCCCAGCAGCAGATCCCATCCCAGGGGCAGATCCCACCCCATCAGCAGATCCCATCCCAGTGAAAGATCCCATCCCAGCAGATCCCATCCCAGTGACAGATCCCATCCCAGCAGCAGATCCCACCCCAGCAGCAGATCCCATCCCAGTGAAAGATCCCATCCCAGCAGATCCCATCCCAGTGACAGATCCCATCCCAGCAGCAGATCCCACCCCAGCAGCAGATCCCATCCCAGTGAAAGATCCCATCCCAGGGGCAGATCCCACCCCATCAGTAGATCCCATCCCATCAGATCCCATCCCAGCAGCAGATCCCATCCCAGCGGCAGATCCCATCCCAGGGGCAGATCCCACCCCATCAGCAGATCCCATCCCAGTGAAAGATCCCATCCCAGCAGATCCCATCCCAGTGACACATCCCATCCCAGCAGCAGATCCCACCCCAGCAGCAGATCCCATCCCAGGGGCAGATCCCACCCCATCAGTAGATCCCATCCCATCAGATCCCATCCCAGCAGCAGATCCCACCCCACCAGCAGATCCCATCCCAGGGGCAGATCCCATCCCATCCCAGCAGATCCCATCCCATCAGCAGATCCCATCCCATCAGCAGACCCCATCCCAGGGGCAGATCCCTTCCCACCAGCAGATCCCATCCCAGCAGATCCCACCCCACCAGCAGATCCCATCCCAGCAGCAGATCCCACCCCACCCCACCAGCAGACCCCTTCCCTCCAGGCTCCGGGGCAGGACCCCACCCACCTCGTCGGGCAGCACCACCTTGTGCTGCTCCATCTTGCGCAGCACGTCGTAGGCCAGCTGCAGGGCGCGCAGCTTGGCGGGGGCGGCGCGCACGTGGGCGGGCAGGTACAGGAACCAGAGCCCGTAGCAGTGCCCCAGCAGGCAGCGCGCCCACAGCTCCGGCACCGCCGACGACTTCTGCGCCACCCGCTGCGCCACCTTCATCTCCTGGGGACAGGGGAGTGGGGGATGAGCCCCCAGAGCCGTGCCCAGGTGGGCACCTGGCCGGGTGTCACAGCCCAGAGACACCCGTGGGTGTTGGTCCAGCTCACGGGGACACCCAGCCAGGTGTTGTCCCACCCCGGCACCTGCCCAGGTGCCACAGCTCAAAGGCACCTGTGAGTGTTGTCCCAGCTCATGGGGACATTCAGCAACATATTGTCCCACCTGGGCACCTGGTTGGGTGTCACAGCTCACAGGGACACTCAGCTAGGTGTTGTCCCACTCAGGTAGGTGCCCAGGTGTCACAGCTCATGGGGACACCCGGCCAGGTGTTGTCCCAGTGCCTTTGAGCATTGTCCCAGCTCACAGGGACACCCAGCCAGGTGTCCCAGCAGGTGCCCAGGTGCTGTCCCTCACCTGCTTGGTGCGGCGCGGGGCGGGGCTGCTCGGGGCGCTGCTCCGGGCCTGGCACAGCTGAGCCAGCAGCGGGTCCCGGGGCGGCTCCAGCAGCTCCGGGCGCAGCGTGGGGAACCCGTCATACCTGGGGGGTGAGGGGGCACAGGTCAGGGGGGTTTGGGGAGGGGGAGACCCAGGGAGGCCCCCCGGGGGTCTCACCTGTAGCGGGCAGGGGGCTCGGCCCCGTCCGGCCCCGCCGGCTGCTCCGGGGGGGTGATGAACACCGTGTGCTCCCCGCCACGGGGGTCGTCCAGTTCCATCAGGGGAGTGTCCTCGGGCTTCTCCAGGTCCACCTGCACCTGGGGAGGGGCAGAGGGGCGTGGCAGGGACACGGGGACACAGCTTGGGACACACCTTGGGACACACTTTGGGACACACCTTGAGACACAGGTGTGACAGGAACTCGTGGCAGGGACCGAGGGACACACGAGGGACACGCGCAGGGGACACGGGGACGCACCTTGTCGACGCAGGTGTCGAAGAACTCGAGGCAGGGCTCGCGGTCGCTGGCGAAGGAGCAGTCCTCGATGAACTGCGTGAAGAGCTGCGTGCGCAGCAGCTGCCCGTAGAAGCGCTGGTACGCCCGCTCCCGGGAGCGCAGGAACCCTGCGGGACACGGGGATAGGGGTGGGGTCATGGGGTGGGACGGGATCCATGGGGGGGGATCCATGGGGTGGGATCCATGGGATGGGATCCATGGGGTGGGATGGGATCCATAGGATGAGATGGGATAGGGTGGGATCCATGGGGTGGGATGGGATCCATGGGGTGGGATCCATGGGGTGGAATCCATGGGGTGGGATCCATGGGATGGGATCCATGGGATGGGATCCATGGGGTGGGATCCATGGGATGGGATAGGGTGGGATGGGATGGGATCCATGGGATGGGATAGGGTGGGATGAGATGGGATCCATGGGATGGGATCCATGGGATGGGATCCATGGGGTGGGATCCATGGGATGGGATGGGATCAATGGGATGGGATGAGATCTATGGGGTGGGATCCATGGGGTGGGATGGGGTGGGATGGGATGGGATCCATGGGATGGGATGGGATCCATGGGGTGGGATCCATGGGATGGGATGGGATGGGATGGGATGATGGGATGGGATGGGATGGGATGGGATGGGATGGGATGGGATGGGATGGGATGGGATGGGATGGGATGGGATGGGATGGGATGGGATGGGATGGGATGGGATGGGATGGGATGGGATGGGATGGGATGGGATGGGATGGGATGGGATGGGATGGGATGGGATGGGATGGGATGGGATGGGATGGGATGGGATGGGATGGGATGGGATAGGGTGGGATCCATGGGATGGGATCCATGGGATGGGATGGGATGGGATGCACAGGATGGCATGCACAGGATGGGATGGGATGCACAGGACAGATGGGATGCACAGGATGGCATGCACACAACAGACTGCACAGACCACATAACAGACTGCACAGACCAGGACGGGACAAAGACCAGCCACAACCAGCGGAACAGCACAGCACAGCCCTCACAGGGACACATCCTGGGCCCACCCCCCACCACCCGCCCCTTGCCCACGCACCCTGCAGGGCGAAGAGGCTGCCGGCGTCGCGGCCGGCCGGGGCGGGCGCGGGGGCGATGGGGCGCAGGAAGGAGCGGTACCCGCGCAGGGCGCAGGCCATGAAGCGCAGGAAGGCCGCCCGCGCCTCCAGCTCCAGCTGCGCCCGCCGCGCGCCCGCCGCCTCCGCGTCGCTCAGCACCAGCTCCGGCGGCTCCTCCTCGCCCGGCGCGCTCAGCACTGCGGGGACAGCACGGACGGCGTGGGGAGCGGCGCTGGGGAGTGAGGGAACGACCCCGCAGCGCTGATCCCACTGGGAAACGCTCCCAGGCATGGGGGGCATCTCAGCCTTTAACCCCAGCGGGCCGCTCCCAACTTGGTAACAGCACAAGTGGGGGACGCGGCGACCCCCAGCCCCCCCAGCACACCCCCAGGACCCCCACTCACGCTCATCCAGCTGCTGGGACAGGCTGTGCAGCGAGGCCAGCAGCACCTTGCAGGGCCGGCGGGGCAGCGCGCGTGGCGACAGCAGCTTCCGCTCCTCGCTCCTGGGGGCACAGGCACCGGGGCAGGGCGGGACCCCCTGGGACCCCCCCCCGGGACCCCCCGGCACGGCCCACCCGCCCCCGGCCCTGGGGACACTCACTGGAAAATGGTGTTGGTGTCCAGGTCGACGAAGATGACGTCGCGGGGGGGCTCGTAGAGGTCGAAGTAGCTGGAGTGGATGCCTACAATGAAGGGCACGGGGGCACACAGCACGTCAGCCAGCGCCAGCGGGCACAGCGGGATGTAGGGGCACTGCCAGCGCAGGGGGAAGATCATCTGGGGACAGGACGAGGGCGGTCAGCGCCGCAGGGCCCCCGCCAGGCGGGCTGGGGGGCTCAGCGCCGCGGGGTTGGGGTCTGCAGAGCCGTGGGAGCGGGATCACCGACGGTGCCGTGGGATTGGGGTCCCCGGCACCACAAAACGGGGATCCCCGACACCACGGCACGCAGGTCCCCGCGGTGCTACAGGATCCCCAGCACCGAGGGGCGGCGATCCCCACTGCCGCCGCAGGACCGGGGTCCCACGCTGCCACTCACCGCCACCAGGGCTTCGCCCACGCTGGTCAGGACATCAGGGCGTAGAGAGTGGATGAGCAGCTTCTGCTCGGTGAGGACGGCCACCAGCAGTGCCACCGCGTTGTCGGGGCCCAGGTTCTGCAGCAGCGTCAGGAAACTGGCCCCGCTGCGGGCGGGGACACCGCCCGGTCACCCACGGCCCCCTCCCCACCCGTCCCCCCGCAGCAGCGGCCCCCAGCCCCACCTGAGCGGCAGCGGCGAGGACACGGGCCGGCACAGCAGCAGGCTGTCGTACGGGGACATCTGCGGGGACACGGGGACGCGGTGGGGGACGCAGGGACACGCCGGGCCGGGCCGGGGGTCTCTGCAAGCCCCCCCCGGGCAGGGGACTGACCTGGACCAGGATCCGCGGGCGCTGCGGGGACGGGAAGGGCACGTTGTGCATGAAGTGGGAGATGTGCCTGCGGGCGGAGCGGCCCCGTCAGCGGGGCACCGACCGCGGGCCCCCCGCCCCCCCGAGCCCCCCGAGCCCCCCGAGCCCCCCCGAGCCCCCCGAGCCCCCCTCTCCGCGCTCACGTCTCCAGGGGCAGCACGTGGGGGCCCGAGATGGAGTAGCGGTAGATGAACATGAGGAACTTGCGGAAGACCTCGAAGAAGGGCCAGTGGGACAGGACGCAGATGCTCTTGCGGGTGTGCAGGGAGCGCCCGGGCACCGGCCGCCGGTCCACCACGCTGAGCAGCCCCAGGCGCAGCGCCTGCGCCTCCGACAGCCGCTCCCGCGGGAACGCCTCGTGGAACTGGATAGCGGCACCGTACACCTGCGGGGCACGGCCCTCAGGGCACCGCGGGCACCGGGATCCAGGTCCCACAGTGCCGAGAACCCCGGGCACCGGGATCCCTGTCACATGAGGGATGGGACCCCCTGGCACTGGGATCCCAGTCCCACAAGAAATGGGAACCCCTGGCACTGGGATCCCTGTCCCGTGAGGGATGGGACCCCCTGGCACTGGGATCCCAGCCCCACAAGGGATGGGAACCCCTGGCACTGGGATCCCTGTCCCACGAGGGATGGGACCCCGGGCACCGGGATCCAGGTCCCACAAGAGATGGGACCCCAGGCACTGGGATCCAGGTCCCACAGTGCCGAGTACCCCTGGCACCGGGATCCCTGACACACGAGGGATGGGAACCCCTGGCACTGGGATCCCAGTCCCACATGAGGGATGGGACCCCCTGGCACTGGGATCCAGGTCCCACAAGGGATGGGAACCCCTGGCACTGGGATCCCAGCCCCACAAGAGATGAGAACCCCTGGCACTGGGATCCCTGTCCCACAAGGGATGGGAACCCCTGGCACCGGGATCCAGGTCCCACAAGGGATGGGAACCCCCTGGCACTGGGATCCCTGTCACATAAGGGGCTGAGACCTGAGGACCCACCCCCTCCCACAGCACTGGGGACCCCCGTCCCACACCCCCCGAGCCCCCTGTCCTGCCGTGCCTTGTCCCCCGAGGCGCCGGTGAGGACGAAGGTGGAGAAGACGGGCAAGGGGTACTTGGTGCCCACGGGCCAGCTCTCGATGGTGGCCCCCATGGGCAGGCAGAACACGGGCACCGACTCGGGCAGCGGGAAGGACTCGCTGTCCTGCTCGGGGTAGCGGCTCAGCAGCCCTGCACGGACACACGGACACCCGGACACATGGACACCGGACACCAGGATCAGCCCCCCGGGTCATCTCACCCACCCCAATGAGGAGGGGGCAGCCAGGTGAGTGCCCAGAGCTCCACCAAACCACCCCCCAAAATTTCCCCTCAGTGGGAAACCCAATTGCCCCCAACCCTCAGGAAGAGACCCCATTGTCACCCCAGTAAGGGACCCCACTGTCACCCCAGTAAGGGACCCCACTGTGCCCCCTCCCCAGTAAGTGACTCCAGTCCCCAAAGCCTGGCAAGGCCCCCCGAAGGGGCGCTGGGGCAGCTGAAGGACCCCACCTTGTGCTCCCCAAACCCCCCTGAAGACACTCAGGGGCTCCTGCACCTCCCCCAAATCAGCCCCGCACCAGCTGGAGGAGATTAATCAACACAGAAAATACTTTTTAAAACTAACAACGACACTAATCAACTCTGGCTCCCCCTGGGAGCACCCAGAACCCCCATGCCGAGCTGCCCACCTGCCTCGTAGACCAGCGTGTTGTCCTTGGCCACGGCGATCTTGTAGCACAGGAACAACGCGGGGCCCCACTGCAAGGAGGGATGGGGATTTTGGGGGTCAGCAGGGGCTGGGCACCACCCGGGGGGGACAAGAGGGACCCTCCAAACCCACCATGCTGGTGTTGAGGTTCTTGTCCACGCGGCAGAAGGTGTGGGGCGTGCTCTCGCCCTTGCTGGGCATCACCAGGCAGATGTCGGTGACCCCCAGCGTGTGGTGGCCGGGGGGCTCGGCCGCGCGGCGGAAGGTCAGGAACGTGCGCTGGTGGCCCGGGGACCCCGAGGCCAGGTTGGCCGAGCGGCTGTAGGGGGTCGTGTCCAGGATCTGGTAGCCCGGCTTCGGGCGGTCCTTGCCCTCATAGTGCACCCTGAGAGGGGAGAGGGGTGAGGGGGACCCCAGGACTGTCAGCGGCACCTCCAGGCTCTGTCCCCAAACTCTCCCCCCAGCCTGGGGCACCCCACGGGGCCGCTGTGACCCAGAGCGGGACTCGGTCCGTCCCCACTCACCCCAGCTCGATCAGGGGGGGTTTGTCCCTCCCGCGTTTGTAGCACAGGAACATCTGTGGGTTGTTGAGCAGCCCCGCGTTGAGGTCCACGGGGTGGCCCGAGGTGCTGGTCTCGATGCAGGTGAAGCCCTGGGGCACCTCCTCGCCCTGCGAGCGGATGATCACGGCCACGTCCGTGATGGGCTCCCCGGGCCGCGCCGGCCGCGGCTGCTGCTCCTCCTCCAGCGCCCGCGACGCCTCCGCCAGCCCGGCCACCACGAAATAATCCACGAGCTGCGGCGGCTTCTCGTCCGACATGGCTGTCACAGCATCTGCGGGGACACGGGACGTGCCACCGGCCCCGCCGTGCCACCGGCCCGCCGTGCCACCCGCCCCGCCGTGCCACCGGCCCCGCCGTGCCACCCGCCCCGCCGTGCCACCGGCCCCGCCGTGCCACCGGCCCCGCCGTGCCACCGGCCCCACCGGCCCTGCCGTGCCACCAGCCCCGGGACCCCCCGGCCCCGCCGTGCCACCGGCCCCGGGACCCCCCGGCCCTTCCAGCCGCCCCCTCCCCAGCACGGGCAGTGCTCGGAGGAAGGACCCCCACCCCCCCGGTTTTGGGGACCGGCTCCTTCCCTGCGCCCCCCTGTCCCCAGCACCCTCCGTAGTGGCCCAGCCCCGCGGTCACCGGAGCGGGAAAGGGGAAGGAAACGAGCGCCAGGCCCGGCCCCGCGCACCGGGGCGGCGACACGGCCGCGGCCCCGCTGCCGACACCCCGCAGGGCCCCGGGGCTGCCGCCGGGACGGAGCCCTGAGCCCGGGACGGAGGTCACGGCCCCGGCCCGAGCGGTCACAAGGCCGGGAGCGGGGACAGCCCCGCGGACCGGGCGGTCAGACCCGCCTGGGGACACCGACAGCCCGGGCTGCGGTCACCTCCTGCGGCGGGTCCCCGTGTCCCCCCGGGGATGCTCCGTGCCCGTGTCCCGCCGGTGACGCTCCCGGAGGGTTCCCCATCCCGCGGCCGCCCCGGTGGTTCCCGGCGGGGTCCGCATCCCGGTGTGCCCCCCGGTGACTCCGCCACGCACCGGCCCCCGGCCCCCGCAGCCCCGCGGGACCCCCGGCCCGGCCCCCTCCCCGGTTACCCCCTCCCCACACCGGGGCCGGTACCTGCGGGCCGGGCCGGGCCGGGCCAGGCCGGGGCCGCGTCTTTGGGCTCCGCCGGGCCGCGACCGCGCGGCCCCTCCCGCGGCAGCGCCCCCTGGCGGCGCGGAGGACTCCGGTACCGGCAGCCACCGCCCCCCCCCCCCGGGACCCCCCCCCGATCTCCAGAACCCCCCAGATCATCCCAAAGGAACCCCGGGACCCGCAGGAGACCCCTCCGACCCCCCCGGGAAACCCAAGGAGCCCCCAAGGAACGTGGGGGACCCCATTTTTCACACCCCCCCCCCATAAGGGATCCTATCTGCCCCCCCAAAACGAGACCCCTTTGCCCCCTCCCCCTTAAGGGACCCCCGTGTTCCCTCCCCACTCAGCGACCCCAGCCCCAAGGGCCTGGCAGGGCTGGGGGGGCTGGAGCAGCTGAACCCCCTCCTTTTAACCCCCCCAAAATCAACCACACGCCAGCGGGGAGGGGGGATTTAATTAACATAGAATATATTTTAAAAAATAATAATAATAATAAATCACTCTGGCTCCCTCCGGGGGGGGCCCAGGGCCCCCCACCCGCGGACGGGCCCCCACCCCGTGCTCCCCCGGGGGGGCAATTTTGGGGGGGGGGGCAAAGTTACAAGTGCTTTCTACACGTCCCCGGCAGCTGGGTAATTTGGGGAGGGGGCTGGGGGTACATATTGGGGGGGGAGGGCGGGATTTCTCCTTAAACATGATGATTAGCCGGAAAAATGATAAAGTAAAGGCAGAAGCGGCCCCCCCCCAGCCCCCCCAGGGGTCTCTACCTACGGGGTTATGTACAGCCACCCCGGGGGGGGCCGGGACCCCTCCGCCGGGGTCTGGGGGGGTTTGGATTGCCGCCCCCTCCCCGATTTCCCCAGGGTTTTCCCAGGAGAACGGTGCCTGCTCGGGTCTGGGGGTGGGAATTAGGGGAGGAACCCCCCAGGCTTGTTTTGGGGGGGCCATGGGGTGCCTGGATTGTCTCTCCCTCCCCAGTTTTCCCCGCTCCGAGGTGGTCCCGGGGTTTTCCTGGAGCTGGGAGCTGGTGGGGGGGGAACTGGGGGGTGCTGGGGACCCCCCCCAGCCTCGGATGGAGCAGGAGGAGCCCTTGAGTGGAACCCCCTCCCCACAGTTCCCAGGATTTTCCTGGCGCGGCCGAGGGGCAGTCCCGGAGTGGGAATTTTGGGGGGGGGCTCGGAGCCCTCAACAGCGACAGTCTGGAGGGTCGGTGGGGGCGGCAGCGCCCGGACGGAGCCCCCTGCCCGCTTTTCCCGGGGTTCTCCGGGACAACAGCGGCACTGGGGTCTGCAGGGGGTACTGGGGGGGGGGTCACGGTGCCGCCCCCCGCCCCGGGGCAGCCGCGGCTCCCTCCAGCCGGGCTCGGGGCGCCGTTCCCGGGGCTCTCCCGGTTCTCAGCGGGAGCGCAGCGGGCGGCGGGGCCTCCCCGGGCTCACTGGAGGCGGTCGGAGCGGAAGGAGTCCTCGACGGCGGGGTCGGTGAGCAGCGCGCAGGGGTCGCTCAGCATGCTCAGCCCGTCCAGCGTCAGCGGCTCGATGCGCAGCTCCTCCTCCAGCCCCCCCAGCCCCCCCAGAGACCCCCCCTCCACCTCGAAGCCCGGGACCCCCGCCAGCGCCGTCGTGATCTCCTTGGACAGCCCCGGGGGGGAGTCGCCTGCGGGGAAGGGCGGGGGGGACACACGGGGTCAGCCTCGGGGTGACCTGTGGAGACCCCAGGCCACCCACCCTGAGCCCCCACCCCACCTCCCGTGGCACCCCCGAGCCCCCAGCCCACCCCTGGTGCCCCCCCCGAGCCCCCAGCCCGCCCCTGGTGCCCCCCCCGAGCCCCCAGCCCGCCCCTGGTGCCCCCCCGAGCCCCCAGCCCACCCACCCGGCCGTGACACCCCAGAGACCCCCGGAACACCCCCCGAGCCCCACCTGTGAAGATGATGTTGGGGATGGGCCCGTGGCGGCTGCAGTTGCTCAGGTTTGGGCGGTTCAGGCCGGGGGGGTCGTAGCCCCCCTCGCTCGGGGGGTAACTCAGGGCCCCCAACTCCTCGGGGAACCCTCCGCTGTTGCCGGGGGGGCTCTCCCCGATCCCGAACTGCTCCAGCTGTGGGGAGCGACACGTCAGGTGAGACCCCCGCGGCGGCTCCCCGGCCCCTTCCCTCCCTACTGACCCACCCAGAGGGTCTCCACCCCCACATCCCCCCCACCACAGCCCTCCCCCGTGCCCCCACTCACGCTGCCCAGGCCGAAGTCGCTGTGGGGCTGGGCCAGGGGCTGCCCCAGGGCGGCGCCGGGGGCGTACGGGGGGTTGTAGGGGCGCGGGGGCGGCGCGGGGGTCCGCGGCGGGGGCTGGGAGCCCAGCAGCATCCCCGGCTGGCCGTAGGGGTAGGGCGGCAGCCGCTGCTCCGCCGGCAGCTTGCTGGTGTCCAGGGGGACGCCCTGCGGAGACAGTGGAGGGGACGGGGTCAGCGCGGCCCCCCGAGGGTGGGGGGCTCCCCCAGCCCCCCCGGCGCGGGCAGCGGAGCCGGCCCTGAGACCCCCAACTCAGCCACGGCTGCACCCGGACCCCTCTGAGGGGAGGGGGCCTGAAGGGACACGGGGGTCCCCCCCACGGGGGAGTGGGGGCGAGGGGGGCCCTGGGGTGTGGGTGAGATGAGGATGGAAACGAGACGAGAAGTGAAGGGCAGGAGGAGGGGAAAGAGGAGGAGGGCGAGGAGGAGGAGGGTGAAGACAGAGGACAAAGATGAGGTCCAAGACGAGGACGAGGACGGGGAAAAGGAGGAAGAAAAAGAAGACAAAGAGGAGGAACTCGAGAGGAAGAGAAGGAGGAGGAGGAGGGAGGGGAAAGGAGGAAAAGGAGAAGGAGGAGGCCGAGGAAGAGGAGGCGGCGGCGCTGGAGCGTGGGGACAATGCGTACCTGGGTGATGGAGGACAATGTGGGTGACATTGTTGGTGAGAACTGTTTGGGGTGCTGCCGTCTGCAGTCGCCGGCCACGGGCAGGGACAGGGGGCTGAGCGGGACCCGCCGGCGTGGCGAGGTGGCCACGAAGGAGCCCCCCAGCCCCGAGGGCAGGCTGGGGTTGCTGGGCGAGGACTGGAGGGGCTGGCTGCAGGGGGACGTGGGCAGCGAGGGGTTGGAGAGCGAGGAGGACAGGGAGGAAGGCAGGGACTGGTTGGAGAGAGAGGAGGGGATGGAGGAGCTGCTGTGGGAGGACTGGAGCGAGGGGTTGCTGAGGGAGGCCTGGAGCGAGGGGCTGCGCAGGGAGGCCTGGAGGTTGGGATTGCTCAGGGAGGACTGCAGGGACGGGTTACTCAGGGAGCTCTGCAGAGGTGAGGGGAGTCCTGTGGGGACAAAAACAGAGAGCACCGTTACCCCGGCACGGCCCCGAGCCCCGGGACAGCCCGGGCGGGGCTCCCGGGGCACGGAGGGGATGGAGGGGGGGGACGGAGTGACCAAAACGATGGAGACGGACACAGGGACGGACACACACCCCGGGCGGGGGGACAGCGGCGTGAGGGGCACCGGGGCGGGAGATGGGCTCCTCCCAGACCCCTGCGAGACCCCTGACACCGTCAGACCCCAGGGAATGAGAGCCGGGCTCCCCCAGGCCCCCATGGCACCCCAACTGCACTGAACCCCGTAGGGCAACAGGGTGGGAGCTGGGCTCCCCCCCACACCCACAGGAGCCCCAAATCCATCGGACCCCATCCCCACCCCACTCCAGACTGCCGAGGCTCCATCCCAGGGCGGGATTCCTGGAGCTGCCGACTCACAGCCACCCCAGGACAGCTCCTGCCGGGGGCCGGGTCCTTGTGTCCCCGTCTCTGCTGCCCACTGGCCGAGGCTCCCTGTGTCCCCCACACCAGCTCCCAGCTTTGGGGTCCTCTCAGGCCCCCCGCGTGCCCCCGCTGGCTGCAGGGAGGGGGTCCTGGCTCACCTGGGGGGTCGTAGCCCAGCCCGACGCCGCCGGTGCCGCTGATGCCCAGGTGGGTCATGGTGGTGGCCAGGTTGGAGGTGCTGCTGCCCCCGCTCAGGGGCGGGTACGGGGCCTCCTCAGGGTCCAGGGGGGTGGGCAGGGGGGACGGGAAGTGCAGCGTGGTCAGGTCGGGCAGGGACCCCCCCGTGTTGAGGGCCGAGGGCATGAGGGGCACGTTGGCAGGTTGATCCGGGGATGGGAATACGCTGGGGGAGGGGGGAGAGACAGGATCAGGGCAGGAGCGGGGCTGCCTCCCCCAGCAGCCCCTGCCCAGTGTCCCCCAGTGCCCCCCAGTGCCCCCCACCCTGCTCCAGCCCCTCCCCAGCACCCTCCTGCTTCCCAACACCCCCTCCCCAGCAGCCCTTCCCTACCAGCCCCTCCCAGCACTCACTGGATTCCCGGGACCTCGCAGGAGCGCGGCCGGGCCGAGGAGGACGAGAGCTGTGGGATCAAAGAACAGGAGTGAGGCCAGGCCAGGCCACAGGGCTGGGGGACACAGGGGGGACACAGGGGGGACATGGCCACCCACCTTCTTGGCGTCCCAGGGCTTCAGCGAGTGCTTGTTGTCGTCGAAGTTCTCTTCGATGGGAGGCACTTGGAAAAGGAACACTGGGGAGGGGACGGGTGTGGGTCTCAGATTCAAAGAAAGAAATTAAGAGTTTCTAGCCAGGCAAAAGCCTGGATAAAAACTCAATTTCTTTCTTTGACTGAGTCTGAGAGCCACAGACGGTGGGTCAGTGGGAGGAGGGGACGCAGAGGGGTGGCCATCACAGCCCCCCCGGCACAGAGGACACGGCTGGGTGCCACGCTCACCTTTGCTGTCCGAGTCCCCGTCCAGGAAACCTGTGTGGGAGCAGGGGGGTCAGGGGAGCACGGAGGGCAGGGGGCTGCCCTGGGACCCCCCAGAGGGTTTGGGGGCAGCGGGGGGAGCTCACCGGCGCGGCGGCCGGGGGGCGGCCCGGCCTGCGAGGGGCCCAGGTAGGCGTCCTGGGGCGCGGGGTTCATCACGCTCGTGTGCAGCGCCGAGTCGGAATTCGTCCTGGCAACGGGGAGAGCCGCCTGCAGCCGGGCTGGGCCCCGGCCCCCACCCCACTGACAGCCCCCAGCCCCAGCCCCTGCCGTTCCTGTGCCCCCTCCCCACGGGGGTCCCTCTCCCTGCGCGCCCAGAGCGGCTCCGCTCCCGCTCCTCCCATGTGGGGGGACAACGGGACCGCCCTGAGACCCCCCTGGGGACCCTTTAGGGGCTGGGGGCACCCGGGGGGCTCCCAACGAGCTGTTCCAAGGGTGAGGATGGCAGGGAAGGGTTGGGAAGAGGCCGCTGGGACGAGTGACAAAGGGACATTGTTCGGCTGTGGCACAGGGGACCCCTCCAGCGGGGGGCCCCGAGGGGGAGTCGGGGCCACCTCCTCCCCAGGGGCGTCCTGGGGCCTCTCGGGGTCCCCAGGGCCACCTCCTCTGCAGGGGTCCCTAGGAAGGGCTGGAGCCTGGCTTGGGAACAGGGAGAAAACGGAATAAATCCACCCATTACCTGTTGAGAGCCGAGGGCAGCCGGAATAAATGTCCTTTTTCCATGGGGAAATTGTTCCAGGGCATGGTCCTGAGGAGGGAGAAAGTGGGATCAGGGAAGGCATGGGGTGGGGAAGGAGCCAAGGGGGAGGCAGGGAACCCCTCAGCGATCCACGACCCCGTTCCTGGACACGGGAGGGCTGGGAACAGCAGGGGGATGGGATGGGGACAGGGACACGGCTGTCACACCCCACACTGGGACAGAGACACTCCAGGCATGGAGCTGGAGCTCGGACCTGTCCCCTGTCCCTGGGGATTGCCCTCAGCCAGACCCCTCTTCCTGGATGAAATTCCTGAATGAAATTCCTCTTGAAACCCCCACTTTGTGGGACAATCCCAGAATCTGAGAGGCAGGAGCTGCCCCCCAGCCCTCTCCCAGCGCTCCCCTCTGCCTCCATCCCAGCTCCCAGGATCGGTGCCTGTGCCGGAGCCTCTTCCACTCCCAACCCTCGGGGATGGAACAGGATGGGAACGGGCTCCGGGGCTGCAGGGACAGCGGGGAATTACCTCCTCCAGCTGGGCTCAGGCGGAGGCGACAGGTATGTGGGTCCGTAGGGAGAGCTGTCGATGTGGGGGCGCGTTAAGGAGCACACCGGGAGCTCCCGAATCCCGCGGGAAGGGCGGGAGCAGCGGGAGGCAGCGCGGGGCACACGGGACAAAGGATATCTGCCGGACGTAGCGGCGCAGCGGGGACATCATCCGGCGCGGGTCCCGCTGCACGCGCTCCACCAGCCCGTGGTGCCGCGTGCTGCGCGTGGAATCCAGCGGCGACGGGCCCTGCGGGGAGGGGGACGGGAGAGGGGCTCGGCACCGGCTCCGGAGCGTGGGAGGGGGTGAAGGGATTGGGGAACGTCCATCCCAGCCCCAGCCCCGCCGTGGAGTCACCTGGAAGTCGGGAACGCCGGTGCCGATCTGGTTGACGTTGGGCAGGGAGCCGCTGTAGAAGGGCCCCCGGCTGTGGGCCAGACGCAGCTTCTGCGCCTGCAGCTGTGGGGACACGGGGGGGACGGTCATGGGGGGTCACAAACCGCCCCTCACGGCCCCATGGGACACACAGGCTCCTCCTTCCCGCACAGCGTCGCTCCCCACGGCGGGGACGCTCCGGATCCGGCCCCTTCCCGCAGCCACAGCGGGATGGACGGGGGTCAGGATCCCGAGAGGGGATCCCTGCTCCACGCTCCGGGAGCAGAGGCCGGGCCTGGCAGCCCCTGTGTCCCCCCTGTCCCATCCAGGCTCCGGGCTCAGCCCATCCCCACGGATCCAGAGGGATTTTCCACCTCAGCCACGCCAAGGCCGCCCCGGAGATTCCAGCGCCGAGCGGGACTCAAGGCCGGGGACGGAGCGGCAGCAGAGCACGGCGGGAGATAACGGGATCCCAAAAACACCCGGGGGACAGGGAACGGCCCCCACCACCCCTCCAATCCCCCATCCTGACGGAGCAGAGCTCCCCTGATCAAACCCACAGGGAGGAGCATTTTCCTGGGATGAACCCACACAAATCCCCCTTCCCTCAGGAGCTGGGGGGTCCCAAGAGCTGCTGCTCCTCAGTGCCTGGAGAAGTCCCAGGGAAAGAGAAGCTGAAGCCCAAAAAAACAGCTGAGAAACGGGAAACCCCAAATTCCTGAGCGTAAAACCACGGAAATCCAGATCCAGAGGGAAAAACAAGGGAAAGAACCCAAAAAACCAGGAGATTTAGGCAGCAGCTGGCGGGATTAGCGCCCGGAGCTGCGCTGGGGCTTAAGGTCTTGGGATGGAGCACTGAGCTCTGAGCCAGGATCCCTGCGGGAGCTGGAATCCGGGAGCAGCTCCCAAAGAGCCGGGAAAAGCTCCAGGAACCACGGGGCAAAGCTCGGGGGGCTGCGGATCCCACAGGCGGGAGCGGAGCCCGCAGGAACCAGGGATGAGGGAAGGAATCCCCAGAGGAGCCATCCCAGGGAAGGATCAGGGGGTGAATTCCCGGAGGAGAGATTCCAGGCAGGGATCAGGACAGCCCTGCTGCACATTAACCAGCTGTTTGCTCTGCAAACACGGCGGAGGCTTCCCAAAATCCCTGGGGATGGAAGCAGGCAGAGGATCCGGCCCGTTCCCAAACTCTCCAGGGATGCTCCACCCCATTCCTAAACTCTCCAGGAAGGGACAGAAAAGCTCCGGCCCATCCCCGAACTCTCCAGGGATGTCACTGTCACTGTGACATCCCAGATCGCGGGTCCCCGCAGAGCCGGGAGCCACGGGGACCTCCAAGCCAAAAATTCCCGGTTTTTAAAGCTCTGCTGGGTATTCCCTGGATCTTCCCAGGCCCGGAGCTGCCCCCATCCCCTGGAGGGGCCTCTCCGTGTCTCCCGGGATTCCACACTCCACATCCTCGCTCCTCCATCCTGCAGTTTTGCTGGGAAGGACCAAATTCCACCAAACCCCCACAGGTTCCGGGAGGCAATTCCTGAACGCGCTTTTAGGAAAGCACATCTGGAGCGTTCCCGGCCTTCCCGATCCCCCGAGATCCCTCGAGGGAGGCCAGCATTCGCTCTTCCCGGAGCTGCCGAGCGGGATTTATCCCAGATCCCACCCCGGGAGCGGCTCCCTGCCTTGCCCAGGTCCAAACGAGCCCAACCTGAAGCATCTCCGAGGGTCCCGGGGACAGGGACGGAGCCGCAGCTTTGCGGAGGGGACACGGGTGGGATCCCAGCGATCAGGGATCCTCTTCCCACCCCGATCCCGGGAGCTGCGCTTGGAAGCGGCGCCGGCACACGGGACACGCCGGGATCCACCGGAACCCCCTCCCCAAAATCCTCACAGCCCCCTCCGACACCCCCAAACCCTTCAGAGCCCTCCCGGACCCTGCTACCCCCAACCCAAATTCTTCAGAGCACACCTCGCCCCCCCAAACTCCGCCCCAACACCTTCGCAGCCTCCCAAGTGCGCCCTGACCCCCTCCCCAAATCCTTCAGGGCCCCCCCATCCCCTCACGGCCCCCCCAGCCCCCCACACCCTCGCCCCCGCGTCCCCTCACGACCCCCCCACCCAAATCACGGCCCCCGCCAGCTCCTCAAGACCCCCCTCAGCCCCTCACGATTCCCCCGGCCCGCACCCCCTCCGCCCCGGTGCCCCCAGCCCCTCACGGCCCCTCCGCCCCGGCCCCCCCCGCCCCGCGGCGCATCCGGCGCGGCGGCCCGTCCTCACCCGTGTGGAGCAGATCTCCATCATGACCTCCTCGAAGGCCGCGGTCTCTTCCGCCTGCCGCTGCTTCTGCAGTGCGATCTTCTCGCTGAACTTGCGCGGGTTGGACGCACCGGCTCCGGCCGAGGGTCCCGCGCCGGGCCCGGGCCCGGCCCCCGCGCCCGCCGCCGCCATCTTCCCCGCTCCGCCGCTCCGCCGCCGCCGCCGCGCGCGGCACGCCGGGACCTGTAGTTCAGCTGGTAGTGCCAACAGCAGGGTGCGCGGGGTGTCTGGACTACAACTCCCAGCGGTGCGTGCGGGCGCTACGCAGGGAGCGCTGGGAAACGGAGGCGCCGGGTTAAGAGGTGCTAAGCGGTGAGTGAGGTACGGACTACAAATCCCGGAGGGCATCGGGGCGGGAGGGGCGTGGCCGCCGGAGGGGGCGTGGCCTGCGCCCGTGAGGGGAACGGGGCGAAGTGGCGGAGGGGCTCTGAAATGGAGGGGCGGCTCTGGGGTACGGCGGGGCCACCCCCGCCCCGAGCCCGGGAACAGAGCAGACACCCCCACACCCAAAATTAGGGGGAACCAGACCCCCCCAGCCCATATATCCTGGGGGGTGCGCGGGGGACACTGCGACACACACCCCCAGTTCCATCCCACCCGCCCCAGGCAGAGGCAGCACTTCGGGTTCAGTCCTTTATTTGCTTCATCCAACACCCCCAAATCCGGGGGAGTCCGTAAGGGCACTTGTGGTTATGGGGGGGACACTCACCCCCTCCCAGGGTCCTGGGGGGGGGGTCACAGCACCGATCCATTGTGCAGATGGGGAAACTGAGGCACAGCGCTGAGAGGCACTTTGGCACTTCGGAACACGGGGCGCAGGGTGGGACAGGAATTCCCGGAGCGAGAACGGGGGACCCCAGGCGAGCCGGGGTCTCCCCTTGAGAAAGAGGACAGTTTAGAGGGGAAACTGAGGCACAGAGACGGGAGAGGCACTTTGGCACTTTGGAAAGGAGGATGCAGCGGGGGCACATGAATCCCATGGGATTCTCCGAGCCCGGCGTGTGGATCCCAGCCCGGCGCATCTTCATCCCTTGACGAAGAGGATGGCGCTGACCAGCGCGAAGCCGGCGAGGATCAGGATGACCTTGGGGATGCGATTTCGGGGCGCCTCCAGCTCCTGGGGCAGAATCTCCAGGAAGGTGACGAAGAGGAAGGTGCCGGCCGCCAGCCCCTCCAGCACGGCCCGGCACAGGCGCTGCCGCGGCCCCGCGCCCGCCGCCAGCGCCGTGCCCACGCCGACGCCCAGCGGGGACATGAGCGCCAGCAGCACGAGGCACGAGGCCACGGCGGGCGGGCGCAGGCGGCTGCGCAGCAGCTCCAGCGAGAGGCCGAAGGCCACGGCGCCCTTGTGCAGCAGCAGCGCCAGCAGCACGCGCAGCGCGGCCGCGTCGCCCTCGCGCAGCCCCAGCGCCAGCCCCTCCAGCACCGCGTGCAGCGCCAGCGCCAGCGCCAGCGCCGCGGCCCGGAGCGCCCCGGGACCGCCGCCGGCCGCCGGCACCGTGCCCACCGTGCCCACCGGGCCGCCGGGCAGCGCGGCCTGGATGGAGCCGTTGGGCAGCAGCGCCCGCGACTCCTCGGGAGGCTCGGCCAGCTCCCGCTGCGCCAGCGTCACCTGCTCCAGCACCAGCACCAGGAAGAAGCCCATGGCCAGGATGAACTCCGGCAGGGGGAACTGCAGCTGCGGGAAGGGGGGGTCAGTGCCAAGGGGAAGCTGCGGCAGATGAGGATCTTTCCATGCGTCATCGGGAGCACAAGGGGCTCCCGGCGCCGCCGGGGGACAGTGTCATCGTGCCGGGGGAACGTTGTCGCCATTCTGGCTGCTCTGCTGGCAGCGGGCTGGCCCTGCTGTCCCTGTCACTACTGTCCCTCCTCTGCTGCCCCAGCCCCTCTGTCCTTCCCCATCCTCAATGTCCTCCAGCCCCTCTGTCCTTCCCCATCCTCAATGTCCTCAGTGCCCCGTTCTCACTGTCCATCCGTGTCCTTGTCCCTTTCTCACTGTCCATCCCTGTCCTTGTCCCTTTGTCACTGTCCATCCCCACTGTCCATCCCCGTCCTTGTCCCTTTGTCACTGTCCATCCCCGTCCTTGTCCCTTTCTCACCGTCCATCCCCTGTCCCCATTCCCTCCCCTCCAGCCCCTTTCCCAGCAGCCGCAGTTGCTGACCCCGATCCCGGGGACAGGGACACCCATGGGGACGGGGACAGGGACAGGGACAGGTCCCCGGGGTGTCCCGGGGGTCTCACCGTGATGCGCAGCCCCTCCAGCGCCGCAGCGATGCTGTCCAGGTAGTCGGGCAGGAGGTCGAGCAGGAAGGTGCCCATGAAAACGCCGCCCGAGAAGCAGCTCACGAGGCTGAGCACGGGGCTGCGGGGGTCTGGGGGGGAGGAAATTGGGGGGCTGAGACCCCAGAGAGACCCTTCCCCCTCAGCCCTCCCTTGGGGACAGCCCTGAGGTGGGGACAGCCCTGCTCCCAGCCTGCTCCAGACCCTCGGGACCCCCGAGACCCCCAAACTCCATGAGCCCCCGGAATGCTCCAGACACCCACGACCCCCTCCAGCACCTCAGACACTCCCCCGACTCCACAATCCCCCGAGGATCCCCCGAGGATCCCCTGAGACCCCCCGAGGATCCCCCGAGACCCCCCCAGACCCCCCATTCCCGGTACCGGGGGGCTGTCGGAAGCACCAGAGGGGTGCGAGGCCGCAGGCGAGGGGCAGCAGCAGCAGCAGCACCAGCGACCCCAACTTCACGGCCAGCCCGGGCGGGGGCTGCGGGGCCGCCCCGGGGCTCCAGGCCAGCGCGGCCCCGCTCCCGGTGTCCATCGTGCTCCCGGAGCTCAGCGCCCGCCGCCGGGGGAGCTCCGAGCCGCGCTGCGCATCCCCGGGAAGCGGAGCTGCAACGGGACGGGCCGGTCAGAGCCGCCCCCCGGCCCCGGTGACTCACCCGGTGCCGACCCCCCCCCCGCCCGGGGGCCCCGGGACACCGACAGCGCGGCGGGGAGGGACCGGAGCGGGAACAAGGACCGGCACCGGAATCAGGGACCGGGACGGGGAACTCGGGAGCACAGACCGCGTTGGGGGGCAAGGACCGCCACCGGGGACCGCGACGGCAGCGGGGATCGAGGACCGGGACTCGGACCGAGAACCGGGACCAAGGAACGGCACCGAGCGGGATCGGGAGATGAGGGCCGGAATCGGCGTTTCCGGGGATCGGGGTGAGGGAGGGCAGGGCGGGACCGGGACCGGGACCGGGACGGGGACCGGAGCCGCTCCCGCCGCACTCACCGCCCGCCGCATCCCGACCGCGTCCCGGGAACTCCGGGGGGCGGCGCCGCCCCGCCAGCGCGGCCAATAGGGACGCGGAACCGCCGCCGGCGGCGCTGATTGACGCGCGGCGCAGCCAATGGGGAGCGAGCGGAGCCCGCGCGGCCCCGCGGCCCCGGGAGCGCGCACGTGTCCGGGCGGGGCGGGGGAACCCTCCCGGTCCCACCGCGCCGGTACCGGCGGGATCGCCCCGTTCCTGCCCTCCCGGAACCCGTTACCGGGGGCATCCCCCCGGTTCCTCCGCCCCGAACTCCGTTACCGGGACTGAGGGTGGCAGCGGCTCCGGTCCAGAGCCACCCGCGACCGCCGCGGAGCCCCCCCCAGGCCCGGCCCCGTTCCCGGTTCCCCCGCGAGACCCTCCGGGACGCGGTACCGGGCCAGCCGCACCCCCCGCTGGCCCCGGTGCCCGGTAGGGCGGCGGAGCCCCGCTGGGGAGGGATGATCGCGGCCCTTCCCGGCACGGGGCGGGACTTGGCTGGATTCCCCGGGATCCCGGAGATCCTGGTGCTCAGCCCGGCACCGGGCGGAGGCGGCGGCACCACCGGGAACCGGGGAACCCCGAGGAGGGGGCGCGGGGGGTTCATTCCCGGGCGTCGGGGCAGGAGTGATCCCGCGGGGGGGTCCGCCGGGAACCCCAATGGAGGCACCGGAGCTCCCGGAGCTCCCGGAGCCGGACGGGCTCTTCCCGGATCCCCCCTCGCTCCCGGTGCCGGTACTGGGCTTCCAGACCTTGACGCTCCCGGAGGATGATGTGAGTGGGGCCGGGAGGGGCGCGGGTGGGCAGGACCCCCACGGGGACACCGGGATGTCCCGGGGATCCCGTCACGCGTCCCGGTATCCCCGCAGGGCAGCGGAGCCGAGGAGCTGCTGGGGCTGACGGTGAACCCCGACATCGCCTGCGGGCTCGGCAGCAGCCCGGAGCGCCCCCGGCCCGCCGGGCCGCCCCCGGTGCTGCTGGAGGTGGTGTGTGACCTCAGCACGGCCCTGGACCCCTCGCTGTTCCCGGGCATCCCGCTGGCCCCGAGCCCCGAGCCCCGGCCCACGGTGAGTCCCGCACCCCCGGTTCACCCCGGATTCCCCGGTTCACCCCGGACCCCTCCCCAGTTCATCCCCAGCCCCTCCCAGTTCACACCTGGACCCTCCCAGTTCACACCTGGACCCTCCCAGTTCACCCCAGCCCTCCCAGTTCACTCCCAGACCCCCCCAGTTCACTCCCAGACCCTCCCAGTTCACCCCAGACCCCCCCAGTTCACCCCAGACCCCCCCAGTTCACTCCCAGACCCCCCCAGTTTACCCCAGCCCCTCCCAGTTCACCCCAGACCCCCCCAGTTCACTCCCAGACCCCCCCAGTTCACTCCCAGACACTCCCAGTTCACTCCCAGACCCCTCCAGTTCACTCCCAGACCCTCCCAGTTCACTCCCAGACCCTCCCAGTTCACTCCCAGACCCCTCCAGTTCACTCCCAGACCCCCCCAGTTCACTCCCAGACCCTCCCAGTTCACTCCCAGACCCCTCCAGTTCACTCCCAGACCCTCCCAGTTCACCCCAGTCCGTCCCTGTCCTGCAGCTGCGGCTGACGGAGGAGGAGAAGCGGCTGCTGGCGCAGGAGGGGGTGACCCTGCCCGGGGCGCTGCCCCTCACCCAGGTGTGTGCGGGGGCTCGGGGGGCACGGGGGGCCCGGGGGGCGGCAGGAGTGACCCCCGCGTGCCCCAGGCCGAGGAGCGGCTCCTGAAGAAGGTGCGGAGAAAGATCCGGAACAAGCAGTCGGCGCAGGACAGCCGGCGGAGGAAGAAGGAATACCTGGACGAGCTGGAGAGCAGGTGGGGCCGGTGTTCCCGTTATCCTGGCGTTCATTCCCGTTATCCCGGCGTTCATTCCCGTTATCCCGGGTGTGTCCCCCTCCCAGTCACTGTCCCCGTCTCTGTCCGGGCAGGGCGGCCGCGTGCTCGGCGCTGAACCAGGAGCTGCGGAAAAAAGTCCAGGAGCTGGAGATGAGTAACGGGTGGGCACGGGATGGGCACGGGATGGGCACGGGATGGGCACGGGATGGGCACGGGATGGGCACGGGATGGGCACGGGATGGGAAGGGGCACCAGGAGGGGCACGGAGCTCACCCCCATTCCCGCAGGTCTCTCCTGCGGCAGCTCCAGGCGCTCATCAAGGAAACGTCCACCAAGCCCGCGCAGACCGGCACCTGTGTCCTGGTACGGCCCCTCCAGGACCCTCCCGGGACCCTCCCGGGTGCCCTGGCCCCGCTCTGGGGCTCATGGCTCCCATCCCTCCCCCAGATCCTGCTCCCATCCCTCCCCAGATCCTGCTCCTGTTCCTGGGCTGATCCTGCTCCTGTCCCTCCCCAGATCCTGCTCCTGTCCCTGGGGCTGATCCTGCTCCCGTCCCTGGGGCTGATCCTGCTCCCGTCCCTGGGGCTGATCCTGCTCCCATCCCTCCCCAGATCCTGCTCCTGTTCCTGGGGCTGATCCTGCTCCCGTCCCTCCCCAGATCCTGCTCCTGTCCCTGGGCTGATCCTGCTCCCATCCCTCCCCAGATCCTGCTCCTGTCCCTGGGGCTGATCCTGCTCCTATCCCTCCCCAGATCCTGCTCCTGTTCCTGGGGCTGATCCTGCTCCCATCCCTCCCCAGATCCTGCTCCCATCCCTGGGGCTGATCCTGCTCCTGTCCCTGGGGCTGATCCTGCTCCCATCCCTGGGGCTGATCCTGCTCCCATCCCTGGGGCTGATCCTGCTCCTGTTCCTGGGGCTGATCCTGCTCCCATCCCTCCCCAGATCCTGCTCCTGTTCCTGTGGCTGATCCTGCTCCCATCCCTCCCCAGATCCTGCTCCTGTTCCTGGGGCTGATCCTGCTCCCATCCCTCCCCAGATCCTGCTCCTGTTCCTGGGGCTGATCCTGCTCCCCAGCTCCAGCCCGTTCCCCCGGAGCAGCAGCCGGGATGGCCTCGGACCCACCGGAGGTACCGGGAGCACCGGGAGGGGGTGGGGACAGCCCCGGCCTGTCCCTGCTCCCACCCATCCCAGCCCTGCTCCCGCAGGGATCTCCAGGAACATCCTGACCCTGGCGCGGCAGGAGCCGGCAGCGGCCGGAGAATCCCCGTTCCCATTCCCGTGGTGGATGTCGGGGACGGAGCCGGGATCCCGTGTGGAGGACAGAGCCCGGGCAGCGCCTGGGGATGGGATTCCCACCCCCCAGGGGGATCCAGGCTCCAATTCCTCCCGGCAGGACACGGGGACAGGGACATGGGGACACGGGGAGGAGATGTGACCAGGAGGCCTCAGGACGGGGAACGCTCCAGAATAAACCCACACTCTGTTTGCACCCCATGGAATGCCGGGGGGTCGGGAATGGGGGAACCCCCCAAAAGGCAAACATTCCAGTGCTGCTGCAGCCACACGGATCAGGATTTATTCCACATCCCACTCTGGGCTGGGGATTCTCTGCATGCTCCTGGGGTAGATCCCACGCTGGAGGCAGCAGGGATCCCCCAGCAAACAAACACAGCATCACCCCGGGAACCACGACCAGGATTTATTCCATACCCCTCTCCTGGGGCAGATCCCAGTGCTGGGGGGACGGGGATCCCCCAAAAGGAAGGAGCCCAGCGTCACTCGGAGCAGTGACCAGGATTTACCCCACATCCCGCTGCGGGGATCCCCGGGACGCTCTCCCCAGGCGGATCCCAGCAGCGCTCCCGGGCAGCGAGGCAGAGCTGCTCCTCCTCTCTCCCGGAATTCCCGGTTCCCGCTAAATGGACTCGATCTGCTTGCGGACCTTCTCCAGCGCCCGCCGGTCCAGCACGCGCTGCCGCAGCACCACGAGCGCCGCCGCCGCCGCCGCCACCGCCAGAGCCGAGCCCACGAAGCGCCAGAAGCGCTGCGCCTCCAGCGCGGCCGAGCGGCAGCTGCGGGACGCCCGGTCACCGGGAATTCCGGCCACATATCCCGGGAATTCTGGCCATATCCCCCGGGAATTCCCGGCCCCGACTGAATTCCCAGCCCTGATCCCACAGAGCTCCCAAGCCCCAATCTGCCAGGATTTCCCAGCCCCGATCCCACAGCAATTCCCAGCCCCGATCCCACAGCAATTCCCAAACCCCATCCCACAGAAGTTCCCAAACCCCATCCCACAGGAGTTCCCAGCTCTGATCCCCCTGGAATTCCCAGTCCTGATCCCCTGGGAGTGACCAGCCCCAATCCCCCAGGAATTCCCAATCCCAGAGGACTTCCCAGACTTGATGCCCCAAGAATTCCCGGCCACAATCCCCCAGGAATTCCCAGTCCCAATGCCCTGGGAGTTCCCAGTCCCAATCCCAGAGGAATTCCCGGCCCTGATCCCACAGGAGTTCCCAGCCCCGATCCCCCGGGAATTCCCAGTCCCAATCCTACAGGAATTCCCGGTCTCAATCCCAGAGGAGTTCCCGGCCCCACCTCTTGTACTCATCCCGGTGGGACGAGGCGCAGTTGATCTTCTCGATGAAGCCGGTGGGGCCGCAGGCCGGGATCGTCTTCTGCCAACCGGGGAACGGAGCGCTCGGTCGGGGAGAGACCCCCGGGCCAGGGGGGACCCCAACCCCCGCGGCCGCCCCGGGGACCCGCACTCACCATCTCGAAGCCGGAGCACCGCGTGCACTCCTGGGCAACCACGAACTGCTCCACTCGCCAGCACGGCGTGGCCACCGCGGGGCTCGCTGCGGGGAGGGAGATCGCCTTACCGGAGAGCCGGCGGGGAGCGCCCCGGTACCGGGCAGAGCCGCACACCCGGACCGAGACCCCACTACCGGACAGACCCCTCCGGCTGAGCCTCCCAGACACGGTTCTACCCCGGTACGAGCCCCCCGGGAGCGATCCGAGCCCTCGGGACCGGTCCGAGCCCCTCACACCCCGGTCCGAACGTCGGGACCCGACCGAACCCCCCGGGACCGGACCGAGCCCCCCAGACCGTCCCAGACGCCGGCCCGGCCCTGCTCACCGGGCCGCTTCTCGCTCGCCGCCGCCGCCGCCGCCGCCGCCGGGCTGTGGGCACACAGGCGCTGCCATGAGGGCCCGCACCGGGCCCGCCCCTCACACCCCCCGGTCTCCCCCGGTCCCCGCTCACCGCAGCCCGCCCGGCATCGCGCTCAGCACCGCCAGCAGCACCGTGAGGCCGCCGGGCCCCATCGGGGCGCCGGGATCCGCCGGAAAGCCCCGGGAGCCCCCGGGATCCTCCGGGAACCACCGGGAACTACCGGGCCCGGCCCCGCCGCCACCGCGGCGCGGCCATGTTGGAGGTGCCGGGAGAGGGGCGGGGCCTGGCGGGGGCGCCGGGCTCAGCCAATGGGAGCGAGGGGCGTGGCTCGAGGGACATAAAGGGGCGTGGCTTGTCCATAACCGGGCGGTTCGGTTTAATGAGGGGCGGGGATATGCACGAGAGGGGCGTGGCTTTAGTGGTGGGCGTGGCTTGGGCGCGGCCTCGCCGCCGCTCGTCCCGGTCCCGGTCCCGGTCCCGGTCCCGGTCCCGGTCCCGACTCCGATCCCGGTCCCGGTCTCGATTGCGATCCCAGTCCCCGTCCCGATCCCGGTCCCAATCACAATGCCCATCTCAGTCCCAGTCCCAGTCCCAGTCCCGGTCCCGCTATCGATTGCGATCCCGGTCCCAATCGCAATCCCCATCCCAGTCCCGGTCCCGATCCCGACTCCAATCCCGATCCCGATCACGACTCTGATCCCGGTTTCGATTGCAATCCCGGTCCCGATCGCAATCCCCATCCCGGTCCCAACTCCGATCCCGGTCCCGGTCCCGGTCCCGGTCCTGATCGCAATCCCTATCCCAGCCCCGGTCCCGATCCCGGTCCCAATCACAATGTCCATCTCAGTCTCAGTCCCAGTCCCGGTCCCGGTCCCGGTCCCAGTCACAATTCCCATCCCGGTCCCGGTCCCGGTCCCGACCCCGTTCCATCCCCTGCCAACCCCCGTCACACAGACTCCAGAGCCGGGACAAGGCACAGCGGGGCTTTATGGCACAAGGAGAGAGGGGGGCAGCCCCAAATCCCCCCGAACTCCCCCCCAGATCCCTCGGGAGAGGCGCCTGCGCTGCCCCGGGGGTCCCGGGGAGCTCCCGAGCCCCTACCCCAGGGAGCATCTCCCGCCGGCCTTCCAGGGGGTCCCGGGCTCCAGCGGGGCCCTGCTGCTGCTGCCGGGGGGCTGCGAACAGAGGGGGGGTCAGGGGGGCGCGGGGGGTCCCCGGCCTGGCCCCCACCCCCCCAAATCCCGGCCCCACTCACGCCTTTCCGGAAGGATTTGTGCAGGATGTCCCGAGCCAGCGTGCGGAAGGCCTGGGGGCACAGGGGCTGCTCAAGTCGGGGGCAGTGCCCGGGGACCCCCGGGAGGAGGGAGGGACCCCCTGTCCCGCCAAATTGGGGGTGCAGCCCCCCCGGCCCGGGACCCCCCTCACCTCCTCCACGTTCTCGCTGGACTTTGCGCTGGTCTCGAAGAAGCGAATCCCGTGTTCCTTCGCCAGCTGAGCGACCACGACCCCCCTGTGATCCCCACGCAGCCCCTCCAGCCCCCTGCGACCCCCCCAAATCCCACTAAACCCTCCTGTGATCCCCCCCAAATCCCACTAACTCCCCCCAACCCGCCTGTGACCCCCCTTCCCATAGAGCCCCTCCAGAGTGTTCCCAGAGCCCCCCAGCCCCACAGCCACCCCCAGACCCTCCCGCCCCACGGAGCCCCCCGAGTCCCAGCCCCACGGACCCCCCAGATCCCCCCGAGCCCCTGCCCACCTTCTCGGCCGCCTCCCGCTGCACTTTCCGCCTCCCCTCCATGTCGCACTTGTTGCCCAGGAGGAGCCGCTCGACCCCGGCCGAGGCGTTCTGGGGAGGGGGGAGAGGGAAGAAAAACACGGGCAGGACCCTCGCGACCCCCCCCACCCCCCACGCGACCCCCGGAGTCCCCCCACCCACCTCCTTGATGCTTTTCATCCAGTTCTGGATGTTCTCGAAGGATTTCTCGTCCGTGATGTCGTACACCAGCACGATGCCCTGGGGGGATCGGGGGTCAGGGGGGGTCGGGACCCCTTGCCCGCGGTTTTGGGGTGGGGTCCTCGCCCCTGGAGCCCCCCCCGGGCTGCAGCCCCCTGCCCGTACCACGGCTCCGCGGTAATAGGCCGTGGTGATGGTTTTGAAGCGCTCCTGTCCCGCCGTGTCCCTGCGGAAACGGGGCGGTTTGGGGGATTTTGGGGGAAATTCGGGGGTCTCTCCCACGCCCCCCTCCCCAACCAACTCACCAGACCTGCAGCTTGATCTTCTTCCCATCGATGTCCACAGTGCGGATCTTGAAGTCGATCCCTGGGGAAAGGGAGAGAGGCACTGGGAGTGGAGGAGCAGAACCGCTCCCAGTGCTCCCAGTTCCCCCAGTATCCCCAGTTCTCCCAGTGCCCCCAGTGCCCTCCCAGTGCTCCCAGTGCTCCCAGTGCCCTCCCAGTGCTCCCAGTGCCGGCATTCCGGCTCCCAGTAACCATCTGGCTCCCCGGGAAAGGAAAGGGCCAAAATCCGGGAGGGGAATCCCGGAGCATTCCGGGCTGAAGGTTCCTGGCAAGAACCGGGGTCCCGGTGGGGGCTCTGGTCGGTCCCGGGATGGGGGTCCCGGTGGGTCCCAGGGTGGGAATCCCAGCGTGGGGGTCCCGGACACTCCCGGTGGGTCCCGTTGGGAGGTCCCGGTGAATCCCGGAGGTTCCCAGCTGGGGAGGGTCTCGGGGGGGAAGGGGGTCTCAGGTTGGGGGGGTCCCGGACAATCCCGGTCGGTCCCGGTTTGAGGGGTCCCGGTGAATCCCGGTGGGTCCCTGTTTGGGGGATCCCGGAGGAGTCCCAGGATGCGAATCCCAGTGCGGGGGTCCCGGACAATCCCGGTCAGTCCCGGTTTGGGGGTTCCCGGTGAATCCCGGAGGCTCCCAGCTGGGGAGGGTCCTGGACAATCCCGGTGGGTCCCGGTTTGGGGAGTGAGTCCCGGTTTGGGGGTTCCCGGTGAATCCCGGTGGGTCCCGGTTTGGGGAGTCCCGGTTTGGGGGGTCCCGGTGAATCCCGGTGGGTCCCGGTTTGGGGAGTCCGGGTTTGGGGAGTCCCGGTTTGGGGGGTCCCACTGACCGATGGTGGAGATGTAGGTGCTGCTGAAGTTGTCCTCGGCGAAGCGGATGACGAGGCACGTCTTGCCCACGCCGCTGTCCCCGATCAGCAGCAGCTTGAAGAGGTGGTCGTAGGCCTTGGCCATGGCCCCGCCACCGCCCGCCGCCACCGGGACCGGCACCGGGACCGGGACCGGACCGGCCCCCCCGGGCGGGGCCTGGCTGCGGCCCCGCCCCCCGCCGTGACGCCACGCCCCGGTGACGTCACCCCATGGCAGCCTGACGTCACGAACGAGCGGTGCCACCCCCAAAATGGCGCGAGCGGCAGCTCAGGCGGCCTTCCCAAGATGGCGGCAACAGCGGGACCTTCCCACAATGACGGAAACACAAACCGCCATGAGGCCCCTTCCTAAATTCCAACAGCTGAGGCCACCGCCCCACATGGCCGCAATGAGAGGCGCCGTCCCCAAGTGACAAAACTTTAATCACAGTCCCAAACGCGGTCAGTGAGCGACCCTCCCAACATGGCGTCCCCAGCGCGCCGCAGTGCCACCCGGCCCTGCCCCTGTTCCGGCGGAAATGGCGGCGCGGGGCTGAGCCCGTCCCTTTCCGGCCCCTCACGCCGCCGCCGCCATGCCCGTGAGTGCGGCCCGAGCCCGCCCGGGCGCCGCCGCCCCCGCGGCACCGCGGCTCCGCGCCCGGCGGGGCCGGCCAGGGGCGGGAGGGCGCGGGGGAGGCGCGGGGAGCGCGGCGGGGCCGGGGCGGCGCGGGGCGCTGCGGGCGGGCGGCGGCGGGCGGCCGCGCCAAGATGGCGGCAGCGGCGTGAGGGGAGTGGGGGGGCAGCGGGAGCGGTGTCCCGGGACTGACCCGCGGCGTGTCCCCGCAGCTCGCCAAGGACCTGCTGCACCCGTCCCCCGAGGAGGAGAAGCGCAAGCACAAGAAGAAGCGGCTGGTGCAGAGCCCCAACTCCTACTTCATGGACGTCAAGTGCCCCGGTGGGCACCCAGGGCCTCCCCGTGTCCCTCCGTGTGTCCCGCTGTTGGCCCCGCTCTCTTAACGCCATTCCTCGTGTCCCGTGGCCTTTCCACGCGTTTATTTCCCCGTGTTCTGACGTCTCTCCGTGTCTTCCCTCCATGTGCCCTGCGCTGTCTCAGGGTCCCCTTTGTGTCCCCTTGTCGCACCCCCTCCCCACGTGTCGTGGCGTCCCTGCGGGTCCCCCCACGCGTGTCCCCCCGCTGACTCCGCTGTCCCCGCAGGCTGCTACAAGATCACCACGGTGTTCAGCCATGCCCAGACCGTGGTGCTCTGCGTGGGCTGCTCCACGGTGCTGTGCCAGCCCACGGGGGGCAAGGCACGGCTCACCGAGGGTGGGTATCCCGGGGGCGTTGGGAGTCCCAGGAGATGGGGGGCTGCTCCATGGGGAGGGCTTTGGGGGGCTCTGGGAATCTTTGGGGTGGGGGCACAGGGTGTGGGGAGCCCACTGGAGACCCTCATGAGGGGCTGGTTCTTCTTGGGGGTGGGGGGATTTGGGATCCCAGGGGGTGCTGGTTCCCCCCTCAGTAGAGTTTGGAATTCTGGCTGTTTTGGGAGCCTCCAGCAGCAAAATTCCCCCAAAATTTGGGTTGGGAGACGTGGGATTCCCATTCCCAGACCCTGCAGCATTCCCAGGATTTGTGTGTCCCCCCAGGCTGCTCGTTCCGGCGGAAGCAGCACTGAGCCAGCTGGGATGCCACGGAGACAGACGGAATTCCGCCCAGTCCCTGTAGCCCCCTCCGCTTCCCACCAATAAATTTTGGATAAAACACCCAGAATGGGTCGGTTGTGGTTCTTGGCTGCAGGGTTTGGGGGCGTGGGGAGGGAATTCCTTCCCTGGGAGGGTTGAGGGATCCACGAGCCGGTGGTGCCACCACCACCACCCTGGGTGGGACAAATCTCCCTGTCCTTCTGGAGACCCCTGGGATGCTCCAGCTGGGAATTCCACGTGAATAAACCTTTTCTGTCTGTGGTTTAACTGGGAGAACTGGGAATATCTGCGCTCTGATCCTAACGTGGATCCTGTTCCCACCCCGGTTTTCCCATCTGGAATGGAAAAACCGGGATGTTTTGCCCAGATCTGGGGTGAAGTGGGGGGCTCAGCTCTCCCCATTCCCACCCGGAGCTCCCAAAATCCATCCCCAGGCTCTGGTGGGAGCCTCTCCCGGGATTTTGGGGCCGCTGGAAGGACGAGCCCCGTCCCTGCCCGGCTGCTTTCGGAGGCTCCAGCCCCACTGGCCCCTCGGATTTAAAGCGAAATCGAAATCGGGGTTTCGGTTCCTCGCTCCCTCATTTCCTGGTTCGTGATTTCTGCCCGCGGCGCCGCTGCCAGGTGCCCCAAATCCCGGAATTCCTGCCCGGGAAGGCTCCGGATCCCCGCCCCGATCCCCCTGCCCGGCCCCGCTGGAGCTCGGGGTCACCCCGGGGCCCTTCTGGAGGTAATTTGGGAGCCTGGGATGTTGAATCCCCGCCCCAGGAGCACTTTGAGGAAGTAAAACTCCGGGACAAGCGGATTTATGGGGGATTTGGGGTCTGTTTTATCCCGAGGCTCTGCCTGGATTGTGGGATTGTTGCTCCTGGGGGGCGGCTGTTGGATAAAACCAGGGAATTCGGGGATTTTTGGGCGTGGATTTGTCCCAGAGGTGCTGGGGTGGCTCAGATGTGTCCCGGCCTGTTCCACGGACACGGACACGGGGCTGGCTCCCGGATTCTCCCTGCAGGGAATTTTGGGGTGCGTGTCCGGGCGGGCCGGTGGCATCACCAGGTCACCCAGGTGTTGCCACCTCCCTGCCCAGACCGGATTTGTCACCGAGGGGTCAATCCCGGCTCCAAATCCCGGGATGGAGCCACTGGCCCCCGTCACCCTCCTGGCCCTGCTGGTGCTGGCACTGGGACACCCCGACCCCGCGCTGGACCGGCACTGGGAGCTCTGGAAAAAATCCTACGGGAAGGAATATCAGCCCCAGGTGGGAATGGCACGGGGAGGGAGCTGGGGATGTGCCAGAGGTGCCCTGGGAATATCCCAGGATTTTCCGGGGGCTCTCCTGGTGGGGTAACCACCGGTTGAAAAAGATCTGAAGGCGCTTCCACAAGGGATGACCCAGTTTGGGCTCCCAGCAGCCTTTACTGGGATGAACTGGGGCGGGATGGCTCCGGAGGGGCCGGCCCGGCTCTCACGGGCCCCTCTGGAATTCCAGGAGGATTCTCTCCGCCGCCTGACGTGGGAGAAGAACCTGTGGCTGGTGACACTGCACAACCTGGAGCACTCGCTGGGGCTCCGCTCCTACACGCTGCGCATGAACCACCTGGGGGACATGGTGGGTGCTGGTTCAGCCCCCCGGAATCGCCCCGGAGGGCGGCTGAACCGGGAGTTTGGTGGGTCCGGGGCGGGGAAACTCCTGATATCCCCCTCAGCCCATCCCAGTGGGATCCAGGGACCGGCTGCTCTGGAATTCTGTGAGGAAAGGACTCCTTGGGGTGGGATTCGGGGCACACGGGAGCTGGGGTGCTTGTTTGGGATGTTTATGGGTCATCCCTCTTCTGTATGCCAAATTTGGGGGGGGTTATGACCCAGCTTCCAGGGATTTGGGGAGCTGGAGCTGAGCTTTTCATTTTCTGATAAAAACCTGGAAATTAGGTGGAAAAACAAGGAGTTGAGGATCCCCCACAGCCAATTCCACCTCAGAATTCCCCCGCTGCCTTCAGGTGGGGCTCACAGGGAGCAGGAATCACCCTCTGGGATTTTCCTTCCCACCAGACCAGCGAGGAGGTGGCGGCTTCGCTGACGAGGCTCCAGACCCGTCCTCGTCCCCGCCGGAATTCTGCATTCCCAGCCCAATTCCGGCCGGTCGGGGACATCCCAGAGGCGCTGGACTGGCGGGACAAGGGCTGCGTGACCGAGGTGAAGAACCAGGTGAGCCTCACCCCGGGAGCCTCCCGGGAGCTCCCCGGGGCAGCTCCTGAGCCCCTCCCGGCTCCTTCCCAGGGCGCCTGCGGATCCTGCTGGGCCTTCAGCGCCGTGGGAGCGCTGGAAGCGCAGGTGAAGCTGAAAACCGGGAATTTGGTGTCCCTGAGCGCCCAGAACTTGGTGGATTGCTCCGGGATGTACGGGAACAAGGGCTGTGCCGGGGGGTTCATGACGGAGGCGTTCCAGTACATCATCGACAACGGCGGCATCGAGTCCGAGGAGTCCTACCCCTACACGGCTCAGGTGGGCCTGGGAAGCGCTTGGGAAAACTCTTTCCCAGGAAAAAAACACATGGAAACACCGCCCTGTTCCTGCTTTCCTTCCTCCTCTCCCATCCAATTCCCCCTGCCCCGGTTTCCTGGTGGCACCTCAGGATCCAAACCCATCTCAGGAACTTTGGGATTATTTGGAGGGGAGTGACTGGACCAGGAGCTGGAATTCCTACCTGGTTATTTCACCATTTCTTAGGCAACGAGCTGGAGGGGAGGGAGGAATGGGTCAGGAGCCTCCTGAAAACACGATCCCGGGAAATGGGTCACAGCAACAACAGCTCAGTCCAAGAAAAAGTGGGATTTAACTCTCCAAACGTGGAGCTGCAGAGGGAAAAGCTGCTGTTCCTGGGGTCCAGAGGGAATGAGAAGCATCTGTGGATAGGGAGGGTGAGGATGGAGACTCCAGGGAAGAGGAGGATGAGGATGGAGGCTTGTGCTGGATTAGTTGGGATTGGGAAGGGGAACCAGCCCCAGGATGGAGTTGGAGTGATGTTTTTGAGGAAAAAGGGTGGAGAAACCTGTGGGAACAAACAAAGCCAAGGACAGGGAAGGCAGGGCTGGAGGGGCTTGGACAGAGCTCCGGGGTCTGGGAACGCTCCTGGATCTCATCAGCTCATTCCCATTTCCCAGCTGGTTCCTGTTTCTTGGCTTATTTCCATTTCCCAGCTTGTTCCACTCCTGGCTGATTCCCATTTCCCCGTTCATTCCTGTTTCCCCTTTTGTTCCCATTTCCCAGCTCATTCCCATTTCCCATTTTGTTCCCGTTTCCTGGCACATTCCCATTTCCTGGCTCGTTCCCATTTCCCAGTTCATTCCCATTTCCCGGTTCATTCCTGTTTCCTGTCTCATTCCCATTTCCTGGTTCATTCTCGTTTCCTGTCTCGTTCCCGTTTCCCGGCTCATTCCTGTTTCCCATTTTGTTCCCATTTCCCAGTTCATTCCCATTTTCTGGCTCAATCCTGTTTCCCATTTTGTTCCCGTTTCCCAGTTCATTCCCGTTTCCCGGTTCATTCCCGTTTCCTGTCTCATTCCCATTTCCCGGTCCGTTCCCATTTCCCGGTCCATTCCCATTTCCCGTTCCGTTCCCATTTCCCGGTCCGTTCCCGTTTCCCGGTTCATTCCCATTTCCCGGTCCGTTCCCGTTTCCTGTCTCGTTCCCGTTTCCCGGTTCATTCCCGTTTCCCGGTTCATTCCCATTTCCCGGTCCGTTCCCGTTTCCTGGTTCATTCCCGTTTCCTGTCTCGTTCCCATTTCCCGGTCCGTTCCCGTTTCCCGGCAGAACGGGACGTGCCACTACAACGCCTCGGCCCGCGCCGCCTCCTGCTCCCGGTTCCTGGAGCTGCCCGAGGGCGACGAGGCCGCGCTCCGGGACGCCGTGGCCACCGTGGGCCCCGTGGCCGTGGCCATCGACGCCACCCGGCCCAGCTTCTTCCTGTACCACTCCGGTGAGGCTCCGGTGAGGGTGGGATTCGGGAATTTGGGGGTTCATTCCTGGAGGGAGGCTGGGATCGACTGGAATTCCCGTTTTTCTCCCTCCCCAGGGGTGTTCGACGACCCCCAGTGCTCGCAGGAGGTGAACCACGGGGTGCTGGTGGTGGGATACGGCTCCCTGGAAAATAAGGAATACTGGCTGGTGAAGAACAGGTAAAGCCTGGGCATCCCCAGGGAATTCTGGAACATTCCTGGCTGGAGGAGACCCACAAGGATCAGAGTCCAATTCCCACCTCTGGGCACCCCCAAATTCCCACCTTGTCCCTCAGGGCCTTGTCCAGGTGGGTTGGAAGGATGATCCACAAGGTCCATTCCAACCCAACCCACTCCAAAATTCCATGATTTTCTGTTTGGAGCTGCCCAAATCCGTGTGGATGTGACACTTGGGGACACGGTCCCGTGGTGGCTTTGGCAGCCTCGGGGGGGACGGTTGGATTTTGTGATTTCCGAGGGCTTTCCGTGAATCCCGGGATTCCGGCGCCTTCTCCTTTCCAAACGAGTGTTTCCCTGTTCCCAAAGCTGGGGCGTGCACTTCGGAGACGCGGGGTACATCCGCACGGCCCGCAACGCCTCCAACCTCTGCGGCATCGCCAGCTACGCCTCCTACCCGCTGATCTAGCCACAAACACCGTCCCCAGCCCCGGATTTCCATGGATCCCCTCCCAGCAGGGATCCCTCCTCCTCCGGCACCGCTCCCCAGCGCCGTGGGCCGGTCGGATCCGTGGGCTGGGAGGGATCCTGGCCCTGGGAAGGGGGAATGCCGCTGACAGGCATCCAGGGGATGCTTTTTGGGGAGGGGAAATTTGGGGGTTTGGGAGTAGAATGGCGATTCCTGCAGGGATTGGACATAGGGATCAGGTACTGGGATCGCAGGGATCGTTGGGATCAGGTACTGGGATCGCAGGGATCACAGGGATTGGATACTGGGATCACTGGGGACCGCCAGGATCATTGGGATCAGGTGCCAGGACCACAGGGATCATTGGGATTTGGTACCAGGATCACAGGGATCATTGGGATCACAGGGGTCACTGGGAACATTTAGATTGGGTACTGGGATCACTGGGATCGCTGGGATCATTGGGATCACAGGGACCACAGGGATCATTTGGATCAGGTACTGGGATTACTGGGGTCACTGGGATCATTGGGATCATTGGGATCACAGGGACCACAGGAATCATTGGGATCAGGTACTGGGATCACTGGGATCACTGGGATCATTGAGATCATTGGGATCAGGTACTAGGATCATTGGGATCGGGTACTGGGATCACTGGGATCATTTGGATCATTGGGATCACCGGGACCACAGGAATCATTGGGATCAGGTACTGGGATCATTTGGATCAGGTACTGGGATCACTGGGATCAGGTACTGGGATCATTGGGATCATTGGGATCACAGGGACCACAGGAATCACTGGGATCAGGTACTGGGATCATTGGGATTGGGTACTGGGATCACTGGGATCGTGGTTTCCTCCCTCCGGAGCCGCTGCGATGCCGGACATGGATTTCCCTCCGTGTGACGCTGCGGGAATTGCGGATATTCCACGGCAAATAAAAATTGCATTTTGCTGCCTCCAAATTCCAACATTTGGACGTGAATGTTTGGAGATAATCCCCCCCCCAAAAAAACTCCAATATTTGGTGTCTCCGGTCAGCCCACAGCCAAGAATTCCGTGTTGGTGGCTGGAGATCCCGAGGGAACAGTGTCCCTTTGTCCCGGGGCTGGAATTCCTCACCCCCGGCTCCCGCCCCTCGAGGTGCCGGGAGGGTCGGAGTACCGGGATCTCCTCACCGGGATGAGGGGTAAGGATGATCCCGCCGGGATCCGGCTCCTGCTGCCACTCCCATGGGATTTAGAGCTGGAAAAAGGGCGAGGGTGGCTCATTCCCAGCAGCGGGATTGGCCTTTAGGGCGGTTTTGTTGGGAAAAGGAGTTGGCCCGGTTGTATCCCAAATCCCGGCGCCAGGAATGTTGTTGGTCCCGGATTTCGGGAGGTGGAGCTGTGGGATGGGGCAGGATGAGACCCCCCGAGGGCGCCCTGGGGAGGAGGAGCCAATTCCCGAATCGCCTCGGAAATCATGGAATGATTCAGGCTGGAAAAGAGCTCGGAGGTCACTGACTCCACCTGGAATATTTCTGGCGTTTTGGGGTCACGGCTCCTTGGAAGGAGTTTTTGTCCTGCCGTGGAATCGCGGCTTGGCTTGGCAAGGACCCAAAGGCCCCATTCCCGTCTCCATTCAGGAATTTCAGCCCCAGCTTCCCAAATTCCACCCTAATTCCAAAGGTTTATGCACACAAGCACCGCGCGGGGAGGTCTCCGGGGCGGACCCGCCAGAACCAGGAAATGCAGAGCCGAAATTTAACCCCAAAAACCTGGGAGAAGGCTCATTCCCCGTCCTGGAAATTAAAAATAAAAAATATCCCTGGCGTAGGGATTTCCCCAAGAAATCCCTGGAAAAGCTTCGGGAGCGGGCAGGGCGGTGTCACCTCCTGGCACCTCCCGAATCCCGCACAAAGGTCCCCGTTCCACCCGTTTGTTTAAACAAACCCATTCCCGGCGGGATAAACCCCCAGGAATACCCAGCAGGGATTCGCACCCGAGCTGGGCTCCGGCCCGGGGGGAATTTGGGATTTTCCCGGAGTTTCTGCCGGCGGGGAGGCTCCGGGACACCCCGGCTGAGGCTCCCGGAGCTTTTCCATGCTCCCGGATATTCCCGGTAGGTGGGAATTGTTCCCCCGGGGGTGCTGAGGGCCCGCAGGTGCCGATCCAGGCGGGATTGACTCGTTCCATGCTGGTTTTTCCCAGGAGATGAAATCCCGCCCGGATCCGGCCGTGCTGGGACTGTCCGAGGGGTGTGATCCGTCTGGAACCGGGGCGAGGTGGGCATGTGGGGGCAGCCCCCCGGATTTGGGGTTCAGCCCCGCGGCTGTGGGGTTCTACCGGCAGCGGGTTGGAAAAGGGGGAATATTCCGGGGTGCGGAGAAGGAATTCTTGCCTTTGGGGCAGGGAAACTGAGGCACGGAGTCACCCCCGCCCTGCCCCGCGGTGCTGTGGGGGTGTCCGGCTGAATTATCCATAAATCCCTCGGGAAGGGTCTCCGGGAGTCGGGGAGGGGCAGTTTGACCCCAGGGGGACGCGGGGGCTGCTCCCGATCCCTGAAAAGCGCCGGGAAAGGGAAGTGGGGGTGCCGAGCGCTGTGGGGGAGGGGGGATGGGAGCGGTTCCGGATTTGGGGAACGGGAGCGGCACCCCCGGACCTGCGGGAAAAGGGTTAACAGGGAACAGGATCTGCCCGGCCGAGCGGCTCCTGGTTTGTTTGGAGTGCGGAGAGGAGAGGGAGGGGGAGGGGGCGCCGGGCCGGGACCCCGGGGACCGGGAATCTCCGGGCTGGGACTCGGGAATGGCCGGGACCCCGGGAATTGGGGGTGTCCGGGCGCTGCGGAGCTCCCCCATCACCCGCAGGTAGGTCCGGGGTCACCGGGGGTCACCTGGGGTCACCTGGGGTGATCTGGGGTGACCCCGGGACGGCCCGGGACCCCCAGAGTCCCCCCTGAGCCCCTCGGCCCTGAGCACCCCACCCCTTCCCCGGGGTCCCGGACGCTCCAACGGGACACAGCGAGGGCGGCCCCGTCCCCCCGGGGTCCCTCCGGGTTCCCCCCGAGGTCACGGCCCTGGAGCCGCTCCCTCGTCCCTCCGTGTCCCGCACCCCCGGGATGGGGATCCCCGACGGTGCCCCCCCAAAATCCCGCGTCACCCCCGGCTCCGAACCCCTCCGGTCCCGGGAATCCCGGCAGGAATCCCGGCAGGAATCCCGGCAGGAATCCCGGCGGGAATCCCGGCGGGAATCCCGTCCGGCCCCACCGTGCCCTCCCCCGGCACCGGGCACAGCCGAGCCCGGCCCGCCCCACCCCGGCCATGGGTTTGGGAGCAGCTCCCGAAATTCCCGGGCCGCCGTTATCCCGCCGTTATCCCGCCGTTATCCCGCCGTTATCCCGCCGTTCCCGCATCCCGGGAAGAGCCGTGCCCGCGGTTCTCCCGTGGGAGCTGCCCCGGAGCGATGGCCACGCTCCTCTCTCATTGTTTTTTATACTTTCATATTTATTATTCCACGTTTGTGGCCGATCCCCGGCAGATCCACAAAGGAAAGGGATTTTTATTTTTTTTTAAATCAGCTGACCGGGCTGGGAATGTAAAAACAGGAAAACGGCTGAGCTCATCCCAGCTCATCCCAGCTCATCCCAGCTCATCCCAGTCCTCTCCCTGTGCCCAGCGGGGTGAGTCTGGCCAGGGCTGGGCAAGGATGTGCCAGCCCGGGAATGCTGCCGGGATTTGGGGGGATCCACCGGGAGCAGCCCGGGATCCACCTGCAGCCAGGCGAGGAGGGGATCCCCGGCTCGGGATGCTCAGGGGAGGAATGTCGGGATTTTGGGAGGGGACCAGGATTCCCAGGGGTTTCCCAGTCACATGTGGCCTTTTAGAGGCTGAAATCCCTCAGATCCCATCCCAAACCTCGCCGTGTTCCCGCCCCAAATCCAGCCCAGGTCCCATCCAAGATCCCATCCCAGATTTCCCGGTCCCTCTAAAGCCCCCTGGGCCCCTCTCCCAACCCCGGGGGGTTTATCCCTCCCCTCAGGAGGTGGGAATTTGGGGGCTCGGATGAGCTGCATCCTTGTGGGGTCTCCCTGGAGCGGGGGGGTCCCATTCTCAATCCCTTTCCTGTTCCCATTCCTGTTCCCAATCCCATTCCCCATTCCCATTCCCCATTCCCGTTCCCATTCCCATTCCCATTCCCATTCCCATTCCCATTCCCCATCCCCATTCCCATTCCCATTCCCATTCCCATTCCCATTCCCCATTCCCATTCCCATCCCCATTCCCATTCCCCATCCCCATTCCCATTCCCATTCCCATTCCCATTCCCCATTCCCATTCCCATCCCCATTCCCATTCCCATCCCCATTCCCATTCCCATTCCCTGTGCCCCATTCCCCATTCCCGTCCCCATTCCCCATTCCCGCTCCCGTGCCCACCCCAGCCGCTCTCATCCCGAATTCCTGCCTGTTTAATGATTAACCAGCCGCTCTCACCCCGCTGGGGAGGGGGTGTCGCGCCTCGCCGCCCCCCGGGGGCTCTGGGGACCCTCGGGCGCTGCGGGACCCGGCCGGGAGCGGGAGGGCTCCGGGGAGGGACCCCCCAAATTCAAATTCATCCCCCCGACCCCTCTGCACCCCCTTCCCGCAGCGCCCGGCCCTGAGCAGCACCGGGACCCCCCCAGCGCCCTGGAGCCCCCCAAAATCACCCCAGAGCCCCGCGGGGACCCACCCCCGAGGCGCCGCTGCGTGTCCGTCCTGGAGCGCGGCCCGGCCTGGGAGGAGGAGGAGGAGGAGGAGGAGGAGGAAGAGCGAGCGGCCCGGGTGTCCCTGCGGAGAGGGGGGACGCTCCGGAGCCCCCCGGACCCGTTCCGCCGGCACAGCTGGGAGCCGGGCAGGGATCCGCGGGGCATCCCGGGCTACGGCCGGCTCAGGTAGGGGGACCCCCGTGTCACCACCCCCCTGCGTCCCCGAGCCCCCCAAACCCCGGGATTGGGATCCTCGTCCATCCCCACCTCGCTGGGGACACCCCGACCTCCCTGCTCACCCTGGGGGACCCGGCCTGCTTTGGGGTCCCCTCAGCTGACGTGTCCCCCCTCAGCGGGAGCCCCGAGCTCGGCTCCAGCCCGGAGCAGCTTGGGGGGCTCTGCCGGCAGCAGCGGGACCCCCGGAGAGCCCCCCTGGTGCACAGCAGTGACCGGCTGGACTCGCTGCTCTGGCAGGACCTGGAGGACGAGGCCGACCTGAGGCGGGCACAGGTGGGACCCTCCTGTCACCCCCCCGGGGTCCCCCAGCACCCACCTGAGCTGGGGAGGGGACAGGGGACGCCGGGGAGGGCGGTGCTGTGAGAAAGTCGCGTCCCGGTGGCTCTGCCATCCACCCTGGGTGGCTTTGTCATCGTCCCGGTGGCTTTGGCGTCACCCTGAGGGGTTTTGCCGTTGTCCTGAGTGGCTTTGTCATTGTCCTTGCACCTTTGCCACCATCCCGTGTGGCTTTGCCATCATCCGAGGTGGCTTTGCCGTCGTCCTGGTGTCCAGAGTGACTTTGCCATTGTCCTGAGCGGCTTTGTCATCATCTCCAGTGGCTTTGCCACACTCCTGGTGGCTTTGTCATTGTCCTCGCGCCTTTGCCACCATCCTGGGTGGCTTTGCCATCCCCACGAGTGGCTTTGCCACCGTCCGGAGTCTCTTTGGGACCAGGACGCTCCTTCCCAGCCCTGTCCCCTGGGAGCAGCTTCCTTTTGGGGACCCTGACGGGGCCGGGGAGGGTGGCAGTGCCACTGTCGCTGTCCCCGCTGCGGGGGCCGGGGAGGGTGGCAGTGCCACTGTCGCTGTCCCCTCTGCAGGAGGACGCTCAGAGGCTCCCGGCTCCCCGGGCCGGGCCGCGCTCCCGGGGCTGGTCCCGCTTCAAATCCGCGTCTCTCGGTGTCATCTCCGGTGTCCCCGGCCAGGAGGGTGAGTCTGTCCCCCGCGTCCCCCCGGCGCTGTCCCTGCTGCGACCTCCCCGCTAACGACCCGAAATCGATGGCGCTGCCACCGCTGTTAATTATCCCCCCCCCGGTAGCGTTAATTATCCCTCGGCAGCTCCTCGCGGCCCTTTCCTAAATCTCTTTTCCCCTTTTCCAGCTGCCGAAATCGCCCCGTTCGCCTCCCAGCAGAGCCTGCTCAGCGGGTGAGTCCCCTCGTGTCCCCTCGTGTCCCCTCGCTGTCCTGTCCCCCGCCCGGCCCCGTCCCCGTCCCCTCCCCGCGCCTGTCACAGCCCATTCCCGTCCTCATTAGGGCCAAGCGTCGCGCCGGGGCTGGCCGGGAGCCCCGCGGGGACGGGGACAGCCTTTGGGGACAGGGACAGGCTTGGGGACACGCTGGATGGGGCATTCCCCCCGTCAGAGGTGGCTCGTCCCCGTCCGGAGGTGACTTGGCCCCGTGCGAGGGCACCTTGTCCCCTCTCGGGGGTGATTGAGCTCCGAGCGTGGCTTGTCCCCCGGGATTTGTCACCCACGGGGGGGATTTGTCACCCTCAGTGGTGATTTGTCCCCCCCAAAAGGGATTTATCCCCTTCAGGGGGAAATTGTCCCCCCAAAAGGGATTTGTCCCCTTCAGGGGGAATTTGTCCCACCTAAAGGGGATTTGTCCCCCCACCATGGGATTTGTCCCCCGAAAAGGGGATCTGTTCCCCCCCAAAGGGGATTTGTCCCCCCAAAAAGAGATTTATCCCCTTCAGGGGGAATTTGTTCCCCCTAAAGGGGATTTGTCCCCCCAAAAAGGGATTTGTCCCCTTCAGGAAGAATTTGTCCTCCCCCCGAGTGGGAATTTGTCCCCCCCAAAGGGGATTTGTCCCCCCCTAAAGGGGATTTGTCCCCCCAAAAAGGGATTTGTCCCCTTCAGGAGGAATTTGTCCCCCCCAAAGGGGATTTGTCCCCCCCAAAAGGGGATTTGTCCCCCCAAAAAGGGATTTGTCCCCTTCAGGAGGAATTTGTCCCCCCCCGAGTGGGAATTTGTCCCCCCCAAAGGGGATTTGTCCCCCCCAAAAGGGGGCTGGGGGGGGGGACAGAGGGGACAGGGAGGGGACAGAGGGGACAGGGAGGGGACAGAAGGGGCTGGGGGGGGGACAGAGGGGACAGGGAGGGGACAGAGGGGGCTCTGTGGTGGCAGCGGGGAGGGGACACGCTCGCTCCTCCCCGTTCCCGGCGGGGACAGAGCGGGATTGTCCGGCGGGATTGTCCAGCGGGATCCTCCTCCCGCAGCACCGGGAGCCGCGAGCGGCTGGCGGAGGAGGCGGGGACCCCCCCGGGCCGGGAAGGGACCCCCCTGGACAGGACCCTCAGCTTCATCCGCAGGATGACCGGGAAAACAAAGGTGGGGAAAAACCGGGAGCGGCGCGGGGATGGGCATGGCGGGATAACAACGGGAAAACAACGGGAAAACAACGGGATAACGGCGGGATAACGGCGGGATAACGGCGGGATAACGGGATGCGCTGATGGATGCTCGGCCGTGCCTCAGTTTCCCCTCTCCCGCCCGCTCCTGAGCCCCTTTGGTGACTCGCGGTGGGGTCGGGGGGGTCCCCCCTCCGCATCCCCGTTCGGGGGGCTCGGGAGGGGAAACTGAGGCACGAGGGGACGCGGCAGCCGCCGGTGCCTTTGTCCGGTTCTGGGGGGCCCAAACCGCGCTCGGCCCCCCCGGGCGGCCCCGATTCGCCGCCGAGCCGTTAATCCCCGACCTCCTCGTGCCGCCCTTCCCGCCGGATCCGCCGCCAGATGTTCACATCTGGGGGGGCCCCGCGGCCCCCCCGCTCCAAATCCCGCCCGGAGCCGCCGCGGGGCCGGAACCGCCCGGCGGGACGGCCCCGGCCCCATCCCGGGCCGGAATCCGGCGGTTTTGGGATGTTTATTAGGATTGTTGGATTGTTTGTTGGGGTTTTGTAGGGAAAAGGCGCCTGGAAGTCGGGGGGAGCGGGGCGGGGGGGCTCCGGTTCCGTTCCGGGATGGGATCGCTCCCGGTGGAACAGCGGGACGTGGAGGGAATATTCTTCCCCAAACGGCGATTTCGGGAAAATAAATAATAATCCCGGTGGGAACGGCCCCCCCGGGGGCTGCGGAGCCCCAGACCCGGTCCCGGCCGCTCCCGGTGGGACGTTCCGGTGCTGCCGTGACTCCGGGGGTCCCCCGTTACCGGGACCCCCCCGCGGCCTCCGTGGGGTTTTCCCGTGCGGATCCACGCGGGAGCCGCCGCCGGACCCCCCCGCTCCGGTCCCTCCGAGCATCCGGAGGCCTCCCCGGGGTTTCCTCCGGTGGTTTTGGGGCCGTTTCGGGGGAACGGGGGGAGGAGAAGCGAGTCCCGGCCCCGCAGGAAATGGGGACCGGGAATGTGGGTGAGGGGGGGTCTGACCGAATCCCCCCCCACCCCCATCCGGGGGCCCCCCGAGGCTGCGATTCCGCTTTGGTGAGCAGCAGTTAATTAAAATGTGCAGTTTAATTAAAATCCGGCCTCGGCAGTCCGGGAAGGAGCCGGGAATGAGTTGGGAATGAGGTGGGAATGAGTCAGAAATGAGGCCCAGCCGCTCCCAGGGATCTGTTCCCGGGATTTCCTCCCGGGGATCTGCTCCCATGGATTTACTCCCAGGGATCCTCCCATGGATCTGCTCCCAGGGATCTGTTCCCATGGATTTGCTCCCAGGGATTTTCTCCCAGGGATCCTCCTGTGGATTTGCTTCCATGGATCTGCTCCCAGGGATCTGTTCCTGGGATTTGTTCCCATGGATTTCCTCCCATGGATTTGCTCCCATGGATCTGTTCCCATGGATCTGTTCCCATGGATCTGTTCCCATGGATCTTCCTGTGGATCTGCTCCCATGGATCTGTTCCCATGGATTTGTTCCCATGGATCCTCCCATGGATCTGTTCCCATGGATCCTCCCATGGATCCTCCTATGGATCTGTTCCCATGGATCCTCCCATGGATCCTCCCATGGATCCTCCCAGGGATCTGTTCCCAGGGATCTGTTCCCATGGATCTGTTCCCATGGATCTGTTCCCATGGATCTGTTCCCATGGATCTGCTCCCATCCTGGCCTTGGCACGTGGGGTATTTTCCTGGATCCCAGTTTTCCCTGGGAAAGGCCATCCCACCCCTCTCCCCGCGGATCTGTGGGGTCGTCCCGTCCCACGGCCGCCGTTTTCCGCAGGGAAACTGAGGCAGCCGAGCGGCGGCGCCTCTCCATGGGCACCGCTGGGTATTTCTGTATTTCCTGGTTATTCATTAATCCGCTCCCGTCCCTGCCCGAGGTCCCCTTGTGGGAAATTCAGGATAAAAGGATAAAAAAAGGACATTTCATTCCTGAGCATCCCGGAACTGCGGGGGGGGGGGGGTGGCTTTGTCCTGGGGCTCCCCAGGTGACACTTGGGGACTTTGGGACCCCCAAAAAGCCGCAGCCGGGACTGGGAGCGTTATCTTGGATTTATCTGATCATTCCTGGCTTATCGTGCTGGAGTTAATGTTCAACCAGTGGCACCAGCCCCGACGGGGCCTCTCCCAGCCGCTGTTTTCCCAGGGAAACGCAACATTTTCCCGAAATTCCCAACTTTCCATCCCCGTGCGGGGGCTCTCCCGGGAAGGACCCGGCCTGGATTTCTGCAGCCGGGAGCTGAAAGCCCCAAAGTGGAGAGGAGCGGGGTCGGGATTTGTGTCACCCCAAAACGGCACCGTGGGGCATGCAGGGCTGGGGAGCTTGGGAGAGGTGGGATTCCATGGGATTTGCTGCTTCCTTTTGGGATTTGCTGCTTCCTTTTGGGATTTGCTGCTTCCTTTTGGGGGTGTTCCCAAAGGTCGGGGCTTTCCAGGTGCTGTGTCAGGGGGAAACTGAGGCACAGAGAGGAAGGGCCGGACCAGAGCTGGGGCCACATCCGGATGCTGGGGCCGAGCCGGGGGGGTTCCGAGGGGCGATCCCGGGGATGCGGGGCTGTGATCTGGGGTGGGGCGGCTGCTGGACTGATCCCGAGGGATTTTGGAATTTGGATCCCTCAGGATGCAGGGACACAGATCCCTGGGGATGTTGGAATTCGGATCCCTGGGGGTGTTGGAACACTGATCCCTTGGGATTTTGGAATTTGGATCCCTCAGGATGCAGGGACGCAGATCCCTCGGGGTGTTGGAATTCGGATCCCTCGGGATGTTGGAACACAGATCTCAGGCTCGGTCCCGCCTCTGATCCCTCGGGATTTTTGGGAGCCGATCCCGGAGGAGGGCGCGGTGCCGACCCCGGGGTGACTCCGGGGTGCCGATCCCGGCTGGATCCCGGCTGGATCCCGGTGATCCCGGCTGGATCCCGGCCGGATCCCGGCTGGATCCCGGCCGGATCCCGGGACCCCGCTGGAACAAAGGCCCCGCGGGCAGCACGAGGCCGGCGGGCGGCGCGACCCGCCCCCGGGAGGGCGGGACCGAGCGGGACCGGGCAGGGACCGGGAGCACCGGGAGGCACCGGGAGGGTACCGGGAGCACCGGGAGGGAGCCGGGAGCGCTCCCTGGATTATGTCCCGGATCGAGTCGCTGTCGCGAGCCAGGAGCGATCGCGCCAAGGTGGGTCCCGGCGAGCGCAGCCCCCCGAGCGGGGTCGCCCCTTTTCCAGCCCTTCCTGGGCTTGTGGGGGGCTCCTCCCTCCCTGCTCGGAGGGGTCACCCCATCCCTCACCCCGACTTTGGGGGGCTCTGCCCTGCCCCAGGCGGCCGCGGGGATTTGGGGGTTTTTGGGGGGCACGGGGCGATGCTCGGGGTGCGTTTTGGGGTCTCCCCATTGTGCAGGGGGGGTGTTGGCCGGCCCAAGGACCCCCTGCCCGCACCCCCACCCCCCGTGTGTCCCCAAAAACTTCTCCCCGACTCTTCCTCATCCTCCTTCCCGCCGGGGCCGAAGCTTCGGGTGACGCGAGGATGAGGATGAGGAGGAGGAAGTCGGGCGGTGGAAGACATTTTTAGGGACCCCCACCCCGATTTTATCGCTTTTCACGGAGACAAAGCCCGGCGGGGAGTTCGGGGCTGGGGAAACTGAGGCACGGGGCCGCGGTTCCGCCACCCGTGACCGGGGCTGGACCGGGGGGGGGGGGATGTGGCAATGCCCGCGTGGCGTGACCGGGGGGGGCTCGGGGGGGGCGATGCTCTGTGCCCCTCCCCCCCAAACCCCCACGGGGGGAAACTGAGGTTTGGGGGGGGAGGGGCACAGAGCATCGCCCCCCCAACACGGGGATTTTGGGGGGCAGGGAGAGACCCCAAACCGCTGTTCCCCCCGCCCCGACCGCGCTCGGGTGGCTCGGGGCTGGTTTGGGGGTGCCCCCAGCCCGGAATGGGGTTTGGGGAGCTTTGGGGGGGCTGAGGGGACGGTTTTGGGGTGATTTTGTAGAAGGGGGAAGTGGCTGTTGGGCTCCGCGCCGCCCTGGGGGGGAAATGGTGAATTTTTTATTTTTGTTGTTTTTTTGTTTAAAAAAGTTTCGTCCGAGGCGTTTTCGCCCCACCCAGAACCGGGGGGGGGCCGGGTGGGGCTCGGGGGGTCGGGGTGACCCCCCCAAGGGATCCCCAAAAGCAGCGGGACCCCGTCCGGGAGGCGATTTTTGGGGACTCCCTCCCCCCTTGCCACCCTCGCGGCTTTCCGGGGGGATCCCCACCTGCCTTTGGGGGGGCAGCGACCCCCCCGAGCCCCCCAAAACAGCTCAGGGGGTCCCGCTAGCCCAGATCTCCCCTCCGCAGCTGCGCCCCTAAATCCGGGGGGGTTCAAACCTCCGAGGGGGCAAATTTGGGGGTTCAGAGGGTCTGGGGGTGGGTTTTTTTTGGAGTCCCCCCGTTTTTCCCGTCCCGGCCCAGCGGGGTCTTTGTTGCCTCGTCCGGGGCTTTGTTCGCCGCCGGGGCGGCAGAGGGGGGGCTGTCCCCAAAAAGCGGGGGGACCGTCCCTAAAAAGGGGGGGAATTCACCCAAAAAGGCTCCGTGACGCCGTTTGGGGGTTCAGCTCCCCCAAAACTCTGCGGGTTTTGAGGTGGGGGGGTTCCCCCCTTCACACCCCACGCCGCTTTTAGGGTGGGGTGTGAAGGCTCTGAGGGCACCCCAAAAACTCCTCCCGAGCTCCGCGCGGGGTTTTGGGGTGCGGAGGGGCCCCGGGCCGGAACAGGAACCCCAAAAACCCAAAAAAAAAAACCCCGTCTCTATTTAAAGCACCGAAACTTCCTCCGCCCCCAGCGCCGGAGGGGGGGGGGAGGTGTGGGGGGACCCCAAAATTCCGCGCACGGAGCAGCCGCGTGTCCCGGCACCCGGTTTGTGCGCGGGGTTGGGGTTCTGGGGGGGGGGAGTCTTGGTTTTGGGGGGTTTTGGGGGGTTTTGGAGGGTTTTGGGGGGTGCGGGAGGGGCGCGGCCGCTTCCCCCCCCCCCCCCCCGGGGTTTTTGGGGCTGGGGATGCACCCAAACCCCCCAAATTTGCGGTGGTTCCCCCCCCCCCAGCGCTGCATAAATAAGGATGAGGGACCCCCCCCCAAATTCTCCCAGGGGGATTTTTGGGGTTTTGTGCAGTGTGACCCCCCCCCACCACTTCCCCCGAGGGTTTGGTTCGGGGGGACCCCCCCAAAACCGGGGAGGGGTCCCGGGGCGGGCAGGAAGCGGCGGCGGCTCCTGCCTTTGTCTGGTTTCCTTCGCGGGCGGGGGGGGCCCAAAAAAGGGAGGAAAACACGGAAATCTGCGAGGGAAAAAAGCGGGGAAAGAGGGGAAAAATCAGGAGAAAAACGGTCCAAAAAAAAAGAAAATAGAGGTTAAAAAGTGAGGGGGAAAAAGCGGAGAAAAAAGGAAAATGGGGTGTAATAAAGGGAAAATTAACAGGGGGAAAAGCAGTTAAGATGGGGAAATCAGTTACAAAGGAAAATGCAGTAAAAAGGGGGAAATAAGCATAAAAAAGGAGAAACAGTAAAAAAGGAGAAACAGTTAAAAAGGGGGAAGGTAAAAAAAAAAAAGGGGGATGATAAAAGCGGGAAGAAAATCGGGGTGGAAAAGGAAAGAAAAGCAGAAAGATAAAGGGAAGAAAGTGAAGGGAAGGAATGGGAAAAAATAGGGGGGAAAGGGCGAGAAGGATAAAGGGAAAGCAAAGCAAAAAGCAAAGGGTGGAAGGAAAATAAAAACAAGCAAATAAAGGGAGGGAAAAAAAAAAAAAAGAAAAGAAATCATAAAAAAAAACAAAACCGGAGGGAAATAAAAGCAAAACACACAAAAGCGGCGAAGCGGAGGGGAAATCAAAGGAAAACAAACCCGCGGGCGGGAACAATCGCGCGTGGGGCGGGAACAATCGCGCGTGGGGCGGATGGCGCGGCCGGGGGGGCTCGGGGGGTTTGGGGGTCCGGGATGTGCTGCTGCTCCTGCGCCCCGTTCCCGGCGGAGGGAGCCCCGAGCCGAGAGAGGGTGAGCCCCCGGGGGGGTCCCAAAGGTGCCCACGGGGTCCCAATCCTGATCCCCGGGGTCCCAAAGGTGCCCACGGGGTCCCAAAGGTGCCCACGGGGTCCCAAAGGTGCCCACGGGGTCCCAAAGGTGTCCACGGGGTCCCAAAGGTGTCCACGGGGTCCCACTCCTGATTCCTGGGGTCCCAAAGGCACCCAAGGGGTCCCAAAGGTGTCCAAGGGGTCTCAAAGGCACCCAAGGGGTCCCACTCCTGATCCGTGGGGTCCCAAAGCTGCCCACGGGGTCCCAAAGGTGCCCACGGGGTCCCAAAGGTGCCCAAGGGGTCCCAATCCTGATCCCTGGGGTCCCAAAGGTGTCCAAGGGGTCCCAAAGGTGCCCACGGGGTCCCAAAGGTTCCCATAGGGTCCCAAAGGTGTCCAAGGGGTCCCAAAGGTGCCCATGGGGGGTCCCACTCCTGTCCCTGTTCTTCCTCCCCTCCGTCTCCCCCCTCCAGGCTCCCCCCGGGGGTCCCTCAGCCCCTCCCCGGCCCTCGGGGGGGGGTCGGGAGCCGGGACGGGCACCGGGACGGGCACCGGGACGGGCACCGGGACGGGCACCGGGGTGGGCACCGGGATGGGCACCGGGACCCCCGTGTGCTGTGGGGTCGAGGGCTGGGGAGGGGCGCTGGGGGGTCCCGAGCGCCGCCGTTTCGGGGGGCTGTCGGTTGTCACCCCCACCCGCCGGTGCCAGGCACGGCCGGGGGGTGCCGGGGGGGCACAAAGGCCTCTCTGTGCCCGTGGGGACACGGGGGGGGCCCGAGGCGAGCGCGGGGACACTCGGGGTGACACCGGCTCGATCCCCCCACCCCAAACCATCCCCGGGGGGGGGGGGGGCGGCTCAACCATCTCCCGACCCCCCAATTTGGGGGAAAAGGGCAAAACCCCCCAGTTGGACTAAAAATAGGCGGGGAGGGGGGCAGGACGATGTCCCACCCCCCCCGGTGCGCCCCCGCAGCCGGTCCCCATTGGGGCTCCTGGCGGTGGGGCGGGGGGGCCGTGCCGGGGCGGGGGGGATCTCACCGGCAGCTCCGGTTCTCCGGTTACCGTGGAGACGGGATGCAGGGAAGCGGCGGCGGCGGCGAGCGGGGCGCTCTCTCCCCGGGCTCGGGGCTCCCCCCGGGCGCCCCGCAGCCCTCCCGGTTCACCGGGACCATGAGCCGCGTGCCGAGGCCGGCGGGGCCGAGCGCGGGGCGGCCGCGGTGCCGCAGCCCCGTCAGGCGCCCGGTGCCGCTGTCCGGGCAGGGCAAGGACAAGGAGAGGATGAAGGAGGGCATGAAGGAGAAGGAGGCGCGCTACAGCAACGGGCACCTCTTCACCACCATCTCCGTGTCCGGCATGACCATGTGCTTCGCCTGCAACAAGAGCATCACGGCCAAGGAAGCGCTGGTGTGCCCCAGTGAGTGCCCGGGGGGTGCCAGCGGCGTGTGCCCGCTGCGGGGGGGCCAAGGGGGGTTTGACAGGGGGGATGTGCCGGGGGGGATGTGCCAGGGGGGTTTGCCAGGGGGGATGTGCCAGGGCAGGGGGTGACAGCCAAGGGGGGATTTGCCAGGGGGGATGTGCCGGGGGGATTTGCCGGGGGGGATTTGCCAGGGGGGATGTGCCAGGGGGGATTTGCCAGGGGAGATTTGATGGGGTGGATTTGATGGGGTGGATTTGATGGGGTGGCTTTGCCAGGGTGGATTTGCCAGGTTGGCTTTGCCAGGGTGGATTTGATGGGGTGGCTTTGCCAGGGTGGATTTGCCAGGGCAGAATTTGATGGGGTGGCTTTGCTGCAGTGGCTTTTCCAGAGTAGGATTTGATGGGGTGGCTTTGCCAGGGCAGGATTTAATGGGGTGGCTTTGCCAGGTTGGCTTTTCCAAGGCAGGATTGCCATGGTGGCTTTGCCAGGGCAGAATTTGATGGGGTGGCTTTGCCAGGGTGGCTTTTCCAAGGCAGAATTGCCATGGTGGCTTTGCTGCAGTGGTTTTGCCAGGTTGGCTTTGCCAGGGTGGATTTGATGGGGTGGCTTTGCCAGGGTGGATTTGCCAGGGCAGAATTTGATGGGGTGGCTTTGCTGCAGTGGCTTTTCCAGAGTAGGATTTGATGGGGTGGCTTTGCCAGGGCAGAATTTGATGGGGTGGCTTTGCCAGGTTGGCTTTGCCAGGGCAGGATTGCCATGGTGGCTTTGCCAGGGCAGAATTTGATGGGGTGGCTTTGCTGCAGTGGCTTTGCCAGGTTGGATTTGGTGGGGTGGCTTTGCCAGGGCAGAATTTCATGGGGTGGCTTTGCCAGGTTGGCTTTGCCAGGGCAGGATTTGATGGGGTGGCTTTGCCAGGTTGGCTTTGACAGGGTGGATTTGATGGGGTGGCTTTGCCAGGGCAGAATTGCCATGGTGGCTTTGCCATGGTGGCTTTGCCAGGTTGGCTTTGCCAGAGTGGAGTTGCCAGGGTGGCTTTGCTGCAGTGGTTTTTTTTTGGGATGGCTCCTCTGGGGTGTCTTTTCCATCATGGTTTCACCAGGGTGGCAGGGCTGGGGGTTGAGATGATGGGGTGGCTTTGCCAGGTTGGCTCTGCCAGGGCAGAAATGCCAGGGTGGCTTTTCCAGGATGAAATTTCCAGGGTGGCTTTGCTGCAGTGGCTTTGCCAGGGTGGATTTGGTGGGGTGGCTTTGCCAGGGAGGATTTGCTGGAATGGAATTGCCAGGATGGATTTTCTGGGGTGGCTTTCTCGTGGTGGCTTTGCCAGGGTGGCATCGCCGCAGTGACTTTTCCGCTGCGGAGTTGCCAGGGTGGCTTTTTCTGGGGTGGCTTTTTCTGGGGTGGCTTTTCCTGGGGTGGCTTTTCCATGGCGGCTTTGCCGGGGTGGCTTTGCCGCAGTGGCTTTTCTGAGGAGGCTTTTTTTGGGATGACTTTTTTTGGGGTGGCTCTGCTGGGGCGGAATTGCTGGGGTGGCTTTGCCGCAGCGGGTGGCTTTTTTGGGATGGCTTTTTTTTTATTTTTTGGGGTGGCCTCGCCAGGATGACTGTGGCTTTTCCAAGACGCCTTTTCTGGGGTGGCTTTGCCGCGTGGGCACCATTCCCAGAGCCCGGTTCTTGCCGGGTTTGTTGCCTGGAGCAGGAGAGGGTTTCTCCACCCTGGCACATCCCGGCTCCCTGGCACGGTGGCCCCGGGCTGGCGCGGTGCCCTCGGGGTTGGGGCAGCTGTTCCCTGGCAGCTGCAGCTGCATCCACCCGCATTCCCACCGCATCTGCTCCCGTCGCTCTGCCGGGGGAGGAGGAGGGGGTGGCAGGAGGGTCCCCACGTCCCCCCCGTCACCTCTCCGTGTCCCCCAGCCTGCAACGTCACCATCCACAACCGCTGCAAGGACACCCTGCCCAACTGCACTAAGGTGAAGCAGAAGGTGAGCGCGGCAGAGGGGTGGGTGGGCGGCGAGGGAAGGGGGGACGCGGGATCGGGGACACGCGAGGACAGTGACGCGAGGACAGTGACAGTGACAGTGACGCTTCCGCTCCCCCGCAGCAGCAGAAGGCGGCGCTGCTGAAGAACAGCTCAGCCCTGCAGTCGGTGTCCCTGCGCAACAAGAGTGAGTGGGGGGAGCTTCCCTTCCCTTCCCTTCCCTTCCCTTCCCTTCCCTTCCCTTCCCTTCCCTTCCCTTCCCTTCCCTTCCCTTCCCTTCCCTTCCCTTCCCTTCCCTTCCCTTCCCTTCCCTTCCCTTCCCTTCCCTTCCCTTCCCTTCCCTTCCCTTCCCTTCCCTTCCCTTCCCTTCCCTTCCCTTCCCTTCCCTTCCCTTCCCTCCCCTCCCCGCACATCCCGGGGGGTGTCAGGGGGGTCCCAGCACCGGTCCCTCTCTGTCCCCCCCCAGATGCCATCCGGGAGCGCCCCAATTCCGCCATCTACCCCTCGGAGAGTTTCCGGCAGACGCTGTTGGGGTCCCGCCGCGGCCGCCCCTCCCTGTCCCTGTCCAAGAGCGTCTCCACCACCAACATCTCGGGGTAAGGGCGGGACAGGAGGGGGGACGGGCGGATCCGGGGGTGTCCCCAGTGTCCCCACCGTGTCCCACACCCCCCCAGGACGTTCAACGATGACTCTCCCCTGGGCATCCGGCGGATCCTGTCCCAGTCCACGGATTCCCTCAACATGCGCAACCGGACGCTCTCGGTGGAGTCGCTGATCGACGAAGGTGGGGACGCCGCGGGGACCCAACGTGGGGTCACCAACGCGGGGACCCCGTGTCCCAGCGATGTCACCGATGTCACCTGCAGGCCCCGACGTCATCCTGAGCCAGCTGCTGAGCGATTTGGAGGCGGACGGGAAGGAGTTCGAGGCGGATTCCTGGAGCCTGGCGGTGGATAACAGCTTCCTGCAGCAGCACCGCATGGACGTCATGAAGCGGCAGGACGTCATCTACGGTGAGGGGACACGGGGACACGGGGACACGGGGATGGGGACACGGGGACACGGGGATGGGGGACACGGGGACACGGGGATGGGGACATGGGGACATGGGGATGGGGGACACAGGGACAGCACAGAGGACACAGGAAGAGGTTGGAGAAGCAGGAATGGGGACAAAGGGACAGGACAGAGGATGGAGGGATGGGGATGCGGTCATGGGGACACAGGGCCAGGCTGGGTGGCTTTTCCTGGGGTCCTGCTCCCCCTCTGTGCTGTCCCTGGGGATGCTGTCCTTGTCCCCGGGGATGCTGTCCCTGTCCCCAAGGTGCTGTCCATGTCCCCTGGGATGCTGTCCCTGTCCCCAGGGCTGTGTCCCTGTCCCCTGGGATGCTGTCCCTGTCCTCTGGGATGCTGTCCCTGACCCCGGGCTGTGTCCCTGTCCCCTGGGGATGCTGTCCCTGTCCCCAAGGTGCTGTCCTTGTCCCCGGGGATGCTGTCCCTGTCCCTGGGATGCTGTCCCTGTCCCCAGGGCTGTGTCCCTGTCCCCAGGGATGCTGTCCCTGTCCCTGGGGATGCTGTCCCTGTCCCCAAGGTGCTGTCCTTGTCCCCGGGGATGCTGTTCCTGACCCCGGGCCGTGTCCCTGTCCCCTGGGGATGCTGTCCTTGTCCCCGGGTCTGTGTCCCTGACCCCGGGCCGTGTCCCTGTCCCCTGGTGACCGCGCCGTGCCCCCGCAGAGCTGATGCAGACGGAGCTGCACCACGTGCGGACGCTGAAGATCATGGGCGCCCTGTTCCGCAGGGCGATGCTGGAGGAGCTGCAGCTGGACCCCGGCACCGTCCAGCGCATCTTCCCCTGCCTGGATGAGCTCAGCCACATCCACGAGCGCTTCCTGGCCCAGCTCCTGGAGCGGCGCCGGGAATCGCTGGCCCAGGACAGCAACAAGAACTTCGTCATCGACCGCCTCGGGGACATCCTCGTCACCCAGGTGGGCGGGGGACCGGGAAATCAGGATGGGGGATGAGGATGCTTTGGGGTGGGGGTGCCAGGGACTGACTGATGACGGGTTTGACGATGGGGACGCGCTCACCGATGTCCCCTCGTCCTTCCCGCTGCCAAGTTCTCGGGCCCGAGCGCGGAGCAGCTGCGCAAAGCCTACGCCGAGTTCTGCAGCAAGCACACCAAGGCGCTCAAGGAGTACAAGGACCTGCTGGCCCGGGACAAGCGCTTCCAGCAGTTCATCCGGGTGGGCTCCGTGGGGACCCCGGGCCGGGGGTTGGGGTCTGCATCCTCCGGAGGGCCCCCCGGGATGGGGGTTGGGGTCCCCCTGCGCGTTCCGGGCTTTGCACCCTGGTGGAAAACCCTTCTCCCAGCTCCGTGCCTCAGTTTCCCCGGCTTGTGTCCTTCCCTCACTGAGCTCTGTCACTGATGGAGGGGGGTCTCTGCTTTTGGGGGTCCCTGCTGACGCTGTGCCCCCCCAGAGGGTGACACGATCCCCCCTCCTCCGCCGCCACGGCGTGCCCGAGTGCATCCTGCTGGTGACGCAGCGCATCACCAAGTACCCGGTGCTCATCGAGCGCATCCTCAAGAATTCCAAAGGTACCGGGGCGGGCAGGGAGGGTCCGGGACCGGTGTCTTGCCGGGGATTCCAGCTTCCAGCTTCCGTCCCCTGCTGGCAGACAACGAGGGGGACTGCGCGGACCTGTCGCGGGCGCTGCGGCTGGTGAAGGAGCTGCTCTCGGCCGTGGACGAGGAGGTTCACGCGTGGGAGCTGCGCGGGCGCCTCTGGGACGTTTTCCGGCGCGTGGATCCCCGCGCCAAGGTGCCGCTGCTGTGGGACAGCCGGCCCGGAGCCTTCGGCAGGGACGAGCTGCTGCGCAGGAAGCTGGTGCACAGCGGGGCGATGCTCTGGAAAACGGCCGCCGGGCGCTTCAAAGGTGGGAAATGGGGGGAAAAAGGGGAGTGGGAGATGCCCAGGGAAGCTGGCATGGAATTGGGGGCCCAAGAGAGAGGGGTGCCTGTGCAGCAGGATGCTGGCACAGCCCCTCTTCTCCGTGGCTGAATTTGGGGGGTCTGGGGGGCTCGGCGAGGTGAACCCCCCGCTCACCCCGGCTCATCCCAGATGTCCTGGTGCTGCTGATGACGGACGTGCTGGTGTTCCTGCAAGAGAAGGACCAGAAATACACCTTCCCCATGCTGGTGAGCTGCCCCTCCTCATCCCCTCCTCATCCCCTCCTCATCCCCTCCTCATCCCCAGCCTCGCCGGGGCTCCGGGGCGGCGTTCCCCATTCCCGGTGCTCCCCGATCCCGCAGGACAAGCCGGCCGTCATCTCCCTGCAAAACCTGATCGTGAGGGACATCGCCAACCAGGAGAAGGGCATGTTCCTGATCAGCGCCGCCCCGCCCGAGATGTACGAGGTGCACGCGGCGTCCCGCGATGACCGCAACCACTGGATGAAGGTCATCCAGCAGGCGGTCAGCCTGTGAGTGTCCCCGGGCTTTGGGGACAGCTGGGAGCCCCCCGGGATCTCTGGGAGTCGCTGGGAAGCCCACGGGCACAGGGTGGGCGGTGGTGGGTGCTGGGATCACGGGGGGGAGAAGGGGGTGGGTGTGGGGTGATGGGGCTGGGGTGGTCCTGGCTCTGACCGCCCCAGTCCCGGTCCCCTCAGCTGTCCAAGCCGCCAGGATTTCCCCCTGATTGAGACGGAGACGGAAGCGTCCTTGCGGAAGCTGAAAGGTGGGGGCTCATCCCTGTTCCTCCCATCCCATTGATCCCATCCCATTTCACTGATTCCATCCCATCCCATGGATCCCATCCCTTTGATCCCATCCCATCCCTTTGATCCCATCCCATCCCACTGATCCCATCCCATTCCATGGATCCCATCTCATCCCTTTGATCCCATCCCATTCCATGGATCCCATCCCTTTGATCCCATCCCATTCCATGGATCCCATTCCATCCCATCCCACTGATCCTATCCCATTTCATGGATCCCATCCCATTCCTTTGATCCCATCCCATTGATCCCATCCCATTGATCCCATCTCATCCCATTGATCCCATCCCATTCCATGGATCCCATCTCATCCCATTGATCCCATCCCACTGATCTCATCCCATCCCATCGATCCTATTCCATCCTATTCCATCCCACGGATCCCATCCCATCCCATGGATCACACCTCATCCTATTCCATCCCACGGATCCCATCCCATCCCACGGATCACACCTCATCCTATTCCATGGATCCCATTCCACCCCATGGATCCCATCCCATCCCACCCCCTGGATCCCATCCCACGGGTCCCATCCCCCTGGATCCCATCCCATCCCACGGATCCCATCCCATTGATCCCATCCCATCCCTTTGATCCCATTCCATGGATCCCATCCCATTGATCCCATCCCACGGGTCCCACCCCGCTGACCCCATTCCCGCCGCCCCTCTGCAGAGCGGATGGAGCAGCACGACCGTCAGATCGCGGCGCTGCTGGAGGACAAGGTCGGCATTTTTGCCGACATGCTGGCGCTGGGCAGCGGCTCCGAGCCCCCCCAAGCCCCCCGCGGGACCCCCTTCCCCGGGGACCCCGCCCGGGCGCCCCGCGGGGACGTGCTGCTGCACGACGCCATCCGGGAAGGTACGGCAGCCCCGGGATCCGGGATCCAGGGCGGGAACGGGCGGTGCGGGACCTTCTGCGCCGGGATGGAGACTCCCAAACGCTCTGGGATGTTCTGGGGCGCTCCAGGGTGGGGAAACTGAGGCAGGGCTCACGCTGCCCTTCCCCGCAGTGGAGTGCCTGAAGGAGATTTTCACGGGATGCACCCGGGATCGGGATCGGGATCAGAACCACAACAACCGCCCCGAGGCCGAGAGCTGCCCCAGCCCCAGCGCCAGCAGTAAGGGGGGACACGGGGAGGGGTCCCTGGGTTGGGGGGACCCCCGGGACCCCCCTTGGGGCTCACCCAGCCTTCCCCTGCAGACGGCGACTCCGGCAGCATCAACGGCTCCTTGGAATTCCGGGTGGATCCCGATGCTGGGCAGCGGGTGAGCTGGGGAGGGGGCACGGGGGGACAGCTGGGGGGCACAGGGGGGCAGCTGGGGGGCACAGGGGGACAGCTGGGGACCCCCAGCCCACACTGGGCCCCTCGATGTCACCACACTCTCTCCGCAGGACGGGAATGGGAACCAAGTCCCGCCCAGGGGATCCCAGGAGGTGAGGAAAGGGTTTTGGGGAGGGGGGCGGTGCTCACCCCACGCTGCCTCGGTGTCCCCCCGGTGTGGCACTTGGGGTTCACCCCCCTCAAATCCTGTCCCCCCCAGGAGATCAACCAGCGCCTGGTGAACCTGTACGGGCTCCTGCTGCGGCTCCAGGTGGGGAGGGGGACAGGGAGGGGGGACCCCTGCCCAAATCCATCCTGCTCCCTGTCCTCTTTCTCCCACTTTGCCTCCCTTTGTCCCCTTCCCATTCCCCTCTTTCCCCTCATTGCCCCCTGCTCCCTTTTGCCCTATTCCCCCATTTCCCCTCCTTCCCCCCCTATTTTTCCCTCAATTTTCCCCCCTTTCTACCCCCCTTTTTTCCCCCTTTCCCCCCCACTTTCCACCCTTTCCCCCCCTTTTTCCCCCTTTTTTCCCCTTGTTCCCCCTTTGTTTCCTCCTTTTTTCCCCCCTTTTTCCCCTTTTTTTTCCCATTTTCCCCCCTTCCCCCTATTTTTCCCTCCTTTGTCCCCCTTTCTACCCCGCTATTTTCCCCCTTTCCCCCCCTTTTTTTTTCCCTTTTTTTCCCCTATTTTTCCCTCCTTTCCCCCCCTTTCTACCCCCCTATTTTCCCCCTTTCCCCCCCTTTGTTTCCCACTTTTCCCCCCACTTTTCCCCCCTTTTTTTCCCCTTTTTCCCCCTTTCCCCCTTTCCCCCCTTTCCCTTCCCCTTTCCCAGCACCCTGACCTCTCTCCCCGCAGCTCCAGCTGACGCACCGGGATGTTCTGTTGGAGCTGCAGCTGCCGGAGGCGCTGCAGCGGCCGCGGCCCCGCCGGGGCTCCCAGCCGGCCGTGCCGGTTACCGGGGGCGCGGAACCGGGCCCCGGGGCGGAGCTGGCGCTGCTGCAGCGGCAGCACGGGCTGGTGCAGGAGGAGCTGAGCCGCTGCCGCCAGCTGTGCCAGGAACGGGCGCAGGAGGCGGCGGCGCTGGAGTCGCGGCTGCGGGACAGCGAACGGGAGCGCTCCCGGTTGGAACGGGAGCTGCAGGAGGCGCGGGGAGCAGCGGCGGGGCCGCGGGGCCGGCGGGCGGCGGAGCCCCGGCGCAGGAGCCTCCCGGCCGGGGATGCGCTGTACCTGAGCTTCACCCCCCCGCAGGTGGGCGCGGGGTACCGGGGGTACCGGGAGCACCGGGGGTACCGGGAGCGCCGGGGGTACCGGGAGCACCGGGGGTATGGGGAGCACCGGGGGTACCGGGAGCACCGGGGGTACCGGGAGCACCGGGGGTATGAGGAGCACCGGGGGTACGGAGAGCACTGGGAACACCGGGAACACCGGCGGTATGGGGAGCACCGGGGGTACCGGGGGGAGCCGCGGGTGAGGATGGGGTCGCTGTGACCCGCGTGGGGGGCTCGGGCCTGACCCCCCCCACCCCGCAGCTGATCCACGGCAGCCCCCCCGCCCACTCCCCCGCCGCCCCCGGCCCCCGGGACGAGCTGGAATTCCCGGGCACCGACCCCGAGCGGCTCCGCCAGGGGGGTGAGGACAGCCTGGACGTGCTCCTGGAGGGCGAGGGGGGCTTGGGGAGCCGCCACTCCCCCCCCGCCAGCCCCCGAGGTGGGTTTAACCCCCCCCCAAATTGGGATCCCGATTTTATTTTGGTGGAAGTTGTTCACCTGGAGTTTTTCCCGCAGATTTCCTGAGGATGCAGGATATTCCCGAGGAGGCGGAGAACAGCCAGGAGCTGAAGGAGGGCGACGGGGACAGTTAGGGACCCCCGCAGCCCCCCCAGCCCCCCACGATCCCCCCAGGACACGCCGGGGGCTGGATCCGGCTGTGGGGAGCGTTGGGAAAAGCGGGATGGGGACGCTGCTATTCCCACGGGAGCCTTATGGGAACGGGGGGGTCCGGTCGCCCCCTCCCCTACTCCAGCCCGGGGGGGACAGGGGTGACATCGTGTCCCTCCTCCTCCCGCTGGGATTTATTTATTTATTTGGATGTTTTGGGGTGCGGGAGGTGGCCCCAGGGCGAGGAACTTCCAGCTCCTGGGTCAGCGGTGACAGTGACCCCCCGTCCCCGGTGTCGGGGGGCTGCTCAAGGGTGGGGCGGGGAGGGACGGGGTCCCCGCGGATTAACTGTAAAAACAAAGGGCGAAAAGAAATGAAAAATATTAAAAAAAAAAAAAAAATTTGGAAAATCCTGAAAATGAAGAGTTTGGAGGCAAAATGAAGGGGGTGGGTGGAGGCTGGGGGAGGCAGGGACCGGCTGGGGCGGGGGTCTCTCAGCCGGGGGCCGACGGGGCCGGGTTCGGGGCGCACCCGCAGGGCGGGGCCGCTCCCGGGGCGGTGCCGGAGCCGCCGGGCCGGGTGCGGGACCGGGCGCGGGGCGGGGCGGGCGGAGGACGCGGCCCCGGAGCGAGCGGCGGCTCCCGGGGGTCCCGCGGCGAGGAGGGGTCGGGGGGCCGAGAGCGGAGGGGCGGGGGTCGGGGGGCTCCCGCGGCGGCCATGAAGAGGATGTTCTCCTGCTCCAGCTCGCAGGTGACGGTGAGTCCCGGGAGAGAACGGGGGGCCCGATCCCGGTACCGGCCCGATCCCGGTGCCAGCCCCGTGCTGCCTCAGTCCCGACCCCATCCAGCTCCAATTCCACTGCCAGCCCCGATGCTGCTCCCTGTCCCAGCCCCAATCCCAATCCCAATCCCAGTCCCAGTCCCAGTTCTGCTGCTGGTCCCGATGCCGACTGCAATCCGAGCCCCATTGCTGCCTCCATCCCAAATCCAGCCCCAATCCCAGCCCCAATCCTCACCCCAATCCACCCCCCAGCAGGTCCCACAGCCCATCCCCGCTCCCAGTCCCACTCCCGCTCCCCGTTCCCAGACCCCGGTCCCGGTCCGCTGTCCCGTTTCCAGTCCCGGTCCCTGTCCCGGTGCCACCCCCGCCCGTGCCACGCTGGAGCCCGGCCCGGCTCGGTGGCACTCGCCAAACCAGCCGGGCGGGCACAGGCCGGGACACGCTCCGGCCCCTCCGCCCCCTCCCGGCTCCACCGAGCCCGCGGAGTGGGGAAACTGAGGCACGAGATGCGTGGGGGGACCCACACTGGGGGGTCCTGTGCGGGGTGGGGGTCCCACCCAGAGTTTGGGGTCCTGTGCTGGGTCCCCCCGCAGATGGAGAGCTGGACGCGGCAGGACCAGAAGCTGCTGGAGGCGGTGACACGCGGGGACGTGGCCCGGGTGGCCGCGCTGGCCGCCCGCAAGGCCGCCCGCCCCGCCAAGCTCAACGCCCGGGGACAGTCCGCGTATGTCACCGCCGGGGGGACACGGTGGGGGCTCGGTGGGTCTGGGGGCGGCACACGGGTCACGGCCACCTCTCGCTGCCCCCCCAGGCTCCACCTGGCCGCGGCCGGGGGTCTCACCGAGTGCCTGACGCTGCTGCTGGAGCACGGAGCGCCCGTCAACGAGACCAACGATGACGGTGGGTGGGGACAGCTTGGGGACACCTTGAGGACACCTTGGGGACACCTTGGGGATACCCTGTGTCACCCCTGGAGGAGCCCAGACCTGCTCCCCTTGGGGACACCCTGTGTCACCCCTGGAGGAGCCCAGACCTGCTCCCCTTGGGGACAGCTTGGGGACACCTTGGAGACACCCTGTGTCACCCCTGGAGGAGCCCAGACCCGCTCCCCTTGGGGACACCCTGTGTCACCCCTGGAGGAGCCCAGACCTGCTCCCCTTGGGGACACCTTGGGGACACCTTGGAGACACCCTGTGTCACCCCTGGAGGAGCCCAGACCCGGTCCCCTTGGGGACACCTTGGTGACACTTTGGGGACACCTTGGGGACACCCTGTGTCACCCCTGGAGGAGCCCCGACCTGCTCCCCAAGGCAGGGACCCCCGGGAGCAGCCTGGGGAGTGTCCCCAAGGAGGGGGTGTCCCCTGGGGGTGTCCCTTAGCGGGGCAGTTGTCCCCTGGGGGTGTCCCCAGCACCGGCCCTGTCCCCACAGGCAGCACCGCCCTGCACTTGGCCACCATCGCCTGCCAGCCCCAGTGCGTGAAGGTGCTGCTGCAGGTACCGAGAGGGGCGGGAACGGGGCGGGAACGGGACGGGAACGGGGCCGGAACGGGGCGGGAACGGGACGGGAACCGGGCGGGAACGGGGCGGGAGTGGGATGCAAACGGGATGGGAGTGGGGTGGGAATAAGATGGGAATGGGGTGAGAATTGGATGGGAACGGGATGGAAACAGGAATTGGAACGGGATGGGAGTGGGATGGGAATGGGAACTGGAATGGGATGGGAATAGGAACTGGAATTGGAATGGGAACTGGAATGGGATGGGAACAGGAGTGGGATGGGAACAGGAATGGGATGGGAATGGGATGGGAATGGGAACAGGAATGGGATGGGAATGGGAACAGGAATGGGATGGGAAGGGGAGCTGCAATGTGATGGGAAGGAGGGGAACTGGAATGGGATGCAGCTGGGGGTGAAACCAGGGATGGAGATCAGGACAGAGACAGGGATAAGGACACGGATGGAGGTGCAGAGGAGGATGAGGATGGGGACAAGGGCAGGGAACAAGGATGGGGACAAGGGCAGGGAACAAGGACGGGGACGAGGATGGGAACAGGCTGCGATGGGGGTGTCGGTGCCATCCCCGTTCCCTTCCCGCTCTCCCCCCAGCATGGAGCCAACGAGCGCCACGTGGACGGGCAGAACCGGACTCCGCTGCACTGGGCCGGTGAGGGGGGGACACGGGGACACCCCGGGACGTGGGGGACACCAGGGGGACACCAGAGGTCCCCCAGAGGCCCTGCAGTGACCCCACCCCCTGCAGCCTCCTCGGGCTGCGCCTCCAGCGTCCTCCTGCTCTGCGACCACGAGGCCCCACTGGATGTCCCCGACGCTGTGAGTGGGGACGGGGGGACAGCAGGGGGTGACAGGGGACAGCAAGGGCTGATGGTCACCCCAGTGTCCCCCCAGCACGGCCAGACCCCCCTGATGCTGGCGGCGCAGGGCAACCACGCGGCCGTTTGTGCTCAGCTCCTGCGGCGCGGGGCCGAGCCCGGGCGGGCCGACAGGGATGGCAGGTGGGTGACAAGGGACCCTGGGTGTCCCCAAGGGTGTCACCGCTGTGGGGAAGGGATGGCGGCCACCTGTGTCACCGTGTCCCTCCGTGTGACATCCCCGGCCCAGGACAGCGCTGGAGCTGGCCCTGGCTCACGGCAGCCTGGAAGTGGCCGAGCTGCTGCAGGGCCACCAGAGGGACAAGAAGGACACCGGGAATGTCACCTGGAATGTCACCGGGAAGGCCCCGCGTTGGGCTCTCCAGAAGGTCCCACACAGCAGGAGGAGAGGTGAGACCTCCTGGAGCCCCCCAAAAAAGGGAAAGAAAGGGGGGAAATGGGAAAACAACGGGGGGAAATTGAAAAAAATAGGGAAAATTGGGAAAACGGGACTGTGCTTTTCCCTCCGGCAGAGAACGGTGCTGGGCAGGTGGGAATGCAGGGGGAGGAGGAGGAGGAGGAGGAGGAGGCTGAGGAGCAGCGGGACGGACGCGCTGCCCGGCGGCTGCGGGAGGAGCTGGCGAGGAAGACTCTGGAATGCCGGCGGCTGGAGGAAGCTGCCGAGGGCACCCGGCGGCGGCTGCGGGAGCTCGTGCGGCTCCTGCCGGGACGGGACGCGGCTGAGGATGAGGAGGAGGATGAGGAGGATGAGGAGGATGAGGAGGATGAGGGCGCCTGCCTGGAGCTCCTGGCCCGGCGCGTGGCGGAGCTGAGGAAGAGGACGAGGGATGAAGAGCAGGAAGGAGGACAAGGCAGCGCCGAGGCTCCGCTGCTGATCCCGTTCCTGGCCTGGCTGGGAGAGGAGTGCTCCAAAATGCGGGAAGCGAAGGTCGGCGCCTCCTCCCGGAGCCAGGAGCTGCGTCGGGAGGCAGAGGATTCCCTCCGGGCCGGGGCCTGGCAGCAGCTGGCGGCGGGGCTGGAGCAGGCGCTGGAGCAGCAGGACCAGATCCACGGCAGGATGCTGCGGGGATCCCAAATCCTCCTGGAAAAGCTCCGGCGGGAGCCCGCGGCAGCGTGCCGGTGCGCGGTGCCCGGCTCGGAGCAGCCGAGGGAGGGCGGGAGGATGGAGAAGGAGCTGCTGGAGCTGCGGGAGGGCAACGGGAAACTCCTGGCGGAGCTGGCGCGGCTGGGCCGGGAGCGGGAGCGGCTGCAGCAGGAGCTGCGGGAGCTGCGGGATCCCGGGGAGCGGGACGAGGCGCGGCGGCTGCGCCGGGAGCTGCGGGAGCTGCGGGACGGGCTGGGAGCGCGGGTGCGGGAGGCGGGAGGCGACGCCGGGGCCGGAATCCTCCGGGACCTGCACCGGCGGCTGGACGCGCTGGTGCGCTCCCAGCACGAGGCGCTGCAGCTCATCACGGAGATGGAGGGAGAGACCGGAGAAACGCCCGGGATACCGGCGGAACCGGGGGCCGATGTCCCGCCGGGCTCGGAGGCGGAGCGGTGGCGGGAGGCGGCGGCGGCGGCCGAGGCGCGGGCGGCCGGGAGGGAGCGGGAGCTGCGGGAGCTGCGGGAGACGGCGGAGGGGTTGCGGGAACGCGCGGCGCGGCTGGAGCGCGCCTGCCGGGACAAGGACGGGAAGGTGAGGCACGGGCCGGGAACGGGGACGGGACCTCCCCAGCACCAGTCCCGTTCCCGTCATCATCCTCCTTCCACGCTCGTCCCCACTGCCGACCCCTTCCCATCTTCCTCTTCCTCCCATCCCCATCCCCTTCCCAGTCCTCTTTCCATCATCATCATCATCATCATCATCATCATCTGCATCCCCATCCCCTTCCCATCCCTGTCCCCATCCTGATCCATCTCCCAGCCCCATCTGGGGGACCTTGGGGACAACTGAGCAGGACCTTGAGGGCTGACAGGGACCAAGGGGGTTCTGGGGGTGCTGAGAACAACCAGCCCCCCCCAGTCCCCCCAATCTGCCCCTGATTTTCCCCCCCAGCTGAAGCAGCTGCTGGCGGAGACGGAGAAACTCTCGGCTGAAGTGTTGGGGCTGCGGGGCCGCAGCGCCCGGCTCCAGCTCCAGCTGGAGGTGGGGACAGCGCCCGGCGTCACAGCGTGTCACCCTTTGGAATTGTCGTCACCCTGAGTCACCCCGTGTCACCCTGTGCCCCCCCAGGTCCAGCAGAAGCAGCACCGGGACACCGTGGCCGTGTACCGGAGCCACCTTCTCCAGGCTGCCCAGGTGGGACCCCCGGCCCTGCCCTGCCCGGGGTCTCTGGGGGGGTGGGGGCACAGTTCTGGGTGCTGGGCACAGTTCTGGGTGCCGGGCACAGTTCTGGGTGCCGGGCACAGTTCTGGGTGCTGGGCACAGTTTTGGGTACCGGGCACAGTTCTGGGTGCCGGGCACAGGTTTGGGCTCTCCAGAAGGTCCCACACAGCAGGAGGAGAGGTGAGACCTCCTGGACCCCCCCCAAAAAAAGGGAAAGAAAGGGGGGAAATGGGAAAAATAGGGAAAATTGGGAAAACGGGATCCCGGGAAAATCCACGCTCCCCCCTCCGCAGGGATTCATGGATGAGGGCGTCCACGCCGCGCTGCTGCGGATCCTGCGGGCCGAGGCGGGAGCGGGGCCGTGCCATTAAACCGGGAATCCGCCACCCACGCGTGGCCTGCCTCCCACTCCGTGTCCCATTCCGCGTCCCCATCCCCGCTCCCCTCCCCTGGCATCCCCCTAAACCAGGGAATGCCATTGCTGGTGTCTCCCCGGCCCCACTCCAACCCGGGCCGGGATTTGGGATCCCGCTGGAATTTTAAACCCGGGCCGGGATTTGGGATCCCGCTGGAGTTTTATTCCCGCTGCCCCCGGTCGGGCCCTGCCCGCCGCCGCCCCAGCGCGAATTTGGTGCCGGTGCTGACGCGCTCCAGGTCGGGGCCGCGGGCCGGGGCCCGGCGCAGGAGGATCCCGGTGGGAATGCGGCAGCTCCGGAGGCCGTGGGGGCTGAGCTCGGTGATCCTGGGGCAGGGAACGGGGTCAGGGATGGAGCCAGGACAGCCCCGGGGCTTTTCCTGTCGCTGTCCCCACGGTGGCAGCGCTGTCTCACCCCACGGTGGGCGGCAGCTCTCCGGGGAACGATCCCGGTCCCGATCCCGGTCCCGGTCCCGGTCCCTCGGCTCCATCCTCGGTGGCAGCGATGGCCTCCAGGACCGGAGGCTCCAGCCAGGCCACGGCACTGACCTCACCCGGGCTCGGACACAGCCGGGCCTGGGCACGGACCCCCGGGGGTCCCGGGGAACCCCAACCTTGAGAGGGACCCCAACCCCAGGAGGGACACCCCAGCCATGGCAGGACCCCCACCCATGGATTGCCCCCCACCCAGGGAGGGTCCCCACCCATGGAGGGACCCCCTCGGAGGTGCCCCCCACCCATGGAGGGACCCCCTCGGAGGTGCCGCCCACCCACAGAGGGTCCCCAACCATGGAGGGACCCCACCCATGGATTGCCCCCCACCCACGGAGGTGCCCCCCACCCACGGAGTGCCCCCCACCCACGGAGGTGCCCCCCACCCATGGATTGCCCCCCACCCATGGCGGTGCCCCCCACCCACGGAGCTGCCCCCCACCCTCGGAGCTGCCCCCCACCCTCGGAGCTGCCCCCACCTGCAGCCGCTGCCGGGGCTCGGCCGAGCGCAGCCCCAGGTAGGTGACAATGTGGTGGCAGCGCGGTGGCCCCCAGCTCAGCGAGGGGGGGAACACGGACTGCGGGGAGCAGGGGTGACCCGTGGGACACCCAGGGGTGCCACCCCCTGCCCAGCCCCGGGTGCGGGGGGGGTCGTTACCTCCCAGAGGCCGAGCAGGTCCCACGAGAAGGTGCCGGGCTCCAGGTGCAGCCCCGTCTCCTCGGCCAGTTCCCGCAGCCCCGCGGCCACCAGCTGCGGGTCCGGGGGGTCAGGGGACACCCGTGTCCCCGCGCTCACCTGGGCACCCCCTGCCCTCCCCACGGTGCCACCTCACCTCTTCTCCTGGCTCCAAGTGCCCACCTGGGTGGGGGGACAGGGGTCAGAGCACCCCAAAACCCCCGTCCCCACCTGAGTGAAGGGTCGGGGGACCCCAAAGCTCTGCTGTCCCCCGTCCTCGCGCTCACCTGGTGGCACCCAAACGTTGGGGAAGTGGCGCAGGGTGGTGGCCCGGCGGGTCAGCAGGACGTGGCCGCAGGCGGCCTCCAGCAGCACGGCCACCGCTGCGGCCACCCCCGGCTGTCCCCGCGGCTGTCCCCGCGGCTGTCCCTCCGGCTGTCCCCCCAGCTTGGCGGGGCAGAACGGGGGTCTCTGCGGGGACAGGGGACATCAGGGCTGCGATGGCTCCCCGGGGGGACGCGGGGGCACCGGGGGAAACACCGGGACCGGCGGCCCCGCGCACCTTGAGGACGGTGGCGGTGGAGCCGGGGAAGGGGACATCGGAGATGAGGAGGTGGCCGCGCTCCAGCCCGCAGCTCACCGGGGCCACGTCCGTGTGCGCGGGGCAGAACACGCCGGTGACACTCTGCGGGGACACCGGGGCCGCTGTCACCGCACCGGGACAGGCGGGGGGGACACCGGGGCCGCTGTCACCGCACCGCGACAGGCGCGGGGACACCGGGGCCGCTGTCACCGCACCGGGACAGGCGCGGGGACACCGGGGCCGCTGTCACCGCACCGCGACAGGCGGGGGGAAACCGGGGCCGCTGTCACCGCACCGCGACAGGCGGGGGGACACCGGGGCCGCTGTCACCGCACCGCGACAGGCGAGGGGACACCGGGGCCGCTGTCACCGCACCGCGACAGGCGGGGGGACACCGGGGCCGCTGTCACCGCACCGCGACAAGCGCGACGCTGCAGCGGCCGCACCCCCTCCCCTGAACTGTCCCCCCCCCGGTCCCCCCCGGTTCCCCCCGGTGCCCCCCGGTCCCTCCGGTGCCCCCCGGTCCCCCCGGTCCTCCCGGTCCCCCCCGGTCCTCCCGGTCCCCCCCGGTCCCCCCATTGCCCCCGGTCCCCCCGGTCCCCCCGGTCCCCCGGTTCCCCCGGTGCCCCCGGTCCCCCTGGTCCCCCCATTGCCCCCAATCCCCCCGGTGCCCCCCGGTGCCCTCCGGTGCCCCCGGTGCCCCCGGACCTGCCCGAACGCCGCCGCCCCCCCCGCCCCCGCGCGCCGTACGTGCACGAGCACGCGCGCGCCCGCCATGTCGGGGGCGGGGCCTACCGGGGAAGGGGGCGGGGCCTCCCGGAGAAGGGGGCGTGGCCTCCCGGGGAAGGGGCGGGGCCTCACCCGCGCCGGCGACTGCGCCCCCTGCAGGGGAAAGGCCGCGCCCACGGGCGGGGACAGTTCTGTGTCCCCAGTGTGTCCCCGTGTGTCCTGAGTGTGTCCCCGTGTGTCCTCGTGTGTCCTAAGTGTGTCCCTGTGTGTCCTGCGTGTGTCCCCCGTGTCCTGAGTGCGTCCCCGTGTGTCCTGCGTGTGTCCCCCGTGTGTCCCCATGTGTCCCCCCTGTCCTGCGTGTGTCCCCCGTGTGTTCCCGTGTGTCCTTGTGTGCCCTGCGTGTGTCCCCGTGTGTCCTGCGTGTGTCCCCCGTGTGTCCCCATGTGTCCTGCGTGTGTCCCCCGTGTCCTGCGTGTGTCCCCCGTGTCCTGCGTGTGTCCTGCGTGTGTCCTAAGTGTGTCCCTGTGTGTCCCCGTGTGTCCCCCGTGTGTCCCCCGTGTCCTGCGTGCGTCCCCGGGTGTGTCCACGTCCTCCGCGTCCCCCCACTGGCCACACTGTCACCGGCCGTGGCCACCCCAGGGGACGCTGCCGCCCCTCAGGGACACTCCGGGGACACCGCGGTGTGTGTCCCCAGGGCTGCCACCACCGCCCCGGGGACATCGCCCCCTCTGTCCCCGCCGTGCCGTTCCAGGCCGTGCCAGCAGGTGTCACCCCCTGCCCGGCCCCTCGGGACCCCCGGAGTCACCCCACGAGTCTCGGGGGTGTCCCCATGTCCCCCACCCCAGCCGTGTCCCCAGGGTCCCCTCTGAGCAGCGGTGACACTCGGGAACCGGAGCCTGAGTGGGACACCGGGGGCAGCTCGGTGCTCCCAGTATGTCCCAGTAACTCCCAGTAACTCCCAGTAGCCACTCGGGCGAGGCAAGTGGCCACGCTTTGGCGCGGGTGACAGGTCACCGCTCTGGGGACAGAGGGGACACACGTGTGGCCGCCACGCCGCACACGCGTGTGCAAGGAGGGGAGGGGGGGTCTCGGGACGAGAATTGCACGCGGGAGCGCGCCCCGGTAAGGGGGGGGGGGAGCCACCGCCGTGCCCGCGCACACGCGCGTGCAAAGCCCCCCCCACCCCCGGCAGTTAATGAGGATCATCTCATTAACGGGGATTAACGCCTATCTATAGCGCGGCCGCGGGGGGAGTCCCGCGGGGGTCCCGGTCCCGCCCCCGGCCCCGCTCCGGCCGGTGCCCGGTCCCGGCCCGTTCCGGGGCGGAGCCGCTCGGCACCGAGCGCGGAGCGGAGCCGGTACCGAGCGCCGGGGGCCGCGAGGGGCGGCGGTTGGGGGATGCTGGGGCGGGGGGTGCTGGAGGGGTGGGACGGGTGGGTTTGGGGTGAATTTGGGGTGGGTTTGGGGTGAGTTTGGGGTGGGTTTGGGGTGAGTTTGGGGTGGCTTTGGGGTGTAGGTTGGGTGTTGTGGGGTGTTTGGGGCAGGGGGTGTGTAGGGTGCTGTGCCGGCGGTTTTGGGGCGGTTTTGGGGTGTTTTAGGGCTTTGCGTGGGACGCTGGCTGTTGTGAGGGTGTCGTGGGGGTGCTGGGGGCACTGGGAGCACTGGGGGCACTGGGGAAACTGGGGGCACTGGGAGTAGTGGGAGCACTGGGGAAACTGGGGGCACTGGGGGCACTGGCACGGGGGTACTGGGGGCACTGGGAGCAGTGGGAACACTGTCCCCACACTGTCCCCACACTGTCCCCACTCCACCCCCCCCCGTGCCTCAGTTTCCCCCCGCTCGCAGCCCGGGGCGGGGCGGGGGGGTCGCTCTCAGCCCCACCCGCCATGCCGGGGGTCCCGCTGCCCTTCGTCCTCCTCCTCCTCCTCCTCCTGCTCGCCGGGACCCCCGCGCAGCCCTTCCCGCGGGACCTGGCGGCTCGCAGCACCGTGGGGCTGGCAGGTGAGCGGGGCTCGGGGGGCTCCGGGGGTTTCGGGGGGGGTCACCGGGGGTCTCACCGCCTCCTCCCGGTGCAGCCACCGCCGCCTACCCGCGCTTCGGGGGTCTCCGGGGGGACAACGGCACGGCGCGGCTCGGCCTCGACTTCCAGCGGATGCTGCGGCTGAACGGGACGCTGCTGGTGGCCGCCCGGTGAGCCCCGGGGCGCGGCTGCCGTGCGTGAGCATCCTCGGCTGTGCTCGTGCAAGGGTTTGCACACCCCTCGCACCTTGGCACTGCTCGTGCCCCGCCGTGCGGGACCCCACAGTCCTCCCTGCGTGTCACTGGCGTGTTGTCCCGTGTCCCCTTGCACACCCCGTGTCCCCTTGCACACCCCCCAGTCCCCTTGCACACCCCCCACCCCATTGCACACCCCCCACCCCTTTGCACACCCCCCATCCCCTTGCACCCCCCCACCTCTTTGCACACCCCCATCCCCTTGCACACTCCTGTGTCCCCTTGCACACCCCCCATCCCCTTGCACACCCCCATCCCTTTGCACACCCCCCATCCCCTTGCACCCCCCCACCTCTTTGCACACCCCCCATCCCCTTGTACACCCCTGCGCCCCCTTGCACACTCCCGTGTTCCCTTGCACATCCCCCATCCCTTTGCACACCCCCGTGCCCCCTTGCACACCCCCATCCCCTTGCACACCCCTGTGCCCCCTTGCACACCCCCATCCCCTTGCACACCCCTGTGCCCCCTTGCACACCCCCATCCCCTTGCACACCCCTGTGCCCCCTTGCACACTCACCCCCTCCCCCAGGGACCACATCTACGCCTTCGACCTGCGGCAGGACCGGGGGACGCTGTACCCGGAGCGGGTAAGGGGGGGACGGGCACAGGGACCCTGGGCACACGGGGGGCGCAGGGGGTGCCCACCCACCCACCCACCCCCGTGCCCACCTGCCCCGGCAGCACCTCACCTGGGAGCCGCAGGACCGGGAGAACTGCGCCATGCGGGGCCGGCGGCAGGTGATTTGGGGCCGGGGGATTTGGGGGCGCAGCGGTTCGGGGTGTGACACGGTGGTGACGCCGCGGTGTCCCCCCCACCCCCGTGTCGTGTCCCCACGCGCAGGACGAGTGTCACAACTACATCCGTGTGCTGGTGCCCCGCGACGCCGAGACCCTCCTGGCCTGTGGCACCAACGCCTTCAGCCCCCTGTGCCGCACCTACCAGGTGGGGTCCCGAAATTGGGGGTCCCGAAATTGGGGGGTCGCAGCTTGGGGGGGTCTCAGCCCCCTCAGGGCGGTTCCCAGGTGTGTGATGAGCGTGGAGGTTCTCGGCTATGTCCGTGCCGGGGTTGTGATTTATTAAAAAAAATCTGGATATTGATCTGGTACCGATATCCAACCACAAGGGACAAAAAGTGTTGAGTGGTTTAAAGTTAGAAAGTGTGTGCGGGACAGCTCCTAAATATACACCGTGATTATAGAGCCTTTATATCGATATTTGATACTTTTTATCTATACTGTAGCTATATTTTTTATCTGTACAAAATACAAATATATATATTCATCATTTTGGTACGTCCCATTCCCCCAAATCAAAACCCTGATCACTCCAAAAGCCATTCAGCAGGTGTGGCTTGTCCCTTGAAATGGGTCGGTGTCCCTTGAAATGGGTCGGTGTCCCTTTCATGGGTCGGTGTCCCTTTCTCCCAAAATGAGGAAGTCAATGAATTCTTCCTCCTTCTGACTTTTACCTTTTCAATGCCAACATGACAAATGAACTCTTGGTAGAACTCCCATTCTTTGTCTTCAGGTGGTTTCAGAACAGAGGAGGCCCACGATTGTCTTATGTTCCTAAAATCTATTGATCAGTTTATATTCTTCATTATAAACCCAGCTAATTAAACATTGTGCTGACAAGCAATGAATTATTAGTTAACCCCTAACTCCTAACTTCATCAAGCCCTACTCATTCATTATTATTATTTTAATTAACTCTAGCGAGGCTTATTTCCAACTAAAATCTTATCTCCTTGAAAAATCTCTAAATTCCTTAAAATGTACCTGTCAGCTGGGGGTGGCACAAAGGGGTGCCGAGTACTAGGGGGATCTCACGGCCTCTGGGTGTGTCCCCCTCCCCAGGTGGGCAGCCTGGCACAGCGAGGCGAGCAGATCAGCGGCCAGGCCCGGTGCCCCTTCGATGCCAAGCAAAGCATCGTCGCCCTCTTCGTCGGTGGGTGCTGGGCAGGCTGGGGGGGGCACGGGGGTGGCCCCGGGGGTCACCCCAAGTGTCCCCCCCGCAGATGGCAGCCTGTACTCGGCCACGGTGGCCGATTTCCAGGCGAGCGATGCCGTCATCTACCGCAGCCTGAGCCCCGGGCAGGCGCCGCTGCGCAGCCTCAAATACAGCTCGCGGTGGCTGCAGGGTACCCGAGTGGGGTCTGGGGGGGGGACAGGGGTCTGGGGGGGTCTGGGGGATGGGATGGGGTGCAGGGGTCTGTGGGGATGGGGGTACAGGGGTCTGTGGGGATGGGATGGGGATACAGGGATGGGATGGGGGTACAGGGATGGGATGGGGGTACAGGGGGTCTGTGGAGGTCTGTGGGGATGGGGGTACAGGGGTCTGTGGGGATGGGGGTACAGGGGGTCTGTGGGGATGGGATGGGGATACAGGGGTCTGTGGGATGGGATGGGGTACAGGGGTCTGGGGGGCTCTGGGGGGATGGGGGTGCAGGGGTCTGTGGGGATGGGGGTACAGGGGGTGTGTGGGGATGGGATGGGGGTGTAGGGGTCTGTGGGGGTCTGTGGGGATGAGATGGGGGTGCAGGGGGTCTGTGGGATGGGATGGGGGTACAGGGGTGTAGGAGGGTGTGGGGTAGGGGTTACACGTATGGAGGGATGTGGCAGAGTGGGGCAGGGGGACGTAGGGATGGGGTCGGGGCTGCAGTCTGGGGGTACAGGGGTCAGGGTGCAGGGGAGGGGCTGAGCACAAGGCTGTGGGACAAGGACAGGAGGTGGCGGGGACTGATGGTCCCTCCAACTTCCCCTGCCCCCCCCCCAGAACCCCACTTTGTCCAGGTCCTGCCCTACGGCCCCTACGTCTACTTCTTCTTCAGGGAGGTGGCAGTGGAGCTCAGCGCCCTGGGCAAGGTGGGTCTGGGGGTGGGGGGCACAGGGGGAGCCCCCGGGGGGGGTCGGGGCAGGGGAGACTCCTCAGCCCCTCACAGCTTCCCTCTGGCTGCCCTGGGACCCTGGCAGGGGTCAGAACCCCCCTGGACAGAGCCCCCAGAGACACTGGCTGTGATCTCTGTCCATGGAAAAGAGTTTTCAATCTTACAGGATGAATTACCAGCTCTGAGTGTTCGATATGAGTAATAATTAGGTGTGGCACGGGTGCAAAAGTAAAATTTTAGGATTCTAGATGAGGGGTCCAAAGGGGACAAGATGGAGGAAATTGGGTGTGTCTTGTCCTTTTCCTCCTTCTTCATGCCCTCCATGTTTCACTGAGGTGTTGGCATTTTTCTGTTGGTTCAGGCTGGGGACACACTGTCCAATGTAGGTGACAGATATTGGCACGTTATTGTAAATCCAGCACAGGTAGTTTGTGGTATTTAATGTTTGTACCATCCCACTGAGGGCAGAGCCCCACACGCTGCCCTGCAGGACAGAGCTGCGGCAGGGCAGCAGAACATGGTAGAGATAAACAGAATAAACAACCTTGAAACAGCACAGATGAATTATGATTTCTGCTTTGGCAGTGGGGCTGACAGACAGAGACTTTTACAATCTGGGAATCAGATGCCCAGAGGTGCCCAGGTCCCCTGGGTGGTGACCCCGAGGGCGTGCAGGTGCTGAGGCGGGTCCCCGTGCAGGTGTTGGTGGCCCGGGTGGCCCGGGTGTGCCGCAACGACCGCGGCGGGTCCCCGCGGGTGCTGGAGCGGCGCTGGACGTCCTTCCTGAAGGTGCGGCTGCAGTGCTCCGTGCCCGGGGACAGCGTCTTCTACTTCGATGTCCTGGAGGCTGTGACACCCCCTCAGAGCCTGCACGGGCGCCCCGCTGTTCTCGCCCTCTTCGGCACCCAACCCAACAGGCAGGGACGTGGGGACGTGGGGACGTGGGGATGTGGGGACGTGGGGACGTGGGGATGTGGGGACATGTGGGGATGTGGGGACCTGGGGACGTGGGGACGTGGGGACGTGGGGACATGGGGATGTGAGGACATGGGGCCGTGGGGTCATGGGGCCATGCACATGTGGGGACAGGGTGATGGTGACAGAGTAAGGACTCACACGTGCACATGGGGCTTGCCCAGGGGGACATGGGGATGGACTCACATGGGGACGTGGGGACACAGAGGGGCAGTAGACAGGGAAACAGAGCATGGGGACACACCCGGGACACGGAGGAGCCCTGGTGAAACCAAAGCCATCCTGTCCCCGCCTTGCTGTCACCGCAGCATCCCCGGCTCGGCCGTCTGCGCCTTCTACCTGGCAGACGTGGAGCGGTCGTTCGAGGGTCCCTTCGCCGAGCCCCGTGGGGCCACCTGGACCCCAGTGCCAGAGGAGAGGGTCCCTCAGCCCAGGTACCACCCAGGTACCCCCACCCCACACCGGGACACCCCCGGGGGCCGCAGACGCCGCGCCCCAACGCCGGCTGTGCCGCAGGCCGGGCTGTTGTGCCGGGATGGGACCCGCTGCCGGTGTTGTCACCTCCGGGGACTTCCCTGACGAGACGCTGCTGTTCGCCAAGGAGCACCCGCTGCTGCACGGCGCCGTGCGCCCCGCGGGCGGGCGGCCGCTCTTCACCCGCACCGGCACCAGGTGCAGGGACAGGGTGGCCTTGGGGACAGGGTGGCCATGGGGACAGGGTGGCCTCGGGGACAGGGTGGCCTTGGGGACAGGAGTGGCCTCGGGGCTGGGATGGACTTGTGGATGGAGTGGCCATGGGGACATGGTGGCCTCGGGGCTGGGATGGACTTGTGGATGGAGTGGCCTCGGGGACAGGGTGGCCTTGGGGACATGGTGGCCTCAGGGGTGGGATGGACTTGTGGATGGAGTGGCCATGGGGACAGGGTGGCCTTGGGGACAGAATGGCCTTGGGGCTGGGATGGACTTGTGGATGGAGTGGCCGTGGGGACATGGTGGCCTTGGGGACAGGGTGGCCTCGGGGACAGGGTGGCCTTGGGGACATGGTGGCCTCAGGGGTGGGATGGACTTGTGGATGGAGTGGCCGTGGGGACATTGTGGCCTCAGGGGTGGGATGGACTTGTGGATGGAGTGGCCGTGGGGACATGGGGACAGGGAGTAACCCACATGAGGAGGTTCAGTGTGTGAGGACGCTGCGGGGTGGGGACGGTCCTTGCCCAAGGCTCCCCGTGAAGGGTGTGTGGGGCCATGAGAAGGTGCAGGAAGCCCCCGAGCAAAGCCCAGCCCCAGCCCGGCTTTGTGAGGCCGTGTCCCGCCGCAGGCTGACCCAGCTGGCCGTGGACACGGGCGCGGGGCCCCGCGGGAACCAGACCGTGCTGTTCCTGGGCGCCGAGGACGGGCGGCTGCTGAAGGTCCTGGCAGATACACAGCACCCCGGGGGCACCCCGGGGGACAGCCGAGAGCCGGGGGACAGCGGGAACAGCAGTGCCAGGACGCTGCTGCTGGAGGAGATCAGCCTCTACGACCCCGGGCGGTGAGGGGCGGGCATGGGGTGCCCAGGGCTGGGGTCTCGGGGGGTGCTGGGGGCTCCTGGGGGCCATGGGTGCTGGGAGTGCTGGGGAGCTGGGGGGCACTGAGGGGTTGGGGGTGCTTGGGGGGTCTGGAGGGTGGGTTCTGGGCACTGTGGGGCTGTGAGTGCTGTGGGGGTTTGGGGGTGCAATGGGGGTCTGGAGGGTGGGTTCTGGGCACCGTGGGAGCTGGGGGGCACTGAGGGGCTCTCAGGCACTGTGGGGCTGTGAGTGCTGTGGGGGTTTGGGGGTGCAGTGGGGGTCTGGAGGGTGGGTTCTGGGCACTGTGGGGCTGTCAGTGCTGTGGGGGTTTGGGGGTGCAGTGGGGGTCTGGAGGGTGGGTTCTGGGCACTGTGGGGCTGTGTGTGCTGTGGGGTTTGGGGTGCTGGGGGGCTGTGCTGTGCTGACCCCGGGTGCTGTCGGGTGCAGGTGCCACAGCCCGCGGGGTGCCGGGGTGCCCAGCCGGGTGCTGGGGCTGGAGCTGCACCCACCGGGCCGGGAGCTGATCGTGGCCTTCGCCGGGTGCCTCCTGCGGCTGCCCCTGAGCCGCTGCGGCCGCCACGGCTCCTGCCGAGGGTGAGCGGGGCCGTGGGGAGCTCGGAACGAGGGTGGGCAAAGGCAGGGGAGCGTGCAAGGATGGGAGCGTGCAAGGGCGGGAGGGAGTGTGCGAGGGACGCAAGGCTGTGTGAGGTCACGGAAGTGGCACAGGGACACGGGTGGCAGCTGCATCCCCGTGTCCCCGCAGGAGCTGCCTGGCTGCCCGAGACCCCTATTGTGTCTGGCTGCCCTCCAGGGGCTGCGTCCCCTTCTCCGAGGACCTTCCGTGAGTGTCCCTCCCAACCCCGACCTCCTGGGGCCCTGCCCCGTGCTGGGACACACTGGGGACAGAGGGTGATGTCCCCTCTGTGTCCCAGGAGTGGCTTCCAGCAGGACGTGGAGGGATCCCTCGGGATCAGCGGGACCTGCCAAGGTGAAGAGGGGGAGCACGGGGGACACTGGGAGTGTTTGGGGTTTTCTGGAGACAAAAGTCCTGGGGGATGCAGGTGGTGCCACAGTGACACTGGGGTGGCTCTGGCACACCTGGGTGATGCCAGAGGATGGGGAGGACGTGGAGGGGACACGGGTGGCTCCAAGGGACACGGGGGAGCCTGGCCCGACCCTGCTCTGCTCTCACAGGGGCTGCGGAGGACAGTGACGAGGATGGAGACCTGGCCCATGGTCAGTGACATTGTCTGGGGACTCTGGGGACCAGGGAGGGACATCCCAGGGGTGGGAGAGACACCCCAGGGTTTGGGGAGGGGAGCACCAAGGACTGCAGAGGGACTGTGGAGTCGGGAGGACCCCAGAGACAAGTATGAGTCCCCAGGGGTGGGATAAAGATCACAAGGGTGGAAAGGGGACCCCAGGGAAGGAGAAGGACCCTGGGGTGGGGGGACCCCGGGAACAGGAGAGAGATGAGGGGGGACCCCAGGAATGGGAGGGGCACCCCAGGGACGGGACCGGGGGGATCTCGGGGGGGATATCAGCCCTCCCGCTGGCCCCGGGCTGACGGGTGCTCCCGCAGGGGTGCGGCAGCCCGGGCCGGGGCTCGAAGCGACCGTGCCGGTGCCGGTGCTCGTGGGCTGCGTGCTGGGCGCCTTCGCCCTGGGCGCCCTGGCCAGCGGGCTGGTGGCCACCTGCTGCCAGCGCCCCGCCGTGCCCAAGGCGCCCCCGGAGCCGCCCTACGCCCCGCGGAGCCCGGCACAGCCGCCGGTGCCCCGGCTGTACCCCGCGCTGCCGCGGGACCCCGCCGAGCCCGAGCCCCCCGAGCCCGAGCGCCCCGCGCCGCCCCGAGAGCCCCGAGAGCCCCGGGAACCCCGAGAGCCCCGAGAGCCCCGAGAGCCCCGGGAGCCCCCCGGGCCGGTACCCCCGGGCAGGGCGGCCCGGGAGGCGGCGCCGCACCGGCTGCACGGGGGCTCGGCGTGGCCGGCGACCCCTCCGGGCAGCGGCTCCTTCGCCAACCGGGTGCTGCCTCGCCCCGCGGGCCCCGGGCCGCCCTTCGGCCCCCACGACCGGGCCCCGGTGCGGCTGGACGTGCCCCCCGACAGCCCCCCGGCCCCGCGGCGGCCGCTGGCACCGAGCCGCTCGCTGGGCGGGACCCCCGCCGGTGCCCCCGGGCCGCCGCGGGGCCTCACCCGCATGTACTCGCTGGGGACACCGGGGGCGGCTCCCTGGGGACCCGGTGCCCCGGAGCGCTCCGTGCCCGTGAAACCCCCCGTGCTCCCCAAGCCGCTGCTGCTGCCCGCGGCCCCGGGCCGGCCCTGAGACCCCCCAGCCCTCCCCTTCCCCGGGGCAGGGTCCCGCTGCCCCAGCTCCCGTCCCGCGGCACCAGCACAGTCCCCCCCGGCAGTGACAAGGGCTCCGCGTCTCCCATCCCCCTGGTTTGGCTTTTTTGTTATTATTTTCTAATTTATTTTCTGTTCGAGGGGGAGTGGGAGTTGCCGTCACCACCCCTTGGGGACACCAGGAAGGGGGACACATGGCCCAGCCCATCCTACTGTGTAGGACCAGGGCTGAGCTGGGGCACCACAACAGTGGCACAAGATTTTATTAAAAAATACAGAACAAAAAATGAGCATAAATGTTGACATTTCTGCATTCCAAAGCATTTTGCCTTGCTAGAAAAGGAGAAAAGCCTTTGTGTTCTTGTCGCAGCACTCAGAGAATCTGTCCCCGATTTCTTCAGTGATCAAAACAATGTGATAATGTGATTAATCAAATAATTAGATTTGTCACAAGGAGGGGATGGGGTGGAAGGGACGGCGCCCCACGCTCAGCCCGACCCCCAGGTCTGTGCTCCCCCTTCCTGGGTGTCTGCAGAGCTCAGATTTGGGATAACTCAAACCACTCACAGCCAACAGCAGGGAGACACGTGTCCAATTAACCCCAAAGTGTGCTAATTAACCCCAAAGTGTGCTAATTAACCCCAGACCGTGCCCACGGGAGGGCACAGCCAGGGCTCTCCTGCCCACGCTGGCACGGATGCGATGCCAGGCCCGGGAACGGCGCGGGCAGGAAAAGCCCTGACACGGCACAGCCCGGCCGGGGCTCCCGTGGGAGGGAATTTACTGACCAAAAAAATGCTGCTTTTGGCTTAAAAAGCTCCTGGTGGTTTTTCTCTGGAAGAGCTGGGTTTGAATTCCAGGCAGAGATCAAATCCTCCTCAGTTTTGCTACACGGATCCTTCCAGAAATTAAATCAGGGGATTCCCCTCCAAAAGGTGACAACATCCTCGGCTTTATTTCCTCCAAAAATAACCCAAACCAGTTCCCATGAGCCCTACGGACTTTTTATTTTTCATTTCCTCTTCCAAAGGGGAAGTTTTTTCTCCAACTGAAGGGATTTTTTGGCAAAATCACCTGTTTTGGGGAGAAGGATGGTAATAACTGAGGGCAGCAGTGGGGAAGGCACAATACAGATCGGCTGCATGTTATAAAAAGGTTTTAGTTCTTTAAAAATAGAAATTTTAATTTAAAAAGTGACATTTGTATCTCCAAAGAAAAGCAGACTCCCAGACTGCCATATCTGGATTTCCATGTGCCACCAATTTACAGCACTGGCCAGTGTGGGAATTAGAATATTTGCCTAAATATTGTAAGACCAGGGAAATTTTTTATTTTGGGTGTTTTCTTCTTGAAACAAACAGGTGAAGGATGGTTTTCCCTGAGAGTGTGAGATGCTTCATGTGAAAAACATTCAATGTTGCCTCAATCCAAAAATTAACAATTCTGGGAGAAGAAAATGATGGATAAAAGGGGAAAAAAATCCCTTCTACACCTCAGCAAATATTTAAAGCAACACGCCAAGAGAATATTTTTGTTGCCATTGCAGATCTGGTCCCTGGGATTTGCAGGTCCTTGCACAAGGTCTGTGTTCAGGCTGGAATTCCCAGGCAGCTCAGCACTAATCCAGCTGCTTTGGCACACTGGGATTTCTTCCCATTCCCAACAATGCAGGTATTGACATCCCAGAATAAGCCGTGGGATCACCTGGCTGGGTGGAATTTTGTGGAAAAGCTTCGGATCTATGCAGGGCAAAGTTTTAAAAAAGTTTTTGGCATGGCAGGAAATGGAGGCTGGAGGGGGCACTGCAGGAGCAGCCCCGGTTTGACCAAAAGGAGAGGGAGAAAAAGGAATTTTCCTTTCTAAGTGCCAGGATTAGGAGGTGACAGTGTCATTAGGTGGCTCCAAGCTGGTGGGTGAAGGTAGGTGAGATCCTACCCGAATGAATTTCAAAGGTTGGAAAGAGGTGGAACCAAGGTGCAAGGAAAAGAAAAGAGTTACCAGTGATGAAAAGTTGGGAGGGAAATGAGAAAAACGTTTTTCCTCCTAAAAGAGGGATGAGGAGCTATTTCTGCTGTGTTGCTGAGACCTGGATTATGCCCAGCTTCTACTGGGAATCCTGAATTGTCCCAGTAAAACCCCTGAGCTCCAGCCAGGAGTATCCACCTCGTGTTCCTTGGAGTCATCCACTCTTTGTTCCACTCCTTGCCTCGCAGGAGGAGGCAATTCCAAGTCTGAAATATCCAAGTGTTTCACCCCAATGGGGCTAACAGAATCCAAAGTCAAAAATTTTCGTCTTAAAAAGAACCACTTGAGGGAAAAAAAGTATCATTTTGATGCCTCAGTAATGGAACTTCCAGCCCAGACAGGGTGAAGGAGAGGAATAGAAAACTCTCCTGGATAATTCCCATCTCTAAGCCCCCAAGCTGCTTTAAGCACATGCAAGAGCTGCACATTTCCAGAGAATAAATATTTTAAATCTGTAAACATGAGTTTTTGCTTTGGGAAGGCAGAGTTTGGCCAAGCAGGGAGGAGAAAGCTCATGTGAGTGACTGAAGGTAGCGCCACCTAAACAGTTCTCCCTTTGTCTTCCTGGTGGGTCCCAAGCCAGGAATGATTTGTAGTAATTTGGCAAATAATTCAGAATAATTAACAGCTTTAGAAAATTGTTTTTCAGCAGGGCAAGTCTGTAAACAGACAGAACTGATGTAACCCGTCTCCGTGCATGCATTAAAGAGCTGCTCTGCTTCCTAATCCTCTTTTCCTGCCCCGAAGTTAATCCAAATAATCGAGTATCCCTGGGACACGCTGGAAGAATTGGCGGTAGTAGGCAAGGCTGGGGAATGACATCCCTTGAGGAAACAAAACAGAGCTCTGGAGCTGTGCCCTGCTTTGCTGAACACCATTTGTATCTGTCTCATCAAATAACGAGATTACAGTGCCCCGGGCGGTTTAATGGGCGGACAAGGCGGGCTGAGGCTGATATGAACGGCCCAGGATGAAGTTGTAGAGAAATGATGGAGTAACAGGTTGGAGTTGATGATTTACTCCCAGGCTGGGACGTTCCCCACAGGATAAAGGAACAGTCTCTACCAAAGAGACAACAACTTGGTATTCCTCCTCCTGAGGGTGTTGGGCTTCCAGGAAAAACCCAAAATATTCAGGTGTGGTTGAGGTGGCGCTGACAGAAGCCCCAAGGACACGCAGACCCCGCAGGCTCACAGGAGCTGGAATGTTTTCCCTCTGGAACCGAAGCTGCTCCTCACCTTGCTGCCAGGGGCTGGCAGGGACAGGTGGCTGCGGGCACAGTGGCACTCGGGTGGCACAATCCACAGCTGCTGCTTCCACCGCTTCCTCCCCTCTTACCCTGGGAAATAAAGCAAACACAGAGAAAAGAGTCAGGGTTTCCTTCTCTCTTCCTTGAATAGAAACTGAAGGGGAAAGGCTCCAGTGTGTGGCTTGAGACTCCTGGGATTGTGGAAAACAATGTGGGAATACAGTAGGTTTTAGCAGGAGAAAGAAAATAACACTGCTACAACTCAGCAAAACAAAGTTTTCAGGGTGAACCCAGCGTAGCTGGAAGGTCCAAACAACCTCCAAGATCTCCAAGTCCATTTGAAGGTCAGATTGGAGGTGTTTTCCAGCCTTAATAATTTTATTTTGTGCACATTAATAAGGACCAGCACACAAATTAAAAGCCCTGGAATTGGAGGCAGCAGTTCAGCGGCCCTGGCTCTGCAAAGCTTCCTTCCCTGCCCCTTCCCTTGGCTGCATCCTGCTCCCAGTGCAGGAAACTGGGACCTGACCTGTGCTGGGTGCCAGAGAGGAAAACACTCGAGCACCACGGGTCAACAAATCAGAGCTGTGGCACCAGCAGCTTCAAGAATTTAAATCACTTCTCTCTAGACTCTAGGAAAAAAAAAATGCTTACCTTTGGGGAAGAGAACGGAATTGAGAAGTGAGGGGATTAGATAAACTTCCACTTTATCAAATTCCTAAATCCAAAGTTAATTAAAGGTCAAACAGCATAAGAGACTATTTAAAAAAAAACAACACAAACCTTTCTGTACGAAGGGGTTATCAGAGCCTCAACATGGGGACAGGAAACATTTGAGACAATTTCACTCTGAACTATTTATCCAGGATTGTGTGTTCCAATCAATCCATTTCTGTAGCAGTGGGTTTCCATTTTTATTATTTATTTTAAAAAATAACTATTAAAGCACATCAAGGGCTGCATATGGCAAGATCAGACATGGTGGCTCATTTAAAATGTAATAAGAATTAAGTTATTTCTATTGGTATCCATCAGTGTTTCTTTAATTAAGTTTGAACTGGGATTGAATCAATCAATCACCCAAAAAGCACGCTCACTGCAGTGAGATATTGACTGAAATGAGATAAACAAGCCTTCTCAGCCCCAAAAACAATGTTTCTTCCTGCAATTGACCATAGTAGCTCCTATTCAATGCAAACTCCGTAAGAACGGGACAGGAAATTACCCAAATGGGCGCAAGCTCAGTGCTGAGAACCCACAATTCCTCTTTAAAAGGGAAGAAAAGAGATCCTGTTCCTCAGCCCTGGTGTAGATCAATAGATTATAGGCACACAGAGGGAAGTTCACCTAAAGTTCTTCTCATTTAACCCTTGCAACCTGTTTTTTTCTCTCTTCTTTTACCTGATTTAGCAAGTTTGTCAGGTTTTTTTCTTAGAATACTTGGGTTGGCAGGTGAAAACAGCCCAAGGCTGGAGTTTTCAGCACCTTGTAACCAGATTTCCCTTTAGCCCAGCTAAAGACCCTTGTTCCCATTAAAAAAAAACAAAAGAGAGACAAGAAAAGTCTTTATCTGGAAGTGGTTTTGTTACAATTAAAGTGGTTGCTGATGCCATCTCGTGGGAAATACAAAATTCACCTCTCTGAGCAGCAGACACGGCTGTTCCTGAGCCCTTTCTGGGTGGGAATGTCAGGATCTGGGATTTCAAAAGTAATCTCTGATTACTAAGCAAACATTCACACGAGTGAACAGTCCCACTTAACCAAAGAATTGCTCACACACAGAAGTGTTTGCAGGTTGAGGCCAAAAAGCTTCCCAAAATTTTTCAGCAGCCTCAAGACTGCAGAGAAGCAGCAGTTTGGGTTTCCCCAAATGCACAAAATTGACTTAATGAGTGATTAGAAAAACTGGGATTACTCAAAATAATTTGCACTTAGAACCAAGCTAAATGGGTTTTCCCTGCCAAAATAAGGCCCAAGGAATACGGGGAAACCTAATTATTCCCATCTAATATGGGACAGAATAAATAAGGAGTAACCTACACATCCCTTAGACCTGCTCATCCAGGAATTTCCTTACTCAGTGTTTACACAAAGCAAAACACTCAACACTGGCGGTAAAGAGCAAAGCAACACGGTTCCACTCTCAGGATTTGGCAGAGGCAGGAATTCTCATTATTCCTCTGTTGCAATCGGGCAAATCCATTTTCTGCAGGCCTGGAGCAAGGCCTGGCCAGGCCCACCTGGCACTGGAACCACCTTTATTTACACCAGGGTAGGATCCTCCTCCCTTACCTCGCCTGGAGAAAACATTCAGGGTCAGGAAGAGCAGCTGGGCGTGTTTGGCTGCATTTCAGCACTTTTACTTTCCTAAATACCCATCTGCCCTCTACTGGAGAGCAATCTTAGGGTTTGTTTGTTTGGGTTCTTTTTCCCCCAAGGTTTTCATACTCGAGGTCCTCCAAGACTTTACTTGAGGTGGTTTTGGCGTTTGCTGAAGGGAGGAGATTGAGAACTCGCAGTGGTATTAAGAATGAAGGGCAAGCTGGGATGTTTGTGATAGGATTTGCTCTCTGGGCGAGCATCCACCACACGAGGGGTCCCCCTTCCTCAGACCCCCAAGACCGCAGACCTTCCCCTCACAGGGGTCCCCAAAACCCCTCATGGGGGTCCCCAAAGGCCCTCACGGGGATTCCCCATCCTGAGACCCTTAAGATCGCCCCTCTATGAGGATTAGCCAGCCCATTCCCTCCCTGGGAGTCCTCTGAACCCCTCACAGGGGTCCTCCCTCCTCAGACCCACAAGACCACAGACTTTCCCCTCACAGGGGTCCCCAAAACCCCTCACAGGGGTCCCCAAAGGCCCTCACGGGGATCCCCCATCCTGAGACCCTTAAGATCGCCCCTCTCAGAGGATTAGCCAGCCCATTCCCTCCCTGGGAGTCCTCTGAACCCCTCACAGGGGTCCTCCCTCCTTAGACCCCCCCCAAGATCGCAGCCTTGCCCCTCACAGGGGTCCCCAAAACCCCTGACGGGGATCCCCCATCCTCACACCCTTAAGATTGCCCCTCTCAGAGGGTCCCCCAGCCCACTCCCTCACTGGGAGTTCTCTGAACACCTCACAGGGGTCCTCCCTCCTTAGACCCCCCAAGACCGCAGCCTTGGCCCTCACAGAAGTCCCCAAAGCCCCTCCGGGGATCCCCCTCACAACGCCCCGCCTCTCCCGCCGCCGCCTCACAAAATGGCGGCCCCGGCAGCGAGCCCGTGAGGCGGCGGAAGGATTTAGGACCTGTGACAAAAGAGTCCTCCGAGGCGGCGCGGAAAAATCGAGCTGGCCCCGCACTCGCTGTGCCGCAGCGGGAACTGTGCGGAATGCGGGGATTTCTCTCTTTATTTTCTGCGCCGTTCTCCCCGCCCTGAGTCGGACAGGCCTGGCAGGGGAGTGTTTTCCTCTGGCGGAAGGATACCAATCAGTGGTGCGCGCCGTGACGGAGGCTGCGGTCCCTGGAGTTAGATCCGGCAGAGGCGTTTTTGCGCCAAGTATAAAATGGCGGCGGCGCCTCGTTGAGGCGGTGTGGTTTAGATGTGCTTTGGAATTCTAATATCCAGGATTTGTAAATATATTTGCGTTTAGATGTGTGTATTTCAGTAGCTTGAGCATATCTGTCCCCCCTGAGTCCCTTCCAGTCCAGGGTTTAACTCCCCTCAGGCTGCCAAACCCCCCTCACCAAGGTGTATTACCCCTGACTTGCCCAAAATGTCCTTTTTTTGAGGTAAAATTGGAGCTCTGGGGCCTATTTCTCCTCTGGGGTGTTTTCCTGTGAGGCTTGGAGAAGCCGAAGTGTTAATAATATCCTTAATGTGCTTATAATAATCTTTCAGGCTTAGTTTTTCCACACTTAAGTCTTCCACAGCATGTGCGAAAACACAGGGGTGAGTTCCCAGCTCACTGTAAAGAGATTTGAGACATTTTAATGCTAAAGACCTTGTCAGTCTACATGTCCACAGGAATGTGTATGTTTTGAACTGATTTTATTTAAACTTTCATAATAAATACTTCTCCTGCAGGTTTTCCTAGCTGGGAACACAGAAGTCAAACAGCTCTGCAGAGAAAAATTTACATTTTTCATCTCTGGTTTTACACAGATGGTTCAAAATCAGCACACTTGATTATTTCTGCAGATTACAGGAGAGCTGCATCCAATTTTCATAGTAGAATGCAGATTTTTCCAATTTTTTTCCTATTTCTGGCACTTTTTAAGTGCTGCCTCAGCCATATGCCCCCCAACTCTCAGGATGATTTTGGGATGCTTCACATCACTTCATCCCAATCAAGCCCAAAAAAAAGCACATTCAAGAAGACAAATCAATCCCAAAAAACAATCTTGGGGAGGGAAAAAAACCCACAACTATTTAAAAGCCAAAAATTATTCCAGGTTGGGTTTTTTCCCCCAATTTTAAGCTGATGCTCAGAAATAAACCTCAGCAGGTGAAAACCTCCCCGGAGAAAACTCAAGGCTTCCACTTGAATGAATGCAGCATTGTTTGTTGTTGTTTTTAAAGGGTTTGATTAAGGGGGTGGAAAACCTGAAATATTTTCATCTGGGGGTAAGATTAATCTTTCAGCTCTGCCCCATCGCCCTTCCAGACCCTACAATGTACACAGCATCTGTCCCAGTCAGGAGTTGCACTGGGAATAAACCATGTGGAGCATTAAAAAGGATAAAAAAAAATCAAATTTGGGGCAATAAACACCCAGCCTTGACCCCACTAAGCAAGATCAGTGCATTTCCATGTCTATTTACCCTCCTGGAGATATTTTTTTCTGCTTGGGCTCACACCACAAGGCTCAAAGTGATTATTTTTCTCAAGAAGAAGATATCTCTGCCCCTTCCACCTTGCATTCCCGAGGGGAAGGTCAAGGGACGAAGAGGAATTTTGAGAAATTGGGCCAGGGGAGCACAGAGGGTCGATGCTTTCTGCAAAACGAGGGCGATTCCCATTGCTCCTCAATTGCACAAACGAGTTTCTTAAAAAAGCACACGAGAAATGAGCTGAGAAATTGTCACACAGGGCGGGGACAGGGGGGTGCCACCTCCCAAACCCTCTGGGAACGGAGAGGG